AGGCGCCAACGGTTTTTCGATAGTTTGTCTACCATGCCTCGTGCCGGAGGAGCCGTGGCCATACCAAGCCGGGTGGAAACAAGCCAAGAGTGGATGTATTAAATTGGGGTGGTTCGATTGTGGATGGGGGGTGATGGGGCCGCAGCGGGGAGGGGGGGCCAGTGCTAAATTTGTTTTTCCAGCCAGCCAGATTTACCTTGTCCTTCCGGACGTGGCTTCTTCTTATTGCCAGTGTGTCTTTTGTGCTATGGGCACGAAGCACGGTACACTCGGCTCAGGGCTAGCCCCCGATGCCCCTCATGATGTTGGCATGACATGGGGATGCTCCGCATGTCAGTTCGTTCTCAGACTTACTTTTATCGACGGTACCTATGGAGTCCTTCGTCCCTTCGCTATGGCGGCATGTTCTCGATGAAGAGGGTAAGTGTGGCCACTCATCAGCAGTAAATTAGATATCGACTAAATATCGATATGATCCAGCTCTAGTGCTACAATCTAACCACTGCGCTAACAGTCAATACTCCGTGTTCATTATACCTACGGTATTAGTTAGCTGCTCCAGCCCGGCGCATTCGCTTTGTTTGGCGCAGCGGCTCTGCCCGAATGGACGCGCAATACGGCGCCCCCCCAAATCCTGCACTTACAGTAGCTTCTTCTCGTTGGCCTAATTCTCGAATGGTCGGAATTTCTGCTTATATTCTTGTTCTGGGGCGACTGGCTAACCATCGATTCGCCAATCCGAATGCCAGACCATCCTAAGGGCAAAGAAATGTCGAGGTTAGGTCTTGTATCGGCCCCACCATCCGGCTCCGGGCGCTTCGCTTCAATGACGATGGAGTAACCGAGACGCGATCGTCTCTAGCGTTTCCCTGCGGTAGCCTTTACATCATTAGTTGATTGATTTTGCCTAGCCTGTATCTCCACACAGACGGCAGATCTCGCAATCGAGGTTAGTCTGGTCGAGCCGCGAGAAGAGAATCCCGTTAGGGGACCGGCCACTCCGATTCACGAAGTTAGTTCTTGCGCAAAAGGACGAGAGTGCTCCGGCAGGACGGAGGGGGTGTGCTTGGAGAGGTCCAGAAAATATCTTGCTAAACCCTATCTATATACGGAGTTGGAAAGTGGATGCCATGCTGAACCCTAAGCTCAATCGCGACGGTCGCGACCGTGGCTAGGGAGGAAATGATAAGCGCAAAGGATCAAGTCCTTCGTGTTCGGTGCAGCGAAAATGCTGTGTATACCCGCTCTGGAGATATCATAATTATTCGCCCTCAGCTGTTGGTCCCTCTGACCGCACTTTGTACTAAAAACTCGATGCATCGGCATTCTTGTACACCGATACTTCTCGATGCAAGCAACGGACTCGGGTAGACTTCTTTGACTTTAGGTCTGCAGCAGTACGCGCAGTAGCGTGTCGCGTGGCCGGAGCTGGACTCTTGTTTCAGAATCTCTCCAGACCGGGCGGTGCAGGTAAGAGGAGGGGTTACCAAAGACTCACTAGGGCCGAGATGCCCGCTAAGTTGAAATGGCAAGTCTTGTAGTCGATCGCTGCAGGTCAAGGTTGATGGTGAATTGGCGGAGATGGGATCAAATAACGCACACCGTTATAGTTAGCTCTTTGAACAGTTGGAGATGGAACAGCCACACATCGAGAAGAGTAACCGAAGGTACATCTCTCTTGAGTCTATCTCCCATGGCCCTAGGAGAACTAGGCAGGGGACGGGATGCAGATAGAGTTCATACGTGCCTTGCTCGCCCTGCCTAGTCTAGTAGAAGTCTTGTACATCACGAGCAGGCCACGAAACTACAGATCGGAAATTTGAAACTACAGTAGAGCACGGAAACATGGTCGCGAAAACAAATCGTTGTAGGGAGTACGGAGTACAACAGGTCGTACGGAACAAACTTGATTGACAGCCCAAAGTCAAAATAGATTAAATTTCGAAGCCATCATTCCAGTCGGCGCATTAAACGGAACACGGAGGCCGTTGACGATGACACCATCACCAGGCTGAAGGGCACAACAAAAAGGCAAAGACGCTAACCAAACGGCAATAATCACTAAATCGTCGACGTCAAGATAGCAGACGCAGGGGGAGGAGGGGGAAAGACAAAGTATCCAGCGAACCAGAAGCAAGCAGTGCATGGTTGTTGTCGATCCCTCGACGATTTCGGGGCCGTCGCCAAAATCAGACAAAGAATTTGATTTCGGCACGCACCTATTAGGCCGGACGAGCACATGGACAACTGGCAAACTCTCAAGCCCTATTGGTGCCCCCGCCATACTACTGTACCAATAATCGAGGCTGCCATCGACGAAAGTACTTACCTCCTTGAGAGGGAGGGGCGATTCTGCTCGGACCGGTAGATATGGCTCCACCTCCATGGGGCGGAGCGAACCTCCGACAAGTGACAAGCATTGCGGTTATTAAAAGAGCAGACCCAAATCAAGAATTCTGCTGTTCAATATCTATATCACACAAGTCCATCCAATTATCCGTCCGTGTCTAAAAGGAACGGCTCCGCTAAATATACGCCGGCATCAGTCCCGTACAGTGCCCAACATGCTCTGCCCTATTACCATTTTGTTACAGCCAACCGGAGCAGTCTACATCAGTTTGTTCCATTGGGTCTCTCCCGAGCAAACAGTGGACCCCCAGGTACGAGGCCTGTAACGCTCGCTGGTTGTCATGACTCGCGCCACTGCAACCTGGGGGCGGGCACAGTCGTAAATGAAGAGGCTATAGAGGATTAGGTTAGAACATCAATTTGCGCAGATAATCATAAGCTAGACAAGTAGGTCGACCGAAATCTAGGCCGTTCATGGTTTTGATCGGCTAACTGAATCGTTGGTAGCTACCACGGAGATATCCTAGGAGAGCCGTAGATAGGCTGATCCGTACATGAGCTATGGTTACCTGCAGCCAACATCCTGCGAAATGAACGATCAATTGATGCGGCCTCGACAGAGGTTCCGTGCTCCCGATTTCCACAGGTAAGAATGGTTCGACATACTTTGAAGTCTTCATGCAAATGCACAACAAGTGTCTCAAGTGTAATGTTTGAACTGCTCTTACAAGATGTTGAAACCTTACCTAGAGCCTGCACTGTAATAGTTAGCGACGAAGATGTCAGCAATATACTATGCTCCAGCCTTGACTCTATAGGGTGAATCGTCCGTAAGAACCGATTACAAACTATCACTCAGTGTGAAGAGCGAGTACAGCTATATTGACACTAATGTGAGATTTACCTCTAGGCACATCGCCGAATCATGGCCTACGCTATCCCCCGCCCAAAAGTGGTAAATGTTATTGTATATACGCTGCACAATGATGACTATAGGAACATATTTAACTAACAATGACTGTTTGGTACTGGTTACCTTGCACTCGAATCACCTCCTACAATAAGGCCATCTTGTTTCAGCTCGAGACAACCGCATCCCCACCGCGAACTAGAGGAGAAGTAGATACACCTTTACCTTGTTTAATCTAACGATTATATTGTAATTCGAACCCATTCAGCGCTTCATCCATCTCCATGCAAGACCTATACAGCCATTCAATACGCTAAGTCAAGAGAAGCAATCCAACCAAGTCCAGGCCCCGGGCTCCACCCAATATAGCCAACAGTCCAACGACAAGTCCACTGGCGTCGGCACAAATTAACGAAATGTTTGCTTCAACCCTTCTGTGGCGTCTGTCGACCATGAAGGACTGGCAGGCAGGCTAGCATCCCTCGTGCAACAGTGTCGTTTCTCCTCCTTTCTTTAATTGCTTTTTGCGCTTGCTTACGATCATCCTTCTTAGGTCTTTCCCCGGTAAGCTACTCACGTTCAAGCACTTCTTTGCTAGCTCCTAGGTAGTGCATGGCTAGTTCGCGGGGCGGACGAATCTATATCAAGTAGTGATTTATGGAGTGGTGGCGGGAAGTTGCAGCACATACGGATACGACATGGTAGGTTAGGTGCAATGGAGCGTTGAATGATGGAGCTATCCTAGAATAGAGTAGGGGACCCTGGTATAGAAAAATTGAGTATGTGCATGTACTCAGTTGCAGAGTTTATTGTAGCAGCACATTGTTTATCTCGTCCAGCTTTTTATTGGAAAGGTTTAGTGAGTCTGAGCGTATCTTGTCTCGGATCTTTGGACCTCGGGCTTGGAATGAACGATGGGGATACAGCCTAGGCTTCTGGTGATGAAACAATACTGTCTTCTGACGAATTATTTCCATGTGAAACCAACCTACCCAGATGCATTCTCTATAGTTATCTACAGACCTGGGTCTGAGTCAGCAGGGGCACGAACCCGGCCCCCATGAATGCTCATACGGATGATTATGGTTGTACAGAGCTGAATAGATGGCCCCTCGAGAGCCGGGCACTCCCCCTACCTGTCAATAATAGGCAACAGAAAACAGACAGAGGTTAGCTGTTTCAGAACGGACTAGTTCGCAGAGTAGAAAATCATAGACCCTTTGAGCATATAATATCTTATGAAAAGCAAAAGAAGAGATTGGGAGATCAAGAAAGAGGCTGTGCTATTGAATAGACTGGGTTGTATCAGCTTAAGACGTCGACCTCTCCATCTCAAACAGAGAGGTAGCGCCTCCAGCATGCGGGTAAAAATGCAAATGCGCTGCGAAAGTACATAGTCTATCATGATACAAGTGACGTTGATGCACGTAAGCGTTCCTGTGTAGCGTATAGGGGGAGGACATGACAGAACATGAAAAATCAAAGGATTCCAAAAGGGTATAGACATGGATCCAGTCCAGGAAACAGGAGAAAGCGGGTAAGGATCCTCCTGTGGGGGCGACACTGTCGCAGGAAAAGGATATTGACATGGGAGCTTGGAGAACTGAGAGGCTAGCTCTCGAAGCAAGCGCCTCGCCAGTCTGAACAAAAGGCCGCGGGCAAGAGTGCATGCATCGAGGCGCCGGCCCCAAAGCCCCTTGGCAAATGCAGGAGATCATGAGGATTTTACTGAATGGGATCCCTACGCCTGGACGGCGGGTGGGCGCTCGGGTAGCGGTGGCGAGTGACTTGCAGGACGAGACCGCATCGGCAGAGACATGTTCGCATCGGGAACTGGGGGTGCCTCGATCTTCATCGGCTCGTCCGAGCTCTCGTTCTCGTCATCGCTGGAAGATTCCTGGCCACGGCGACCATGGCGCTGGTCTTCCTCTCTGCGCTGGCGCTTGTCGCGAACGTACTCATCGCGACGGGCATCTGAAGAAACGTCAAGTAAGTTGGCTGTGTAATTTGAAGATGTTGCCGCAATTTTGAATTGGAAGAGCTTACCTCGAATCTCCTGTGTCTTCAGAGCATACGCCTGGATCTCCTCCTTGGTCAGAACCCGCAGCACGATTACGAAGTCCGGTCGCTCCTCGTATCGCTCGTTGCCCGCTTCCAGTGCAGCGGGATTAACGAGACGTCGGTCGATCTTGGTCCATCGAGCCGTCGGTGGAATTCCGTTTTTGTTAGCATCCTTCAACGGAGCCACGCCTTCTCTTATTGGGTTGGGCTCTTCAGGGAACGCCTTCTTAGGGGGCTTGAGAATGCCCTTGGGCGCGGGCTGCTCAGGCTCTATTGTGGCAGGGGGTTCAACAGTAACCGGCTTGCGAACTTCCTCTCGATGGTCAATGGACGGAGGGCTTCGCACCTCCGAGGACCGTCCATCTTCAGGGGCCCGCCGTGAGCGAGACCGATGGTGCGACCAGTCTCGTGGGGGACGTCTAGCCGAGCGGTCTTCCGCACTGCTGGTATCGGTACTGCTATGTCTGCTCCGATGTGGTGCTGCGGCAGGTTCACGCCTGTACTTGTGGAGGTCTTCATCGTCCGTATAGACCTCCGAGTCACTCTCCGAGCGTCGGGTGTTTCGTCTCCGCGAATACGTACGTCGACGGTGGGCATCACCGGGCTCTAGGTATAGATGCTTGCCTCGCTCCGATTTGGAGGGGCCACTCTCTGCAACCTCCCTAGTGGAGGGCTGGGCGGAGTCGTAGTCGCGCTCGGCCTCGCGGCGTCGGTGACGGCGTCTCCCAGGTCTGGGTTGTTCGTGGTCGGAAGCATCCGGGAAACCACTAGCCAGGGCAGCTGTACCAAGCCCGGCTACAGCCAACGCCCGATCGTTACCGCCATTGTGTGGTCGCGGGGACCGATCATCCACATGGCGCCGGTGGTCCTCGCGACGCGATCTGCGGTGGACATCACTGTAATAGTCATCGTCGGATTCATGGGGCAAGGGCACCAAAGCACGCTCGTGGCCGGCGGGTGCCCTTGTTCTAGAGGTATCCCGGTGCTCATCGAAACCTCGAGCAGAGCTTCGAGGCCGGCCGTCGCGATCGATCTTGTCCAGACCCCAAGAAGTAGGGGGCGGCCCGTGTGAGCGGGGTTCCTTGCTGCGCCCCAGCCATTGAGGGTGATCCTCGGCCAGATTCATGCTCATCGGCCGGTCAATGGATGACCGACCTGAGGGATGGCGCGGACGTACAATGGGATAGTCGCCGGACAAGTCTCGTCTGGCTTCCTCGCCTGGCCCAGTGTAGGAGTAGGCATCGTAGTTATCAATGTTATATCCCTTCTTGGGCCCATCGTAGGGCGGATACCGCCGCCGGCCCGCCGGTGGCTGAACACGGTGTGCACCGTGATGGGCGCCTGGTCGGTGTCTCGCACAATCCCGCATTTCCAGGCGGCCAGTGTCGCTTGCGTAGTCAGTGCTATACACCCGTCGGTGACCACCGCCATGACGAGAAGAGGTGGTGGGAATCATGTGGCGTGAGGGCTCTGCGTGGAGAGGACTAGGAGTGCGATGGTCGTGGCCCGAGCCGTGGACCGGGCGAAGATGTGATGATGAGGATGACGGCACAGCCGGCCGGCCGGGGATATCATAGATGTCTGTTGCGGATACGGTGTGACTTCGGTGTCTGGTTTGCGGCTGAATTGCATATTCGGTTCGCTTCTTTGTTGAGTGACCGGGTTCACGGTATTTCTGGGTAGAAACGGGCTGAACATCGATTGTGGACCGGTGGCGGGGGTGATGGCGGTATGTGCTGGTATAGCCCACGTCCGAGGGGTAATAGTGGTCATCATAATCGTGTCGGCTTCGGGGCGCCTCGTATGGATCAAGAGAGGAGCCCAGATGGACCATGCCAGTCGACGCTCGTGGGCCAGTCGCGATATGCCGACCGCCAGTAGGCGAGAGGCCACGGAAATGGCCGGAGAAACCCATCTTGTTTGCAGAATGGCAAGGAGTACACACGCAAAAGCTCGAAGCGGCCGGCGCCGAGGCTCACGTTTACGGTTGCGAGGTCAGGACGAATCGTGCGTGTAAATGCTGTGCGGTCGGCGTTAGAAGAGGGGCAACATTTTCAAGATAAGACAGATGACAGGAAGTAAGGAGGGAAATCAACCTAGTGAGCGCAAGGTAGCGGAGACTGTCACTTTTTTTTTTCCAGTCTCTGATATGGAAGTATATCCCTAGATTCCAAGAAGCTAGGAGTGAGGGGAAAAAAAAGCAACCAGCGGGTCGAATCGAGTCGAAGATAAACAAAAACGCGATGGGAGCTCAGGAAATTGAAAGGGGCTGATTGATCAATTCGACACCGGGGCCGAAGACAGTGGAGATCTAGCGGAACCCAACTGGATGCCCAAAGATGAGGCCGAAATGGTGTGTGAAACGAAGAGGAAGGGGAAGAAAGGAAAGAAGATCGGGCTGGTCAGATTACGAATGACGCACAAGTGGACTCGCGGGTGGTCAGTGATGGTCAGTGACGAGCCGAGTGGTCCAGTGACGAGCCCCCAAGCAAACCGAGAGACATGATTCTCCCCCACCTTCCACGCCTGCAGCCCCGTTGGCCCCCGTTGGCCAATAAGCCTGGGCCATTGTTGGCTGGTTATTTCTGGGTCTATGCAATTCCTCAAAACATTCTGTACTTTGTGGGCTTATACTATCGGTCCGATGCTGATTATGTATTGCAGGTGTGGTCGGTATCTTCCCTTAACACATCCATCCCTGTCTCGCCGTCCAGCATTATTCCCACGCTTCGGCAACTCCATCACGATCGAAGGGCCCAATGGCCAACAGCCCCATAATGTCGTGCAGCATGGAAGCATTCAAAACTTCGAAGCCTCCTGGAATGCCCTTGGAAAGGTGGATTATCAGCGGGACGATCCGTGGACAAGGAATGTCTGGAACATCTGGAGCCGCATCTGAAACCATGGATCACCGAGTTCTCCATCGTGGATGGCTGGATTAACCAAATATTCCAGCGGCCCCTCCTCCCGAAAGTCTCCCCTTCTTCTTCAACCCAGCAATCCTCTTACCGACATCCCACTAAGGACTCCCCCTCCTCCGCCATGCAAAGCGTCCATCTCCCGGCGGTCAATTGCGGCTCTGAGGGGCGCGGTGAGGGGCTGGGGCTTGGGGGATCCACCTGGCACCTGCCCTCTCCTGTAGTTTTGCGCCCGGGTTGCGTGCCGGGCAAGACCTCGCCGGGTTGTCGCGGGGCTGTGTCTCCTCCCATTCGCCATACATCATTATCGTCATCTCCTGGGATCGGGTTGAGGGAGTAGGGTTGAGAGCATGCCCCTCCCCCCCCGATCATGAAACGGGTCACACGGCAAGATTGCAACCTACTCGAATGGGACGGCGAAAGGCTATTCCCGCCGCTTTGTGGCAACCGTGAAACGGACGAAATTGATCATGTCGAAGGGGACATAGAAATGAAAATAGGGCTCTGTGGAAGTTTATTCCGCAGGGCTTATCGCCCATGCACTAATATTTATGCAAGATCTTTGAAGATGTAATACTAATCTCGGTGCTAGTTGCCATTGACTCCTGTGCGTGCACAGCCACGCAAAGTGAGGTGATCACCTTACTTCATCCTCATCAGTTGCAGGACCAAATTCTATCGAATCGCAGAACAATCTCATCTCTCGCATTGGAATAGATTCCCCTCACTGGATGTCCTTGCACTGTTTACAATGGCAACCCTCGCCGTTCCTTGATTCGCCCCGAGCTTGGGCATTCCCCTTCACCCTGGTCAATTTCATCCAAAACTTGCTTCATCATGGTCCAATCCTCATGGAACCGATTGTTCCAGTACCACTTACTGTATGCCCCTCTTGATTCTCCGAGCCTTCTCGTAGCATACCAATCTCCACTCTCCCATTCGCGCCCTGTCAGAGCAAAAGCCCTCAACCCACATTGCGGACTACCGTGCTCCTGGAAACAGGGCACCCGGCCGGGCCTGCGGAAGGGCAATCCGTGAGGCATTTAGCTCAGCACCCCCTACCCCGTCGATACCGAGAAGACACTCAAGGAAGGAGAAGGCGCGGGGTGTGTGGGGGGGGGGGGGGGGGCTTAGTCTTCAATTTCGACATGCCCTCAATAAACCTCCCCCTCTAGCCCCGGTGCATTACACCTCAGGCGAGCCGAGGAAGATCCGCAAGAAACGCTTCGTGCCTCACTTTCGTTCAAAGATCGTTTGATACTCGTTTCACAGGCTTCAAGTCCCCGCCGCCTGTCTGCCCCTAGCCCGGGCCGTGAGCCCTCACGGGTGCCGGGTGCAGGCGCGGAGGGTCACGGGCATGGCTCAACCCTAGCCTGCGCAGCGCAGACAAAGCGAGTTGACGATTGGATGCTCATCAAGCAATTCGCCAGCTTTCCCAGCTTCACTTTGAACTTTTGTGACTCAGCACACCGGAGCTCGCCGATATATCGACCTAGAGCCCAGGTCAACTGCCAACTCTGGCGGCGTCGAAGGAGATTCTGATTTGGGTGCGGGCGTGGGCTGTGTGAAGGAGACAGACCAAGGTCTATGTCGGTGGACTCTGGAAAATCGTGTCTGCACTCTCGGGATCTCCGGCTGGGTGGGCGATTGAGCATCACCGGTGCCGAAGGGCATTGGATCTGATCGGTCGAGAATGGAGGGTTTTGATTTCCTTGACCTTCTAATCCGCCCTCACCCCGCGCCCTCATGAAGTCTTGTTCCTGTCCTGCCTCGTTGGTCAGGGCTTGTTATGGCTGTGAACAAGTTGTGGCAGATCGATACTGGCTTGTTATGTGATGTACGGTGTGAGCAGGGTCGCAGGGAGGGTTCGACGATGTTTTTCGATGCTGTTTTAAATAGGGCTTTCTCTGCGGTAAGATTTCGTTCCTCTTCTCATCAATTTCTTCGGTTTTTCAAATTATATCAAGATCAAGCATTAGAATCGTCAAAGAGAGTGGCCACATTCGCAACAGACATACTTGCATCCTTTTGGCGTTTTCATATAAGCGATACATTATCACGATCAAATTGAATATATTTACTACTCAATACTACAACAAAATGCAATACAACAACCTTTTCCTGACCGACATGTTGGAATCAACCAAGTCCTATCTACCCGACGCCATCATCTCGCCTTTGCCTGGACCCCAAACCATCGACGAGAACGTTGATGACGACTATCTCCTCATCTCGCAAGTGCAAGTGATCCAGCCCATGTACAGCGCAATCCGCATGAATGCCGTGTGGTGGGTTTGCTCTGAATGCAGTAGCATGAATAACCCTGCTTTGGCGCCGGAACGATGCTCGGTCTGTCAGCACTATAAGTGCGAGAGTTGCTCCAGCGTTGTTGTTTAAATCTGGACGTTCCCGTGTTTGCGCTCTTCCAGTTTCGGAGAGCTACTTGGCGCTTTGGTATTCTATTGGCGTCGGTATGGGCTTGGAATTGGGCTTGGGGTTAGAGGGCATGGGCCTAGACGGGCATGGGCTAAGACGGGCATGGGCTTAGACGGGCATGGGCTTGGGTAGATATAGATACGGGGGGTTGGTGTTCAGGCTGGGAGTTCCCGGTATCTGGGTCTGCGATCCTTCGAATTTGTTAGATTTTGTTGCTCGGATACTATTGGACAATTGGTTAATTGGCTCATATGGACGGTGTACTGGTGCAGAGGTCAATCTTGAGATAACGGCTCGGGCTTGACACATTTTCGGGTTTATTGTATTTCTTTGGTGATTCTACTTGTTTCCTGTTTCACACTCGTTGAATCTCGTTATTTCCTATGTCATGAACAATCACACTCTTTGATCTTTTCTTTTGCTTGTGGATTTTTTTTATTCCTGTCTCGTACGAAGATTAGGATCCGAGGAATCGATACTATTCTTGACTTTCGTATCAGACCCTCTAGCCTCCTTCCTATTCTCCGTAGTGAAAGCGTCCCCTATGTACGGCCACTTGAATTGGCGTAGCTGAGCCCTATGGTTGACTGTGATACAGTCGCTGTAGACATGTAGTGTAGGTAGACTAAGTACCTCTTACCCAGGCGTGGCAAGAAACTCAGCCCTATGCGTGGGGCCAGATTGGCCTGCATGGGCGGCAAGCCTCCGAACTCGACTTGCTCCGATCCATTTCGGGCGTCGTGCATCACAGCAGTGGGGTCGAGTTCGTCCTATGCACATAATTCCTTACGATAATACGAAGATCTAACGATATCAGAATTAGTGATGATATTTCTATTTCCGGATCCCAATGCAGATCACGATCTATCTTTGACGCGGCGGCTACTGCTCACACGCGCAGATGGGGGCCTTGGTATCGCCCCATTCCCAGATTCTGGCGCGGGGGCCGGGACCAAACCGGCCTCCTGCTTAAGTCGAGTCACCACGGGGCCTAGGGCAAATGCGCTTTCTGAGCTGCTGTGATCGGCACACGGACTCTGTTTCAGAGGGAGGAGCCAGTCGGTGATGCTGTGGCCCATGACCTGTTGCAGGTTCTTGAGGTAGCTATCGAGGCTGAAGGGATTTTCACCTGGGAGTGTGTGGAGGATGGCGAAGACGTGGCGCTCGCCTGTTGATGGGGTTGTTGTTTGGGGTTGGGATGGCGATGGGGTTGGTTGGAGGGGGTAGGATACCATGCGGAAGGTTGGCGCCCAGGGGGAGTCGGTGGCCCAGAGCCGGTCCAACATGTGGTCTGGGACTCGAATGGCGAGGGTCCAGACGACGGAATGGCGGTTTATGTTTTCAATTGTGGTCATATTTAGCATGGCCATCTGAATGGAGCTGAGGGACATTCCCGCGGAGAAGAAGCCGAAGAGAGCGCTCCTGGATATTAAGTCAGCTTAGAAACAGGGAAAAAACGTAATGACTGTAGGTACGCACAGTCCGATACAAACAGCCCAGTGGGCATTGGCGCCGCCAGTCTTGGAAAATGTCAGTTTTCGACGTTGCTACCACATTGGGGAGGTAGGTACTTACGTTGCGCCGAATCTCCGCCGTATAGTATGCAGAGACGATCAGGATGTATGCACAAAAGATGGCAGTGTACACGACGAATTGGATGAAGAACTTGAAAGATGTCTCAGAGACCACGCCTCCCACCCTGTGAGCGCGTTAGCAAGCCGAATGTCTTTCTCCTTTGAGGGACGAAGCAACCTACCAAGGACAGAAATGATCCATCTTGCGCACACATCGATCTACTTCCCGACAATGATGCGCTCGGTCCGTCTTAAACTGGCAGCAGGAAGAGCAATACGGCGGCCGGCCATCCTCCTGGCAAACAAAGACATCTTTTGTATAGAAGCTCTCCAAGCCGAAGGAATCAAGCTCGTATGCCTTGCCGCCCGCGTGATTGTTTATACCACGCTCCAAGTCCACGTCCACGTCCACGTCCACGTCCACGTCCACAGTTCCCTCTGCCTGGTGGTTCTTCTCCGCGTCTCGCGTCCTTCGCGAGCTGCTCTTGCGACGCCGGCGCTTCCCATGTTTGGGTTTGGGATCATCCGATTCGGCCTCGGCGCACACTCGTTCGGCACCGAGCGGCAGGTAACCGGGTTTGACAATGACATTAAAAAGAAGTCGAGTATAGGTCGATACAACGGGGATTAAGAGAAGATAATAGAGCGCAACGATGACGGCGCCAGCGCCGACTCGAGGGCTTTGGTTGTAGGAAGGTAGAGGATGGATGAGATAGTCAACTTTGGCAATGAGAACGAAAAGTCAGCATGAGGCATTTACAGTGAAATGGCGCAGGCACCAGAATCGGATTATCACTCACTGCATAATGTCTTCGTAATGGCGTAAGAAGCGTAAATGATCGCGCCGAGTAACACGGGCGGGATGATCCTCGAGACCACTAGGTTGACGCGCTTCTGCGCAGCTGTCGCCATGTGTTCTGAATTATTCTGCCTCGAGGTTCATACGAATACATGAAAACTAAAACGTTAACAATGCGGGGGCTGGAACCAGGCAGCGCGATAGCGGTGCGACTGGAAGGAAATGGATGATTTCGAGAGACAAGAGGCAGATCGGAAAAACGGGGACGATGAGGTCAGGGCGTTCCGTAAACCTGGCCCGGTCCACTTGGCAGACCGCCCGACGCAATCACGGGAGCCTCGCCCCGGTGGCCCCGAACGCGTTTAGAAGTGTGTGATACCTGGCATCTTTTTGTTCCACTAAGTATCGTGTCGGGAATCCAATAGATGACACGAATCCAATATCAATAATGCCTTGTATCCGGGGAACGATCGGCCGGGGCACCATGATCTCGGCGCCCTGTTGCCTGGGAGAAGCGGACATGAATTGACCAGTATAGAGACAGTCGGGATGATCATCCGTGTCATATTTCTCTCGATATGCCAAGTTGAGACATGAAGTTGTCCATTTCCCGGGTGGTAATTGAGTATGCCTTGGGCTGTATACGGTGGCAATGGACTCCCAGTGGTCAATAGGATAAGAGTGATGTCAAAGGGCGCGGGATGCCGAGGGTTAGGAAAGTCTAGATATGAGGAAGAATGACGAGAAATCCCTTTGTAGAAAGTACTATTTCGTTGTTGGCCGCAAGGACCATAAGAAAATCGAAATTGATTTTCCATAACGAAAAAAAAGACGAAAAACACAGCCTCGAAAGGAATGATCGAAAACGAAATCAAAGAACCCGGGCAAGACTTCCCATTCAAACGGATAACCCTGGAAATGAGTCCTCGCAATCAGCTTGTTTAATTGACAAGTAGATGGGACCAACGAGAAGCCGAGAAGCTTCATTTTGCAATGATGGATGACTGCACACCTTAGGCAGCAGAGGCTTAGCGCGCACACCTGACCGCAGGTGACTCCTCCGTTCGAGTCACCGCCCGCCGCTGCCTGTGAATTGTGGAGATGCATTTCATCTTTGCTCCAATATTTCAAGGCTCCAGGCAAGGCATCATACAGAGTTATGCGGGTACAGCTGAAGGGCGGGGGTGGAATGAGATAATGAGATAATGGGCTAATGGGCTAATGGGCTACTGGGCTAATGGGTTATTGGGTTACCGAGGAGGTGGGGGGGAATGGGTTGAACGGGGGTTGTGGGTGAAGAGGGTTGAAACCGCTGAACGAAACCGAAGATGATCGCAGACCGCGATTCGGAGTGCCCGAGAAGTGTACACGCCATACAATCTTCATACGGTTCGTGTTCTTTCTAGACGGTGTAGACATGTGGCCGCAGCACTTTGCCGGGCTAGTTCCCATGCAGGACATGGGCAGCGGCTGTCAGGGCACGGTGGAGAAGAGCGGTTGAGTCAACGCCAAACTGCCACACGAGCTTGTCCGGGTACAATGTGTACTACCGGATGACGATTCCAGGCGCCATTTCTCGGCAAGAACACAGAGATGGCCGTAATCAGCAATGATTCAATGTAGACTGGGGCGATCACTAGTTACTTTTGGTTAAACCCACCCGGGCGTAGTCTACTCCTCCAGTCAAGGCACGCTTTTCAGGCTGGCAGGCTGCACAGGCCGTACGGGCAAGTCTGTACAAAGGTACCAAGAGGTACAACCACAAAGCCACTTCTGCCGGGGGGCTTCACCCCGGGTTCATGGTGCCCTTGGAGAGAGAAACCAGACCGCAAGTTCGTAAATAATGACAACGATGATGAGTATTCTAGACTTTGAGAGTGGTTTTTTTGGATTTGATTTTCCGGTGGCCCCAAGGCTCATACTGGACCCCAGAAAAGGGCCGCTTACCGGATTGGGCTGGGCTGCCTTGAGGCAGCCTGGAGCCCTGGGCTGAGAGCCTACGGTGGATAGCCACAAGGATGCCTGGAACGCTTCAGTTCTGGTATATCTCTCTATTCTCTAATTTCCTATATATAATTCTTGGAATCTCCCTGGTCTCGTGTTCTTTCAATTCATTCTTCATCCAACGCTTCCAACAATCCAACAATCCAACAATCCAACATACAACATACAACATACACTTCCACGACTCCACACTCTTCATAACTCTATCAATTCTGATCAGACTTTGACCAACGTCTTTAAATCCTTCCACTCAAAAGACCCTTTGACATAATCTTCACACCCATATCTATCGGCACTCCAACACGACTGCCAACCGTTCTATCTACCCATCCAGCCAGTCTACCACCTTCTTCCAACAACATGGCAACTCTGTGGTATTGCTGCGGCTGCAACTTCGGCCCCTTCAACGCCGACCTCTACGACTCGTGCATCAACTGTGGTAAATACGCCTGCTCGATGTGCACTCGCGAGAAGGTTACCAACAGCAACTATGACCACACCTCCCACTTCCACGCAGCCCACGGTTGCCACGAGTCCTCTCCATACCCATCTGCCGTGACTATGGGCCCTCCACACTCCGTCTCCCTGCAGACCAAGGCCATGGCTGCCACGGGACTAGGAGACCTCCACAGCATTCGGTCTCTATCACGACGAATGCCTTTGGCACTGGCATCGCCGTTCCCCGGCGCGATGCAATGCTACACCGAGACATACATGTACATCTGCTGCAGATGCGGGGACGGGCCTAAGGTCTATAACAACCAACCTCGATGTGTCTGTTGCAATCACGAGGCTTGCGGAGACTGCGAGCAGGTCAAGTAAACACCTTTGCCGTGTCTACTGTCTTTGCTGGCGAAGACGGATTTCTTGATACCTCTCATGTCTGCTATGGTAAGAGCCACTTTTTACTACCTATTGATTGATCTCTGGATTGGAATTGGTTAGCTAACTTGCCCACGTACAGTGACTCCGACTACTTTGACGAGCTATTTTTTGATATTCTGAATCTATGTTTGATTGAGTTTTTTTGCCGTTCTTATGTTTTCTTCATTGTCAGCATCTTGAGTTTATTTCTGTATTGAATCATTGAGCTTGTTTCATCGGTTTGCTTGTTTTCTGATATTTTCTTTTTTTGGAAGCGGGATTGGAAGGACTATGAGCATTGGGCCTGGTGCATTTCATTATTTCATTTTTACCATGTATTGTTGCATGTGACATTCACCATATGTTTTGATTTTCCTTCTGATTTATTACTCTCCTGTTACGATCTGCCTTTTGTTTTTTGCAAAGCCGATCGCCGTCATTGGTTTATTATCACGATTTAGACGAGAATAGAGACGCAAGTTGAAATCCGGATATAGATCTGATGCTTAAATTAGTTTAGGGCCAAACTGATGTAAGCAGGGCGGGAATTGGAAATTGGAAGTGGATCCAGCTTGTCTGCCTTGCGCCAAGTCCGATCAAGACACATTCAATCCGATTATGGTTCAAGTCTTCATGATTCGAGAAGGTCATCTCTGTCTGATCCAATAAGATCCCCGTAAATATTAGGTTATTTTCTTCGTTCTTTCTTCTCCTTTCTGTCTCCCTTACTCTATTGGGTCCCCGAAACGAGGAACCCGGGTAACCTGTGACTACGCCATGCATATCGTAGGAGTCATCGTATGAGTCTTCATATCTTCAACCCTTGGGAACCCTGCAAGCTACCCTGCTCTCTTTGGCCGAGCCGCAACGCCCAAGCATGCATCATTGATTCTTGGCTCGTTCAACAGGGATTGTATCGGCGTGACTTTTGAGCCTCCGAACTATGGTCCAATGAGAACCTGCATGCTATGCTTGGCCCAGTCATGCCTACCGACCAGGCTAGACTCGGGCTAAGGAGGTTCATGCTGGGCTGAGGGGTTGGAGTCTCGTTGCTAACTGGATGATCCGTTCAATTCAATCCCGGGCGTCTGCCACTCCGCAGGAAGTTGGAATTCTTTACCGTCTTCTTGACTTCCCTTCGCATGGAATTCTTCGTACGAGACTAATGCCCCAGCCCCGCTACTAGCAGCCAAGCCAGCTGCTGTGCTGTGCCTGAGAAGTGAAGACCGCTCTTTGGCGTGGTTTTACGCTGCGACAGCCCTACGTGCATGAGTAAAGAAGCGGTGCGACAAGGTTGTTCCCTTCCCCCCCCCCACTGAATAATCCTCGAAGCGCGAACCATGTACAGACGGGGTATTGTATACTTCCTTCCACTAATGCATGCACAGAAACGTTCATCGTCATTCCGATCTCTATTGATTTTTATAATTTACAATATACTTCACTATCATTCTATTCAACCATTTAGTTTTTTTCATCACTACCCTACCCCTTCCAACCCATCACCCTTTGCCCCTCCCCCTTCTCGCCCCCATTCCCAACCCACGCGAACCCGCTTGCGCGCGTCTCAGCCCCGCCAAGCGCATTCTCGAAAAGAACCCGTTCCAACCCTCAAACCCACATCGCGCTGAGATGCAGGCAAATCGTTTGAATGAACACATCTCTCCTCCCGACCCGGCATCCACAACCCGAGGAGGCTGTGCTGATGGATAATTCCTCCCCCTTCTCGGGGCCACGCCCCGGCCGTTTGGTCTTGGCTTTGGCCTTGCCAAGTCCAGAGTTAGTGTGTACGACTTAACTGGTCAAAGCCTATCACCGACAGTCGCATGCCCATCTGTTTGGTTCCGCGGAGCTCACGCTGGAAGCCTCGAGCGCGGCTCCACAGCTTCGCCTCAGGCCCCATTGACGTCGATTTTTGTATACTAGTGACCGTCGGAGAACTATTACAGCGTAGTGAGGTACTCTAGTCTCCAGCTGAACTTGCTCAACTAACTAACGGTCTAACCAAGGCTTGTCGTTTAGGTCCCGACGGGCGAATTTACTTCGTACAATGCGACTATTCTGGCTAGTCGTGTTCCTCTCGAGATCAAGTCCATTCCATTCGTCCAATTCCCCAATTCCACCCGGTTCTGCCCTCGGGCGTCACCACGGGACTTTGCGCGATAAACTAACTAAATGTGATGTAGTGCTTGCGATGTCTCCCGGAGTAACCTAAATCTTGACCCAGAAAAGTGAGGCAGGAAGGTCGCGGTTCCCCGGTCCAATGAGTTGGTGATCCTGGCTCCGATCATGATCGCCCGCACATTGGCGGATGTCATGCGGTACACTGGGCTCGGGGTTGGCCTGTATTCCTTGAGTGATTTTGAGTCATAGGCTAAAATTTCAGGTTCCATGATACATATCTTCATAATTCAAGATGGTAGGTTTGGAGATTTTTGTTGATGCTCAGGATCTCGGCACCGTATTTCTCAGAGAGATCGAGTCGCTCCTATACAAGTCACGCGAACATTTACGGCAGAAACGGATGCAAGTGATTGAGTAATGCATATAATGAATAATCTAAACGTGCATTTTTCTTCTCTCTTTCTTCGCGGTTAAGATTAGGTGGTGCCCGTTTATTAATAACATAGACCAGGACTGCAGTTGTACACTATCTCCCCGCACGATATATCTCACACAAGGTGAATGGACTACATGGGTACAACGCGTGGGACGTTTGACCGAGTGTTCCAGAAACCCATGAAACCCAGGAATAAATTCCTCTAGCCACTAGTATTGCTTTTCTAATATGTGTGTTCTCCGTTGCAAGCCTTGTACATGGAACCTGGCATTCGATCTTCTGGCCCCCGCAGTGTTCTGTGCGACCGCGCTCTATACTTAGTAGCGGCTACTCTTAGCCGGTCGTCAACACAAACCCAACTCCGATCTCTTGGCTTTGGGGTCCCAAATTGGGATCCATGTGTAGTGAATGTTCAGCTGGAGACCATGTAATCGGTTCTCTGTGGTGGATTAATTATTTTTGGACTGCCTGCGTCAGGCGGTATTTCTATGTTTATTTTTGATGTGCAGATACGATGGGAAGGGGCATGCCATGTCGTGTGCAAGTGAGTCCGGGTGTAATTCCAAGTATGAAGATTGAATATTTTTTTTTTAATGATGAGAGCAACTGTGCAATGTACTGATTAGTCGCATTTGAAGTGGTTTACACTTGATTCCATAAGAGAGACAGGCGGCACTGCAGAGCTCGGGGTCATGATTCAGACATAGGCGAACGTGCTCATGTAGGATGAGCATCGAATCAGATTTCAAACATTACCAAGTCGCTTGATAGTTCATTATGCTGCGAACGCAAGGGCCAGTGTCACATAACTTCGGACTGGTCCGATTTATGACTCGTACACAGCATTTGGTGACTAGGGAAGGTTGTTCTGAAGATTGAAAACATGTTCACTGTTGCTATGAATATGTGCTGGAAAAGGATCCATCGACCGGCGAATCATACTCATTCACCCTCCACGTTCCAAATGAAAAGAAATTTATTTAAGGAAACCATATCAGCGTCATGAGAAGCTCGGGTAAGTTGCGCGGCTCCTCGTAATCACCGAAGCTGAAGAGCAAAGTTACGACCAACAGCTGTAAAAGATGTATATATCCTCAACGCCGGTTCACCGCGAGCCACAGAAGCTTAGGATGCAGAAAAATCGACCAATATCAGGAGCTGATCCAGAGCGAGTCAAAATTACCGCAGTTGCTCGAAAGCCGGACTGTGGTTCAAATGCAGGAAAACGCCGAGCGGGCTAATAATGCATGCATAAGAAAAAAGGTGGAGGGAAAGTGAGTCAACGAAATGCCTCGGAGTCCAGCCGTGGGACATGCGAAGGGGGTATCGCAAAAGAGAAGTGGTTGATGTTGGATAACAAAAGCTTGGCGATTGCTCGCCGGCCGAGTTGGCAGGATGCGCTCACCAGAACGCAAGGAGGAATGCCAGCTCACCTTTCAAGATGTTCACTCATTTTATGAGAGGCCATAGTGTGATGGAAGAATTGTGAAATGTTACAGGGGTAAGACTCGCGATGGGTCTTGAAGAAAGCGCCTACGGTATGCGGCTATCTCAGAAGCGACAGTGCTGAAATCTTTCACCTTGTCACGCCGCATCTCGTTGATAATCTCTTTCAACCCGGCGAGGTAGGTTTCTTTTTCTTCTTCGGTTTGTCCTTCTCGGACCGATCCCATTTGAATAAGGATCTTGTCATCTGTCAAGGTTAATAGCACTGTGGTCAGCAAGCGGACGGGGTAAGAAAGAAATAGTAGATGAAGTGGTGGGTATGAACGAGGAAGATTGGAAATTGAAATGGAAGAAAGAAGTCAAAAAGGTGGCCAAGATTGGTGCAGGAGTAGGAAAACCATATCGGAAGATGCACGGCTGTTAATTTGTCGACGCACCGCTTAGACTCATGTCCCGGAAGTGCTGAAATTCACAGGACCGATCATTGCACACGCCACCGGCCAATTCGAATGGGCAAAGATGTTTCATCGGATCAATGTCATGACTGTAAGTCAGCGAACGGTAGCCGTCCGAAACCTCTTCGGTATAGCGAGGGTGGTAGCGATAGGCCTTGAAGTGTCGCAAGGGACTGACGTAGGGAGAAAAATTTGGCACTGAGGTTTTGGGCGAAGATTTAACCTGCAGGGGATTAGTCCAAGATCATGATGAGTTTCTCCCCGGGGAAAGGTGTTTTTCATACACCAAGGATATCCGCATCCGACCCCTGATATACTGGCCTTGCCTCTAGAGAGGTCACTCGAGGGGTCTCCGTTAGTGGTTTGTCAATTTGAGACGCATCAAGCAGAGGCTGCAAATCTGCAGTATCTTCCAGGGAAGCAGGGGGCGGAGGGCTGTAGGTCGAGCGAGGCGATTCCGCGCCAGTTTCCGGCTCTGGAGGTTCATAAGCTTCCGACTCAGCAGAAGATTCGGCATCGGACAAGTCCCCCTCCTGGTCATTGTGGTCAGTAGGTTCGTATTCGTCTTCCTCGTCTTCCTCGTCTTCAGGCCCGTCTTCAGCTTCGGCTTCAGCTTTGGCTTTAGCTTCGCCTTTGGATTCGCTTTCGGATTCGCTTTCGGGTTCCTCCTCATCAATGTCGTGGGCGTCGTCTTCGACATCTCCAGCTTCCTTTTCAATCGCATGAACGGGTGGGCGGTCAGGCACAGGATGATCTGTGATGTCGATTTGCATCTGGTCATCGTCCACTGTCTGAGCCGTGTCCACTATGGCCTCGGCATCTGACGCCTCAACTTCTTCTTCACTAGCTGAATCTTCGTGGGAACGAGATTCGCCAGAAACAGAAACAGAGTCGTCAGAGCCAGAGCCGCCGGAATCAGAGTCGCTAGAACTAGAATCGTCCGAGCTAGAATGATCCTCAGACTCATCCAGGACAGAACAGGTGGCATCGGGTTGAGCAGGTGCTGGGGCCTCATTCAGGCCCTTCACGGTATCAACATTTGTAGGCTCATCAGCATAAAAATCCGATTCAGAAGAATGAGAGGCCAAGACAGCTGCGACTTCTTCTTTGGCAGCTACTGGGGCATCCGCATCTGGAATCACGATGTCCTCTGAATCTGCGACTGACTGTGTGGTTGCTGATAATAGAAGATTGCAATTAGCTACAGCTGTCGATACGCCGAAAGGGAATGGATGGCTTCTCGTCGGGTAAGTACCTTCTCGTGCGGCAAGGTGTTGCTGCCTCGACGCCGCCTGTCGACAAAGTTCGTCCATGTCCGCCATGGTCAATCCGTTTAAGTCGTAGCTCAAATTCTTCAGTTCATCAATGAGTTGCATTCGTGCCTCCTTCTCGTCGGTAATACCACACAAGAACCTGTCAGCTTCTTCCTTGCACGAGACAAGGTCGGAGTCGGAGAACGCAGTTTCAGCATCCAAGTCGGAAAGGCCCTGCTCGATCTCCCCGATGCGCAAAATCTTGCATCTGAGACTATTTAACTGTGCGCTTTTCATTGAAGCCAAGATTCTTATTGACGAAGGACTGAAAGAATCAATCACGTTGAGTCGAACGCCAAGGGCTACCCTGGGTGTAGTATTTGGCTCCTTTGCTTCCCTGACATCGGTGGCTGGGGGTGCTGGTGGTGTCCCGACAAGATCTGCAGATGCAGGAGCCGAATCTTCCAAAATGCGTGGAGATTGAGTGCGGCTCGCCGCAAGCTTTGCTTTTCGTCGCTCCTCCATCTCGGCAATCTTGCGATGTAGAGCTTGAATTTCAAGATTCTTCTGGCGCATTTGCTCTTGATCGCTGGGACGTGTTGGGGCTTGCGGGGTAGAGGTAGAAGCCCTTGTACCTGGGACGGATTTCTGAAGTTGAAGTCGAGGAACTTCAAGAGGCGTGCTGATAGTCGCAAGTGCGGAATCTTGGTCCGGACTAGAATCTACATCCATATCCTCGCCTTCGTCATCTCCGTATAGAGATTCGTCGTCACTGATATGAATGATAAGTTTATCTGAATCGCGACTCATATACGGTGCGGGCACTTGGTAATGCTTCTTTGAGATGGCGCCTGCATCATCAAAGTCAGACGCTCGGGGCCGTTTGCGCTGGTTGGCCCTGGCTAATGGAGTTGAGTCAACTGCAATACCCGATGATCCTCCGCTGGAAGATTGAGATTCTACCTCTGGATTTAATTCCGTCAAAGAAAGACCTGGAATTCCAGCCGATTCAGAAGGATGTGGAGCAGGTGGGCGGACAGGAAGGGGATGATGGACTGCCGGTAGAGAAGGACCCGTAGACATCAGAGGCTTCTCCTCTTGGGAAGCCTGGCTAAGCAGTTGAGCCTTTTGTTGACTTTTCAACAATGCTTGTTTCTTGAGAGCCTCAATTCGCTGACGAGCTAACTCTGTTTGAGCCTTGTTTTTCTCCTTTAGAGGCGCTCCATTCTCCTTGGTCTTCTCACTGGAAGGGGTAGTCGATGGACTGGGTGCAGCTGCCGGTGGTTGACTTCCTTCTGAAACTTCCTTAGGCGTGGTGGGCTGAGAAGCCTTTGCAGCTTTAGCAGCAAGCATTTGAGCAATGAGCTCCTTTCTTTCCAAGGGCTTGCCAGAATCAGAAGGCGTAGCGCTGGCAGCAGGCAGTTGTGGGATCTTGTTCTTGTCGGGTTGAGTCGTCTCTTTTGGTCTGTGGACTTGCACAGGAAGTTCGGGCTTCGCAATTTTCTCAGCCGGCGCCACCGTTGCCGGATTTACAGGCCGGGGAGTCGCGACTCTGATACCGACCTCTTCATATAGTTGTTTCAAGACAGCTGGATTGATACCCTCGGCCACCAACTCGTTATACCGAATGTTGTGAGGCGCTAGGCTGAGCAGAGCCCCCTGAGCTTGAACACGGAGCTGCGCCGCAGATTTGGAAGGTGGCGAACTATCCAACTTTGGTGTCGTTGCATTCTGCTTCTGCAGCTCTATTGCGCGATTGACCACTTCTGCGTCCGCAGAAACCGACAGAGGGGGATTATAGGCTAAAAGAAATTAGTAAACAGCAGTAACAGAATGATTTTGGAGATTGCGTACGCGAGCTACTTCTGGTCGAAGCGGATGACTGTGAAGAGAATGTCTCGCCCTCTTCGAAGCTCGCGGGTAGAGCAGCAGATGCGCGGCTCGCCTTAGTTTTTGTACCATTGACATGTTGCCCGATCTCGCCTTCGCTAACTTCACCCTCTTCGCGATTCGAGCTCGATGAGCTCTGAACGTCTCTGACTCGACTCTGAGAACTGGACGGGTTGGTTGCGACGGCTCCTTGAGATTTCATGGACACTGGTCGAATGGTGGAGGACCCTGGCGGCGCTGGCATGGGTGGAAACCCGAATGGGGGAAGAGGCATTTGGGGGAACGGCGGTACAAACTGAGATAGGTCAATCTGGCCCATGAATGGGAACTGAGGAGGTAGAAAGATGCTCGGGTCGCCAGAGTTGCCCTGAGCTAGGAGGCGCGAGTTTGCATTGGTGCTGCCAAGGCTATACTCAAAAGCTTGCGAAGTATCGAGTAAGGGGGGTGGTCCTGCAGCTTGTGATTCCGAGTTCGATGCAAAGTTTGAGGGTATCATCGAGGGAAATGGCAGCGGCCATTGTTGCGCGTAGCTTGGGTGGCCACCAAATTGGGGAGGCGGTTGATTTGACATCTTGAAATGAAACCGGAGCGCGGAAGGTGCGCAGGGAAAGCCGGTACGATATGAGGCTTTCCGTAGACAAGATTATCTAGAAAGGTATGACTGAAGTCAAAGACACCATCCCATATTCGTTGACGTGTGATGCCGCGCGAGTCGTTCCAAGCTTTTCCGTTGTGGCCAAGATTGTTGCTTCTACTTCCGGGAAGCAGACAGGCGGATGGATGCTAGGTAAAGGTGAGGAGGAGAGTAAACTGGTTTCTCTTGATCGATAGGAAAAAGTAGGAGGGCCGAAGAAAACAGCGCGCTAAGCAACAAGGACGCGTGGGATACTCCGTACGGAACTCTGGATTATCCAAGGCTAAGTTAAGCGCCGGTTGAAAAAAGAGTCTATAGTCACGTGATTGAGAAATAGCGCACGGACCAGCGATCGGCGTGGACACCCGAGGAACGCAAGTGTAAACAAACAGCGTCAGCTCTCCGCTTTACATCACACGTCGGTCCCCTCACGCTTGTTTCCTTATTGAGGTCATTTCTCGACTTATCTCTGTTCTTGATCGCTTCCTTTTCTTATTTCCCCACGTCACATTCTTTTCATTGTCTTTAATTTGCCTCTTTTGGCTATGGGAAACGATTGTCACCTCGAATAATGTGCTATTGAACAACCCACCGACATGCTCCCCTCTCAACTCAACAGCTCGCCCAAGCGGGCCAACCCATTTGGGCGGTCCTCCCCATCGCCAGCACCACACTCACAAACGAGGCCAAAATCTGCCATCATAAGTCCCTCAAATGGATTGGAGTCGGCAAGAGGACATCTTCGCAATGCATCAGTCTCACAGCTCACCCCCAGTCGATCTCCAGCATCAATCACTCGACAAAGATCCAATTCGGCACGCAAGGACGCATCCTCAGGAACATTTGCGCCGAGCTTTATCAAGTCCGAAGAGCTACGACGGGGTGCGGACCAAATCCGCGGCCTGGAGGGCGACAATGACTTCTCTGGAAACAAATACGTGTGGTTGCGCGATACTGAAAAAGCATTCGTGCGCGGCCTTGTATTGGAAGAATTGGAAGGAGGTCGTCTGCTAGTACAGACTGACGATGGCGAGGTAGGAGGACTTGCTTCTTTTCAAGGCATCTGAGCATGACTGACAGCACGCGTAGCAGCGGGAGGTAGATGCCGACCAAGTTGACAAGGTCAACCCGGCGAAGTTTGACAAGGCAGACGACATGGCTGAACTGACTCATTTGAACGAAGCCTCTGTGGTTCACAACCTGCATACCAGATACCAATCCGACTTGATATATGTGAGTACCCGCCTACATGGAATCCTGTTCCCTCGCAATACTAATTCCACTCCTCGATAGACATATTCTGGCCTTTTCTTGGTAACGATCAACCCATACTGTCCTCTGCCGATCTATACGAATGAGTATGTGAAAATGTACAAGGGCCGTGGAAGAGAAGAAACCCGGCCCCATATTTTCGCGATGGCAGATGAGGCATTCCGCAACCTGGTGGAGGAAGGAGAAAACCAAAGTATTTTGGTGACGTAAGTCTACCCTTCGTAGGCGTCAATCATTCCGAGACCAGTCTGACCGGCTATACTTAGTGGTGAATCTGGTGCTGGTAAAACCGAGAACACCAAGAAGGTCATTCAATACCTGGCAGCCGTTGCAACTTCTGATACCCCATACGGCCGGTCAGGAACCAAACAGCTATCGAACTTGTCCCAGCAAATTCTTCGCGCCAATCCCATCCTCGAAGCATTTGGAAATGCCCAAACAGTCCGCAATCATAACTCTTCTCGCTTTGGAAAATTCATTCGCATTGAATTTTCACGATCTGGCCAGATCTGCGGCGCGTGGATTGACTGGTACCTGCTTGAGAAATCGAGGGTGGTCAAGCCCAATTCCAATGAGCGGAATTATCACATCTTCTATCAGTTGCTGCAAGGTGCGGATCGGACAACCCGAGAAAAGTTGTTACTGCAAGATCTCCAAATCGAGCATTTTGCGTACACGAAGGATGGCAACGATTCGATTGTTGGAGTTTCAGATAGAGAGGAGTGGAATTCGCTGATTGAGGCCTTCCATGTCATGAACTTCTCCGAAGAAGACCAGCTCTGCATTTTGCGCACCGTCGCGGCCGTTCTCCACCTGGGCAATGTCACCGTGGCTAAAGAGAGCGTGCGCGCTGATCAAGCTGCTCTGGCTCCCGAAGGCCACGCGAACGTGGAGAAGGCGTGTCGACTTTTAGGTATTCCAGCTGAACCTTTTGTCAAGGGATTGCTACACCCAAGAGTGAAAGCTGGTCGTGAGTGGGTTGAAAAGGTACAAACGCCTGATCAAGTGCGCCTCGCTTTGGACGCTTTGTCCAAGGGTATCTACGAGCGTGGTTTTGGTGACCTGGTCACTCGTATCAACAACCAGCTTGGTCGTTCCGTGGCCGATGATAATTACTTCATTGGCGTGCTCGATATTGCTGGCTTCGAAATCTTCGAAAACAACAGTTTTGAGCAGCTCTGTATCAACTACACCAACGAAAAGCTCCAGCAGTTCTTCAACCACCACATGTTTGTTCTCGAGCAAGAGGAATACGCTCGGGAGCAGATTGAGTGGCAATTCATTGACTTCGGCAAGGACTTGCAGCCAACCATTGATCTAATTGAGTTGACCAACCCGATTGGTATCTTCTCTTGCCTCGACGAAGACTGTGTGATGCCTAAAGCCACGGACAAGTCGTTCACTGAGAAACTTCACTCGCTCTGGGACCGAAAGACTCCCAAATACCGCGCTTCTCGTCTGAACCAGGGCTTCGTTCTTACGCACTATGCTGCTGAGGTAGAGTATACCACTTGCGACTGGCTGGAGAAGAATAAAGACCCTATGAATGACAACATCACTCGCCTCCTCGCGGGGTCTGATGATCAGCATGTTGCCAACCTTTTCGCAGATTGCGCGGACCCCGAAGAAGGTAGTGATTATCCTCGAAGCCGGGTCAAGAAGGGCCTGTTCCGTACGGTGGCCCAACGACACAAAGAGCAGCTCTCTAGTCTGATGACGCAGCTCCATTCCACTCATCCTCACTTCGTGCGCTGTATTCTACCGAACCACAAGAAACGCCCTAAGATGTTGCATGCGCCGTTAGTCCTAGATCAACTACGGTGCAATGGTGTTCTTGAGGGGATAAGAATTGCCCGGACCGGCTTCCCTAATCGGCTTCCATTCGCAGAATTCCGTCAGCGATACGAAGTGCTCTGTCAGAACATGCCCAAGGGATATCTCGAGGGGCAGAGCGCAGCACGAATCATGCTGGAGAAGCTTGGTATGGACAGGGCCTGGTACCGCGTTGGTCGCACCAAGGTCTTCTTCCGAGCTGGTGTTCTAGCCGATCTAGAAGAAAAGCGAGACCAGCTCATCCGAACTATTATGACTCGCTTCCAATCACTCGCCCGTGGTTTTGTCCAGCGGCGCATTTCCAACAAGCGTCTGTACCGTGCTGAAGCAACTCGCATCATTCAGCAAAATTTCCATTCCTATCTGGAGCTCAAGGGCAGCCCTTGGTGGTGCCTCTTCTCCCGGATGAAGCCTCTCCTAGGCGATACACGGACGGCCAAGGAAGTTAAGAAGAGAGATGATAAGATCAAGGAGCTGGAGATGAAGATGAAGCAAGAGCTTTCCGACCGACAGAAAATCGACGAGGAAAGACGCCGCACTGAGATCGAGATCCAAAAGATCCAGCAGACCTTGGAAAGCGAACGTGCCCTCGCACTCGACAAGGAGGAGATTTTCAGGCGCCTGCAAGACCGCGAAGGCGAGCTTTCCGAAAAACTTTCCGAGGCCATTGCTGATCAAGAGAAGCTTGAAGAGCAACTGGATGACTTGGTCGATGCCAAGAAGAAGAACGACGAGGAGCTACAATTGCGAATCACACAGCTCGAACAAGCAGGCCTGATCATCCAGAAACTGGAGGCTGAGAAGAATGGACTGCAAGCTCGCTTTGAGGAACTCGATGCTCGTCTTGCTGGCATGGAAGACGAGTTCTCTGGGAAAGATGGTCAGATTCAGGAGCTCGGTCAAGAGATCAAGATGCTTCAAAGCCACCTTAGCCTGAAGGACCGCAAACTTCACGAGCTAGAGGCGAAGCTTCTAAAGACAGACCAGGATCTCGATGTCAAACTTGCCAGCACCTCTAAAGAGCTCGACCAGACGAAAAAGCAGCTTCGTGACACGATCACCCAGAATCAATCGATTCGTCAGCAGATTACCGATCTCACCTCCACAACGACAAGCTATGAAGACCTTCTTCGTCGCAAGGAGAGTGAAATTGCTGTCCTTCGGAATGACTTGAAGAAGTATGATGAAGACAGACGCGGTTTGGAGGCTGAGAAGAAGTCTCTTGCTACTCGACACGACAACATGCAGGCCCGTCTTCGTGAAGTCCAAGCTGAGCGAGACGCTATGCGATCTGAGAAGGCCCAGCTCGAGCGAGAAGCTGCAGATGTTAAGCGATTGCTTGAAGAAAAGAGGTCCGAAGATGTTGAAGCTGGGGAGAGCAGGAAGTTGTTGGAACAGCAAGTCAATGACCTCAAGGCTCAGCTCTTCCAGGCTGAAGCAGACCTCAGTCGAGAGCGTCAATCTAGAGACGACGTTCAGATGCTTGCTGAGCACAACCTTGCCGAGCTGACCGACAAGTACAACACACTGAACGAATCTAAGATTGAGATTGAAAAGGAGATGTACATTCAGCAGGACAGCCTTCGTCGTGCGACCGAAGCGCGGGTCGCGGCCGAGAAGTCGAGGAAAGACTTACAATCCGAATTGATCAAGCTCCGTGAGCGTTTCACAGCAGTCGAGAATGCCCGGTTGAATGCAGAGGCCGAAATTGAATCCAAGCTCAAGAATCAGTCCGAAGAGCGCATTATGAGCATGCGTACAGATCTCGAGGAGAAAATGCAACTACTCGAAGATCTGGAGGCAGAACGATATCAGCTGTCGATCCGTGTCCAAGAATTGGAGCACGCCATATCCGAATCTGACAATTTCCGTCTTCGTCATGACCAGCACAAAGAACGTCTTGAAAGAGAACTTGTTACTTTGAAGGGTCGACTCACAGCCTCCGAGAATGATAATCGATCTCTTCTGACTAAGATTCAACAAAAGAATCTTGACATCGCCCGCTCAAACTCCAAAGCAAGCGACAGCAACCGACTACGACTTTCAAACCTTCAGAAGGAGAAGATCAAGATCGAGGAGGAGAATAAGAAGCTTCAAAAGCAGCTTGGAGACTCGCAGCTTGCAATCACCTCCCTCGAGAAACAAAAGGAGAAGCTGTCTTTGAGCCTGGAGGATCTCAATCATGAAGTCAACCGGGAGCACAAAAACAGTCGCAATGCCGAGAAAGCTGCATCCACTGCGAACCTTCAGCTCGCGGAGGTCAATCGTAACCTTGAAAATGAACGGCAGCTGCGAGGACAGGCTCAGGCAAACACCCGACAAATGCAAGGTTCTTTGGATAGAGCAAACAAAGAGATTGAGGACCTGCATCGCCAATTGATTCTTCTGCACAGAGTCTTCGAGCCCGAGGCCTCCGAGCCCAGCAAGTCCTGGGAGGCTGTCCAACCACATCTATCAAAACAAGTTGATCTGGCCCAGGTGCTTAACGATGTTCAACACAAGCTTCAAATCACGGAGGAGAAATACTCTCGCGCGGAAAGCCAGCTCTCAGAGATGCGCCGCCGTCATGCAGATGAGATGAAGGAGCTCGATTCGAGGTACTCGTCTTCTAAGCGTGCTTTGCTTGAAGAGATTGATCAGAATGAAGTGGCCAACAACCGGGCCCCTTCACACTTCCGGAAGAACTCCGAGAATGCTCTCAAGAGGATTTCAAACCCCTCGACGCCCAACCGGCGATACAACAATGTGTATGATGGTGCAAATGACTCGGCCCGATCCGACAGAACTGTCGACACTGTGGGCTACCAAAGACGGATGGACACCGCCGCGGAAATCGAGGAGCTCCAGAACAAGCTTCAAATGACTGAGATGCAGAATAAGCATCTTCAGAACCAGCTTCAACAATCTACTCCGTCCCGGGATATTTGGCAGGACGAGAGCCCATCAATGCGTCGCATGCAACTTCTGGAGCGTGAAAATGGTCGCCTTCATGGCCAACTTGACGATTCCGCCAAGAAGGTCTCGGCACTGGAACGCAGCATTCGCTCTGGGGAGCTGTCTCTCCGTGACGTGCAGGCAAAGTCTCACGAGGAACTGTTCGATCTCATCAATTCCCAGGAGCAATCTCGTCGCTCGTTGCTTAAGGTCCACAATGATGCTTTGACTGACTTTAGCGATGTGAAATCACAATACGAAAAGCTCAAGCGCAGCAGGGCAGCGCTTGAAGTTGAGGTCCGCGATGCCCGATCTGAAGCCCAGGAGCTCCAAGCAGCCAGGGAACAGGACATTGCTAGTCGGAACCAGCTCCTCCAAGAGTTTTCCGATCTGCATATTCGCCTGGATGCGGAAACATCGCGCAGCGCTGATCTTGAGTCGAGCCTGAGTCTATTCAAAAGTCGCGCCGATGAATACTTCAGCAAGCTTGAGCAGGCGGAGATCACTGTCTTGAAAGCCTCTCGTGCTGAACAATTTGCCAAGTCTCGATGCCAGGAGGCTGAAGACACCTGTGCACAGATCATGTCTGAGCGAAAGGAAATGGATGCCCTTGTGGAGGACTTGCAGCGTCAAACACAGTCCTTGGAAGCCCGCATGGAAGATCAGGCTGCCGAACTACAGGGTGCCTTGCAAGCTAAGCAACGTCTTCAAAATGAGCTTGAGGACTATCGCAACCAGCGGGCTATCGATATTGAGGACAAGGAAACCTCGATGGAACAGACCCGGCAAAAGTACCAGCGCGAGTTCTCGACCATTAATGGTGAGCTCGAGATGGAGCGTGAGCGGTTACTCAATGTCCGTGGAGAGAACTCGCGGCTGCGTGAAGAGCTCGAGGATCTTCGAAGCAAGTGGGACAACGAGGTGCTCAACAGCTCCACTTGGTCCAAGGAGAAAGCGCGCCTGGAACTCGTTATGCAGGACATTACCAACTCCCGTGATGAAGCTGCTAGTGCACACAGTGAGGCTCAGGCTAAGGTGGTCTCTCTCCTCTCTCAGGTGCGGACTCTTCGTACCTCCGTGGATGATGTTACAGCCGAGCGTGACTTGCTTCTGAAGGACAAGAAGATGCTTGAAGGTCGCCTGGCTGAAGCTGGTGAGCGTCTCGAGGACCTGGCAAAGGGTGAAAGTCCTTCCATGCGAAATGCCGCCAGCATGGATCGGGAGCTGCTCGAGCTTAAGTCCAAACTTGCGCAACAGGAGGATGTTTCTTCCGCGGCGGTTGGCAAGATGCGTCGTGCTGACGCTCTCGCCACTGAGATGCAGAAGGAGCTTACTGCCGAGCGCGAAACCAATGCTCAGCTGTTCAAGGAGAAGGCCGGTCTTGAAAAGCAGCTCAAGGAGGTGCAGCTCCGCTGTGTAGACCTGGAGACCAAGGGCTATTCTTCCGGTAGCCAAGATGTCCGGTTCCTGCACAAACGTATCAAGGAGGTGAGTTTCACTAGTTTTCCAAATTCTAACTTCCTGGTTGCTAACTTATCTCAGCTGGAAACCCATCTCGAGGAGCAGGAGAACAAGAATACTGCTGAGCAGCGCTCCCTCCGCAATGTTGATCGTACCGTCAAGGACCTCCAATCCCAGATCGACCGACGGGATAAGATGAACACCCAGCTCAATGATGAGGTCAATAAGGCTCGGGATAGGATTGAAAGACTTCTCAAAAGCATCGAGGAGCTCCAGCAAGGTGATACCGAAACTCAGCTGCAAGCTCGCCGTGCAGAGCGCGACCTTCGTGAAGAGCGTGAGAAGGTACTGTATCTGGAGCGCGAGCTGGAGGGTTGGAGAGCAAGGGGTGCCTCAATTGGCCGTTCCCCCATGGTGGCGCTCAGCGATGCAGGCAGTCGAAAGGGCAGTGCTGCATATGGTTATGACACGACGCCCCAGCGCAAGCCAAGCAACACTAAGGGCTTCCTGTGAACATGTTTGAAGAAATAATGTGTATTACGTGGACCAGGGAGGTGCTATTATGGCTGTGTTTTCCTTCCCTTTTTTTTTTCTCTTTTTTTATTCAGTCTTGCGGTTGGGGGTAAATGTGCATCTCGGAGAGGGACGCCTCCGACTATTATTTGTTGGACCTGAATCACCATGTTCATAATGCGTGAATGACGGCATGTATTTCCGCTTTTGGGGTGTATGTATTGGATGGCAGTCTTGCTTTTGCATTTTTTGAGTGGATGCGATTGAGCTTGGGAGTAAATATGCTCGCTGGGAGTTGGGCTTTATCTACGATAGGAGAAGAATTATGAAATTCAATTGTCACTTTGGTGCTTCTACGCAGTCTCGATTTCTGTATCTATTCGAAAATAGTGTCATGGTCGTCCCACAGTAGCCGCCTAGATGATCAACGGGGGAACCCATATCAAGTCCTTGGACTCAACGAGGCATCAAGACCTCGCAAATCTAAGAAGAACCATATTCACGATAAGTCCGACGCGCTAGACTCTGAACATCAGTTTCTCGCAGTACATCCAAGAATACCTAAATAGTTGAGTTAGCTTAAGTTAGTTAGTTAGTTAATACGACGTTTAAATGACAGGACTGGCGCTTGCGCAATGAGAATGCAGGACTTATTGAAAACGACCCCGACTCGATTCTGTAAGGTGTCAGACAAGCACTCGTAGATCCCAAGCTCTACATGTGAATTGTACTGCGAATGGCCCTGATCATAGCTCATCCTTGAACATTTTCTTCTTTTCTATTATTAGCACGCTCGGGCTACGATGAGACAATTACAGTATTGCTTACGGCACTACCGTATCGTGCTCATTTAGCGACCTGACTAGTGACCACGGAGCCTGTCTTCGCGTAGCTGTCGGGATCCACAGGAGGCTCAGTGCCCGATTGTTTATCTCCAGCCTGCTCGTCTCCTTTCTGGACTGCTTCTCTTCTTTTCCCCCACGACTCCATTTTTCAATTGTTCCATTCTAGTCTCAATGTGCAATTGCTTTGACGGGCGACTTTCAAAATGTTTATCCTTCTGCGCAGGTATTTACCGTTAATCGTCCCTGACCAAACCTTTACTCGTACTACTAATACTAACTTCTCAGTCTCTTGGTGGCTCTGAATTTTATATCATTTATTCCACAGGTCGGTCGGATGTATCGGACAAAGAGCACCAAAAACATCTCTTTCATCCTAGTATCCTTCAACGTCTTCAGTGCAATGGAACAGGCGAATGTCTGTAAATTCATTTCCATGAAGCTGGGACAACCACCGACCTTGCATACCCAGGGTTCGGCAGTCTGGATGGAGTTGTTTCAAGTGACGGCAGTCTGGATGGTCTTATCTACGATCCTGTGAGATTCCACCTAACATAGTGAGAAAGGCATATCACTTACAATTTATCTGGGCAGGTGGCTTATAACGTTATACTACTATGATGGATCGCCCAAGAGCAAAATGCTGAGTGCATTCGTCTTTCTACTCAGCCAAGTTCAAGGAACCCCTTTCCTAAATGCTCTCCCTCATCGTGGTACGGTCGAGATATTGACATCCATTCCCCACATCGTGTTGTTCCTCAACCCGGCAATCACCGGCTTGGCCTACCATGCGTTCATTCACGAGCGCATCCTGCCTGCAAGCCCGTATTCTTCATCAGTTTTGAGCCTTGTGGGGCTTGCTGGGCAGTCTGTGATGCATCTCATCCTGGCTCTTAAATGGATCACTGAGGCTCCCATCCCGTGGGCTAGAGTGATATCTGGCTCCGTCCCTTTGCCTAGCTTGTGGTTCTTTTACAACTTCTTTGGCTGGGGCTTCGTGGAGAATCTTGTCCTTGCACTGATACATGGAACTCTATTCCGGATGGCACGAAAGGAAAGAAATGAATCGACTACCATTAATGATCAGGAGAAGGGTGGAGGCGAACCTCTGCTTGGCCTAGCCTGATGGTGACCCGAGTACCATTGATATGAGACAGACGGATGAAAAAACGGTTCTTTAGTTGGTAGACATAAATCGGTAATCGACAACTCAAGACAAAAGCAATTATCAGATGCACTCTCTCCAGTTTGTGGTTTGAAGGAACTCCTGTGCATGGTTGGAGTGGACCACGTGATAGCCGCGCGGGAGGCGGCAATTTGACGCCGAACCTCATCCGCAACGGTCAAGCTTCAGATTTCCTCTTTGGACTCCTCCCACCACCTCTGACAAACCTCCTCTGGCCATTGACCTCGCCAGTCTGTCAAAATGGTATGTTGAACTATCTTCAGCTAGAGCTTGTTCCTGCCTGCCATCCCTCGAGACATTGCGACCGAGATTGCTAACCCCAACCCCCCGCCATGAATAGGCTCGCAACAGTGAAAAAGCCCAGTCCATGCTGTTCCGCTTTCGGGCGCAACAAGCAGCGGACATGGGAATCATTGATCTCGGCCGGACGAGACGACCAAAAGCGATCACAAGTGTCGACTCGATCCCGACATGCGAGCGCTGGCGCGGCCAAGTCCTCAAAGAAATCTCCCGCAAAGTGTCCCGCATCCAAGAGCTGAGTCTCAGCGACTACCAGATCCGCGACCTCAATGACGAAATCAACAAGCTCATGCGCGAGAAATGGGCCTGGGAGATGCAAATCCGGAACCTGGGCGGACCGAACTACATGCGCGGATCTGGTCGGGTCTACGACGATGAGGGGCGAGAAATTCCGGGCGGAGGAAAGGGCTATCGATATTTTGGCCGCGCGAGGGAATTGCCTGGTGTCAAGGAGATGTTTGAGGCGGCAGCTCGCCGCGGGAGGGGAGCGCCAGAGGAAGAAGAAGGGACTGGAACCGGCCGTGGTGGAGACATCGCAACGAGGAAGGTCAATGCCAATTACTTTGGATATGGCCTGGATGAGGAGGATGGCACGCTATTGGCTTACGAGAAACAAAAGGAAAAGGAGGCCGTTGAGCATTTGCGCGCCCAGGGTGATGACGATGCCGAAGATGGCTGGGAGCCGTTACCTGGGGATGCTGGTGATGGGGTGGAATGGCGGCTTCCCTCGCTAGATGAAGTACAAGAAGAACTGGTCAATCGGCGACGACAACGCCTTCTACAGAAGATCTCTTGATCTTCGACTGACGCATTTGGTGTGGAGGGGGTTTCCATGTTTTTCTCTTTTCCCAGTGTTTTGGCGTTAGGGGCTGCTTCTGCAAAATATTCATCTTCTCCGGCATTATCCCATTTTTCTTCAATGAAACATCGCTTTCGTGGATTGAAATGATATACATCAGTCTTCCACCCACATGACTTCTTTCATTATAATATCGTACATTTGATTAAGAGGAGTTGCTAGTATTTACATCCGGCTTGTTCTTCCGCGTCGTCCTCTCGACTTTCAGAGCCTGGGACATACTCAATTGTGCCTTTTGCTCAGGATCGTCTCGCCGCCGTTGCTCCGCATCCAAGTCATCGAGTATGAATCGACCAAGCTCACCCGCCCGCCACTTCTGAATAAAGTGCAGTGCCGCACTGTCTATAATAGGGATCCCGCCCTTTCCCAGTAGCCCCGTTTGTCGTGCAAAGCTCTCCAGCAACGGCATGACTTCGTTGGTAGGCTCGGACCAACGCTTATACGCCTGCGTATCATGCAAGTTGATCTGATAGAGCAAGTAATCGACCAGAGTCACGGGTGAGATGACTGCGTCTTTGACACAACCACACAACGCTAGCTTGAGCATATTGTCGGCATCAGGAACATATGGCATGAAGACACCAGGCGTATCCAGCACGTAGACATGGGACCCGCTCTCTCGCTCGATGATCTTCACGGGGCTGGCAATCTTCCGAGTGATACCAGGTTGACCTCCAGTTTTCAGGGCCTTTGCTTTTCCCACACCAAAGTTCCGTAGGTGGTTGATCAGGGTTGACTTTCCAATATTGGGCATTCCCACTACCAAGACTCGGCATCCCACGATTTTATCCGGTGCTTCGGCATCGTCTCGAAGGTGTTTAATGATTTGAGTGACGTCGGCGCGGGACGATGAACTGACAAAAAATACGGCGCTGTTAGGGTCGAAGCTTCGGACTTTTTTCTCTAACTATAGTTGGACCCATTAGAAATTCAGCTCACAATATTCCAAGACGCACTTCACAAAACTCACGAGCTTTTGGGTAGGCGATTTTGGAATGCTGCCAAGGTCTCTTTTCGTATAGACAACCAGTCTCCTCTTGTTTCCCAGTGCTTCCTCAAACAGTGGATTGATTGATGTCACAGGTGCCCGATAATCTCGGCATTCGACGACGTAGTCGATTGAAGATAGCATGTTCTTCATCTTGCTTAGTCCAGCCCGGTGGTGTCCTAAGAAGTAAGACCTTGGGATGGCCGCATAGTGCGGAAATACCTGACGCGGTATGAATTGCGCCATCTTTGAAGTGCTTCCCAATCCTTGAATGGGCTAATTATTGTCCATTTCCGATTAGAGTCCGCGAGTCGCAAACTCACAATGATGCGAACCCCAGATGCGCAACAGGAAAAATTGCCGATGCAAGAAAGGCGGTCTGCAGGGCGGTAAGAAGTATACTCTTGTGCCATATGACGCGGGGGCTTGAAACAAGTAGATTCCGATCCAAGACGTTAATTCGATGGCTTTTCGAGCGCATTTCAATTTTACTCCTTTTGTAGTATCTTCTCGATATTGGGGGTCATTACTGCTGCATTCATTTATTCCTTAACCAATCACTCAAATCATTTACTGTCACAATGTCTCTAATGTCAGCTTTCCGTCCACCCTCCACACGCACATCGGCGATCCGTCAAAGGTCACGACCTCGTCGGCGAAGAAAGACGAATACACGAGAGCAAGCCGATTTCCATTCAGATGGCCATGTCCAGGATCCAGATGCCCACTCAATTATCACACCTTCCAAGCATACACCAAAGTCTTTTCGGAAGCTACGAGGCTCGATAGCTGCCGGTGGCCCTCTACGCCCTTTTCGCCTTGTGAAGCAAGACCTTGTCAATTTGCGCCAGCGATATGTATCAGACTGGACCGTTTTCAACCAGCTGATTTTTGCCAGCGCTGTCTATGTCTTTTTCACTAATCTTCTGCCTGGTATCACCTTCGCAAGTGACTTATATGTGCTCACCGGCAAAAGCTGGGGTACGATCGAGGTCGTGTTCAGTACTGGACTCTGCGGCATAATCTTCTCGCTGTATGCACTCGAAATTCTCTATTATCATCTCGCAGTGACTCATTTCTTCGGAGCAGGTTCTCGATCCAACCCCTCACCATCCTCGGCGTAACGGGTCCATTCTCTGTCTTGGCAGAGAACATCTATTCGCTGTGCGAAGATGTATTCCAAGTATGCCATCGGTCATTCTCGGGCTTGGCTATGCTGCTTTTGCTGACATTTATGCGAACCAGATACCATTCCTCCCGTTCATGGCTTGGTCCTTGATCCATTCTGCTTGGCTGCACTATTTGTTAGCGATTATCAACGCGCATGACTGGACTATGCGATATGTGACCACTTTTGCAACTGAGATCTTCTCACTCTTGAACAGTATCATTTACTTCCACAAGGCTATTCAAGAACTTGAGAGAGCTCATGAAAGTCTATCTTTCGCAGCTTTCCTCTATGCTGTCATAGGTGCAGTCGGAACTATGCTCCTTGCTATCTTCCTCTCCACCGCGGAAAGTTGGCGCCCTCTGTTCCACCGGTACATTCGTCTCGGTCTGACCGAGTATGCTGCTGCAATCTCTATTATTATCTTTATCGGCTTGCCTCATGTAGGAGAATTGGCCAATTTGGACAAAATGACTCTGGCCGTGAGCACCTCCTTTCGACCAACATCCCCAGAGCGGGAAATCTTCTTCGTGGAATTTTGGAAATTACCCATTCAGTGGATCTTCGGATCCATCATTCCCGGACTGATCATAACAATGCTTTTCTTCTTCGATCACGAAGTCAGCTCAATCATCTGCACTATTGACCGGTATGGCACCCGCAAGCCAGGCGGGTTTGCCTGGGACATTGTGCTGCTAGGAACGACAACAGCATTGTGCGGTATACTGGGTATTCCGCCTGCCAATGGTCTTCTTCCACAGGCGCCTTTGCACTCGGAATCCTTGATGCATACAGTGAAAGAAGAGAAGACGATCATAGTAGATGGTGAAGAGAAGATGGAGACTCGGGAGGTCCGGCAAGTATACGAACAACGCTGGTCGGCCTTTCTCCACTCTGCCGCCATTCTTCTATTTATCAGTCCCCCGTTCATGAAGGTTCTTGGCTTGACTCCGACCAGCGTTCTTGCTGGGCTTTTCCTCTTCATGGGCGAACAAAGTCTGTCTGTCAAGTAAGTCCTATCTCATATGGCATAACGAAATTGGTAAACGCCTTCTCACACAATTTTATAGTCCGATTCTGTACCGGACATTCTACCTTCTCACTCCACCATCAGAGCTACCGCCACTGCCACAGTCCCTGCACAAGGACCCCGAAGCTCACAACGTCATGGAATCATCATCTCGCAACCCATCCTATCTGCCAATTCATCTCTACACAATCCTGCAAATCGTCATCACGGTCGTAATATTCATCCTAACCCTCACTCGCGGAGCTCCCGCATTCCCAGTCCTGATTCTCGCCCTCGTACCTTTCCGACTTCTCGTCATGAAGAAATTGTGGCCAAGAGAAGTCCTCCGCTTTGTCGATGCCTGGGCCTGTCGCGAGGGTACGCCCGAGGACGACGAAGATGCTGCGAAATTGGAAGGTCTTCCAACTCGGGAGCCCTCAAGCGGAGAGGAAAATGTCGCCCCTGGTGGAATTTTCCGCCGCGATGGCAATGACGACAGACATGGCCGTTCTTCTGTCGTTGAAGATGGCGCTACCCGCAGCGATTCTCAGACAGACCTTGGGGACCAGAGGATATGGGGTGCTACTGATAATGATGTGAATCATGAATGGGTGGCGCTTGAAGAACGAGAGCTTCCGGACGAGGAGATAGGGCGTGATAGATAATGTCTTTTTTTGTCGGTGTGCTGATCTACTCAACCTTCATGGAGGTTTCGTGAGTGGAATGTTCTCGACTGCAAGAAGTAAAAGCTACGCCTCGACATACCAGGTAGTGCCAATGAATCATTCAAGCCAAAAGTGTAAAGTGAAGGGATAGACTTGAGGTTTGTGAGCCATGTTATTGGGTATCATATTCTGTACATCTATGCTAGTAGCCTCCGGTTTCCCAACTCCTATGCGCGCCCAACCGGGTAAGCCAACATTGAAATCTATCGATCCATTGCTCACATCCACATGAGGACCTTCGCAACTATATTTCATGCCCTCCATCCTTGCACAAATTCATGCAGACGATCAATGACCACACCAAAGATAGCATTAACGCTATCTCCGATCAGCTGCTCAAAGTGTCTGATCGCCTCTTCCTCGGTCATTTCAAGATGAAAGCGCTCCTTCACTTTCAAAACAGCCTTATCAGGCTCAACCCTGATGTCGGGAATGTTGGCATCAACCATCAGGCTGAAAAGATTCAGGATCAGGTTTGCAGACTTGCGTAGCGTGGTATACGCAGTGTAACAATATTGCTTGAACTGTAGGTAGTGAGGGGAAGTTGTACCGCCCATTCCTTCAACCATCTCCTTGCAGAGCTTCATCATCGGAGCAAAAGGTTTGGGATCACGGCCGAGAATGAAACCAAAATCGGCATGGAAGAAGTGGCCGTCCGGTGCGAGAAGCAGGTTCTCCAGATGACGGTCACCAACACCTAGGAGGTAGGTGATAACGCAGTAGCCAGCGCAAGACTTGATGTAAGTGTCCATAGCCTCTTTTCGAACGCCGAGAGGTTCGTTCTCATCTGGATTGTGCTCTTTCAAGTAGGCAAGAATGGATTTGTATTTAGCAGATGCTGCAGACAGGGATGTGGATGGGATAAATTGAACGGCACCAGCCGTAGAACTTGTCGCTAAGATGCGATACGGCGTCAATTTTAAGTCCAAGTTTTCTTTTTGTAAAAGCCGATCCATTAGAATGATGATTTGGATGACTAATTGATCCTGGCGAAGATCATCGCCGACCTTGAACAGAAGGGGGTATCGTTTGCCATCACTAGTCTTGAACGTGATGTTTAGTGGGGATAATGTCGACTTGAAAACGTTGGATTCGTCAGGGTAACAACCAATAATTGAGACGTTGGGGTCCAGGGGCAACGGGAGCGGTGGATCAATATGGATTAACTCATTCTTTGGATCGCGCAAAGCCTTCTTGAGCTTCTCGATCTTGACTGGTCGATTATCCCGGGAGAAACGGATGTCCTTGGCGATCTTTGAAAGGACGGCGATCAATTCACCTTGACGAAGAAGCGTCTTTCGATGCTCAGCATGAATCTTTTCCAGCTCCGCCATGAAGTAGTACTCAACACGAGCAAAGAGTCTGCGCTGATTTGACAAGGTGCCCGGACCGGCATCATCACATTCAACCATGAGATACCAATGCAAAGAGTTTCCAAGTCTGAAGTTGTTGGCCGCTCGCGTAATGAGGAAGTTGGCTAGCGAGGAGTCATGAGCCGCCTCTTCCGACTCGCTGTCTGAGCTTTCCTCATATTTCAAAGCCTGCACCAATTGTAGGAGATACAAATCAAGCTCCTCGTCATCGGCTTTACGCAGTCTCGCAACGGCATAGGAGCGAACGGCTGCATTGTCGAATGTTGGACCAAGAAGCTCCAAGGCGTCATCGACGTCAATCTCGGTCCATTTAGGCAATATTTCCACAGCTTGGCGCGCTTCTCCGTCATCGCGCCAATTGACTGATTTGACGAATTTGGTCAATGCTCTCTTCTCGCGAGTAAGATAGTACCTGAATCTCCAAACCAAGTCTTTCTCCTCGGCGGTGAGATCCTGGGTAGGTTCGTACGAGAGAATAACATTCAGTTCGTCACGGTTCTTCGGGTTCGGCTTGAGATCTCGATCCATAAATCCAGTTCGATGGCTGCGAATCAATCTCCGGTGTTTATCTTCGCACGGATTCCCGGTTTGGCCCACCTCGGGGTCGTAGATTCTAATAACGCCTGCACCATCTGCACCTTCAATGCCGGGACCGAAGCGAACCTCTGGGATAGGTTTCAACGTCGAAGTCGGGTGGTTGGATACGTTCTGAGGGTAAGACGAGATTGGCGGGGCCGGGTATTGGTGATCAGCCCAAACTATCGGATGATCAAAGCGTGGGAATTCCACATAAAACACAAAATTCTCATCGTCCAACTCTTCATCATCAGAACTGTCGTCCTCGTCGCCTTCAGCACTACCTCTACGTTGCTTTGCTGTCTTGAGGGCGATGGCTTTTTTACGAGCGGCTTCTTCAGCTTGCATTTTGAGCTTCTCGAGCTGACGGAAAACCATCTGGTCCATCCAATCAATGCGAGTAATGTCACCCATCTCATGCTTTTTGATCAGGACCTCGATCCGCTCTAGCTCTGCCTCGGCCGAAGTTGGTCCCATAATATCGCGGGCGCTGTTGTTTTTCCGTCGTTTTGGTGGTGGTGAAGATGGAGTTGATGTTGAAGAAAAGCCATCTGCGGCTTTATGGCGATGGATTTTGCACTTCTGCCGCCCCATTCTCAGCTTGCCCTCAGTGTCGAATAATGAGATTGTCGTTCCGCCAAAAGGAACAGCATGCCCTTGGGATTCATCGTCCGCCAGCGGAGAAAGATCCCAGACCGTGATGGCCAATTGAGAATTGAGTGGGGTATCCTTGATTGACATGGGCATCTGCAACCATTCATTCCATACTCGGGTAGTTTTGAAGGCCCTATAAGCAGTCTGTAGAGGGACACCGAGAGGCTTTGAGTCCGACCATAGCTGCGCGGTGACATAGAGATCCGAAGCTGGGTTCTGAGAGGATCCGAGATATCTCAATTCCGGGTTCTGGACCAGCCGTGAGAACGGAATCTGTTTCTGTTTGCCCTCCAACGAGCCACTTTCAGGTAGTTAGCCATGCCGGAGCCTTGTAGCTATCCGTGTAAACTTACACTTTGATACAGACAGGCAAGTCCACCTGGGTGGACAACGCAAAGGTGAATGCCTCCATCCTCTTAGGCCCCTCAACGACACATCGAAGCTCAAGTTGGGACCAACCCGAGGGTTTCGGGAGCTCCTGCGGGGACCAGTCAGCTATCATCACGTGTGCACTTTCTAATCAATGATCTCTCAAGAACACGGTCACGTGAAGTACGCGATGGCGACGCGACGGGAGACCTATCTTCTCTGGAATTCTATGTATCACATTTCAAATTACGCTATGCGCTGTTGACTCAATTCCCTGATTAAATCTCAGAGAATCTTCTCGCTAATCCCCCGCCTTTGTTTGCGCCCTTTGCATGGATTTTTTTTTCTTTGATTGAACTCCGTGTTTGTCTGTCGGCGCTAAACTGTGCCCATTGAGAATGGCCCAAATCGCGCAGTCTCAGCTGGACGAAGCAACTGCCTACGGCTCTAGCCCTCCTTCATCACTAGAGTCATCCTCCGATAAAGAGAATCGTCAGCGAAGTGTCAACAAGCGGTCGAATATCCAGATGCCATCCCAACCTCAACAGTCCAAGCGTCGTCGCTTGACCGATCGCGCGTCAAATGTCCAGTCGCAAGGATTGTCGCAGCGCAAAGACAGGCGTTTTTACGACCCTGATCAGCCTGAAGAAGAGCGAAGAAAAGTCCGAAAAGGCTACAGAGACCTTACCTCTATCTTTAATGGTGAGATATTTCAAAGCAGTAAAATCTCATGGGATGGCTAATACTGATCATTGCCTCATCAGACTCCCGGACCGAGTATATGCAGCCTGGAAACAATGGCATCCTCAAAACACTCGAAACGGCGAACGACCTCTACACGAAAGTCAAGCAGACTTCGGATGCCACTTCCGATTCGCGCCTCCTCGTGAACGCCGCCGACCTCACCCATAAGAAGACCGCGCAGCTCGCGCTTGGAGATTCATCGGCGGGTATCGATGTGGATGAATTTGTTTCCAAATGTATCTCATATATGCGATCTGGACCGGACTTGGCCGATGAGGGCACTCAGCGGCGACAACGCCTCCGTCAAACGCAGAGAGACGCGAATGACAGTGACGATGGGGATTCCGGCGACGCGATGAATTGGGATTGGCTTGGTCGCATGGCTTGTTTCCATCACAATTCCCGACCCGCCGTATCTGGATTCTTGCTAGGCCCACTGTCAATTCAGAAACGCTCTCGACAAAATACCCAGCGGGCTGGACGTGAGCAATTCAATTCCACGCAGGCTATTCAGCCCCAGGACCTCAATCTAGAGGACCTTGGTCAGCAGGAGAATACGAACTTGACAACAATGTGCAAAAATATCAAGAGTTTACTCGACAGAACCATCCAAGACATCGAGCATGAGGTCAACAGGATTTTGAACGAAGAGGGCGAGCCTACCGAGGAAAGGGTGCTGGAGGTGATGAATGAGCACCATACCTCTCCCACTGGAGGTGTTTGCCTTTTTAAATTTTGCATCAACCCCCTGTCCTTCGGTCAAAGCGTTGAGAACCTTTTCTATGTCAGCTTCCTGGTCCGCGATGGTCATGCTGGCGTTTCCATGTCTGCTCGTGGAACTCCAACTCTTAGTAAGTAACATTCTCCCCGTGGCTTGTAGTCCTCTTGCTAATGATTGCATAGATAATGCGGAGCCGTATCCACCACATGAGGCCCAAGCGAAGCGCATTCAGAAGCACCAAGCCATCTTCAGCCTGGATTTCGAAACCTGGTCCAGTATCGTTGAGGCGTTCCGCATCGATGAATGCTTTATTCCCCATCGCGAAGAGATTGAGGAGGGCGCCGGCCAGACTTGGTATGGCTAGGATCCCCCACCAGGAACGAGCGTTGTAGTTGCTTTTGTTTCACATTTATTTTGATACCCCGGTGCCGGTGTTGTTGTTACGCTTGTAGATAGATTGATATTCGCAATATCATTTTAAACTATTCTCTTTCCAACATCGTAGTGCTCAGCTGAGACTATGCTATGCATGAATCAAGCCTCCTATATTGGTCACGGACACTCTTAGATAACTTGGAGAAAAACGTGGAATTGGTGGTAGATGGGGAAAGCCTGGCTTAATGATCCTTCAAATATTCCCGACCCGAACAAGACACCCGACTGCATTGCTTTCCAAATCTTCTGAGAGGGCTTTTCCATGAATTTGTCAGGTCCTTCGTCAAACCTCCCTTATCAGGCTAGTTCTCCGGTAGATGAGCCAGACAGTTCATTAAGATTTCCGGAAAGCTTCACAACTGAGCACTATTCATCGAACACATAATTATGTCCCCCCCCCCAGAATTGTCATTCCCACGGGTCCAGATTCGACCGCCCTAAAATGCTTATGCAATTGACACTTGGTGGAGCCACTCGAGGCGGGCCGAGGCCGCGGGCCATTCAGTAAGCTGCAACACATCATCACGTCATAGCTGTCAATTCCTCGGCCAGATCGATCCCTTCTCTCCCGTTGAACCCCTATCGCCCATTTAAAAGCAATCGAGTCAGTCTAGCAACAACTCAGCCGTCGGACTCGTCATTTGCGCATTCACACACTTCTCAAGCGCCCAGATATCAGAAATCAACGCCAGGATTTTTTGCAAACGATTCCGCAAGATCCTTCACAATGCCCCAACTCTTCCCCTCCAACCCGTCGGCGACGATGGTGATTCGCGACGTCACACCTAATATTGTCACTATGAGCCTGCCATTCGCGCGCTTTGGCATCTGGCGCTTTGGCGGCCGAGGAACACTAGGTTTGCAGCCCCCGCCCCTCCAGCTGTACGGACAGCTCGAGTCAGAGGAGCATCGAAGCTAACCATTCTCCTTCTTGCGCGATACAGTCAAGCTCTCCACGGGATCGCTCGCCGTTTTCTCCCCCGTCAGTCTCACCCCCGAGGTACGCGCCAAAGTCGAGTCTCTCGGCGGAAACGTGAAGTACATCGCCGCCCCCGATCTCGAACATCACTTGCACATTGGCCCGTGGAAGGAAGCATTCCCGCAAGCATCCATTCTTGCGCCAGAGGGCCTTTATGAGAAGCGCCAGTCAAACAAGGAGTACAAAGACTCTCCATTCGAACACGTCTTTAAGAAGAATGAGCCGCAGTCGATATCGGAGGAATTCGACGCCGAGTTTGAAACCGAGTACGTATATGGGCATTCGTCGCGCGAACTGGTCTTCCTACATCGCCCATCGCGGACGGTCATCGAGGCCGATCTGCTTTTCAACTTGCCCTCCATCGAGCAGTATTCCCGGACCGAGGATGGGAATCCGCTCAACTCGTGGACCAAGATGGTGCTACCGATGCTGTCAACCAAAGGTTCTGCGACAGCGCAACGGCGATTCGCGTGGCATGTTCTCTCCGCGAAGGATCGCCCGGCGTTCACCGATTCGATGAAGCGTATCGGTGGTTGGGACTTTGATCGGCTGATCCCGTGTCATGGGGATGTCATTGAGACGGGAGCCAAGGGGGTGTTTGAAAACGTGATGGCGTGGTTCCTGCAGGATGGGACGAAGCATTCCTAAGGTGGACTGTATGGGAATTTCTCCGAGGTTAATGTGTCCGCGGGTTTCTTAGTGTACGTTTTGGTTTTTGTATGTTGACTCATTTGGGGGATACTAGTATGATACCCTGTGGTGCTGCGGTGAGGGATCGCGTTAATGTAATTTTATTGATCGATTACCGTCCGAATATGATGACAATCAATTGTAAAGCACTTTCGCTTGTTATGTACTATCTTCCACTACTGAGGACCCTCTGAGCAAAGATAAGAATAGGAACCAAAGTGGGGATCGAACAAACAGTCGTGTGCTAGTAAAGCTCCCCGGTAAAGAGGCTATTCGGTCGGAGCCTGATTGAGGTCCGGGATACCGTTGGGACACGGAAAAGACTTCCATATCTATTGAGACTGCCAGGAACCATATACAAGTGGTGTAAGTCACTATCAGGGGGTTAGCCGCTCTTCAGGCTGGTCGCAACTATACAGTGGTTTGCGACCTTGTACTCTCTCATGGTTAGCGCCCTGAATCCGAGCGGTTCTCAAGATTGGACATGTGCCGAAGTATCCGTATACAATAAAGTTTCTTGATATTAAAATGATGCAAAGGTGTCACGCCAGCGCAAGTTAGGGGAGATTGGGGGCGGTCTTTCATCATTGTGCAACCGGGCCCCACGTCATAGGGCTGAACATGGTACCTTGGTGGATCGAATGATCCCGCAAGGAGATTATTTTCTTGCTCTGACAATGCCACTTTGTCCCACGTCCTGTTGCTCCGATCCCATACTTGCAGCATACATTGACATGGTTACCATCATGTGTCGCCCATGAGGATGTACAGTCAGAAAGGCGGGCCAACACCGCCATGTCCTCCCTGCAAAGGGCGCACTTCTGCGCCAACCTTCAGGCTGCAATGATCGACCTTAGTGGAGCACTCAACACGGCCGCTCAAACCAAGACCCTAGTCAGCGCCAATCAACGTTGATCTGCAACGTCCACGGGGTCAAGCGCAAATATTAGGCTGACCTGAAGCGAGATTACCCCCGACTCGAATTCTCGAATCGTCCAGAGCCAACCCCGGCCAACGCATCAGAGACTCGTGGTCTGGCCAAAAACAGGGATACGTCCCTTTCTACCTTCGACTCGCAACCAATCCCAGCCGTCATCCCTATGGTTTCTCTCGTGGGAACTAGGATTCTGGCAGGAGCTGCGCCATGATAGCTTCCTGCTCCGATCGCATGTAGTTCAGCCACAAAAAAAAAGCTGCATCAGTGGCGGCCGGTCCCCCGAAGAGAGATGAAGCGATCTTCATAGACCATAGCCTGACCTGACTAGTTCATGTTGTGACAGGGAGTAAAAGTAGAAAAAAGAGATTGGGCCACTACTCCATACATGAAGGTATGATGCATGGCGTTGAATGACGAACCCACCGTGCCGAGTCCACGCTATACTATTCTGGGGACGACCTGACGACATCAACAGCTGGGGTGGACTCTGCATTGTCCAGTGGGTGTGATTTTTGCGTAGATTTTCGTGCGTAGAAGCTTGCTTGTCGCGTTTTGATGGCTCGGTTTCACTTTTTTGGTACTTGGGCCCTTGCTTGCCGGATCTGCGTCTGTTCTTGCTCGGCATCTGCCTGCCTGTGCAACGTGCCCAGTTCGTGCTTTATATACCTCGTATTGTCCCCGCAACCCACGCTTTCTATCCTTCTTTGTAGCTCGCCAGAGATCTTTCACCGTCTTTGTGATCCACAGCACAAACCTACCCATCCTACTTGTTGATCTTTCATCATGCCTGTTGTCTCGCGCGTCATCTCTATTCCCCTCCGCATTGCGGAGATTGCCTTCGCGGCTGTATGTCCTATCGACTCTCGCCGGTTTTTGCAAGGCCATTCTAACACTCATCTTGACAGGTCGTCGCAGGTCTTATCGGACACTATCTCGCCTCACTCAACGGAATCGATTCCTGGGCTCAAGCTCGCTGGATCTACACTGAAGTGATTGCCGGTCTATCCATTCTGCTCGCCTTGATATGGCTGATACCATTCTCTTCGGGCTTCTTCCATTGGCCTAGTACGTGCTTTTGCAATGAGATATACATCTCTGAAGGCATTCTAACTCTGTCTCTAGTTGATATCCTCATCTCCTTTGCCTGGTTCGCGGCTTTCGGTATCCTGGTTGACGCCCTCCACCACTTGTCATGCGGCAGTATCTGGTCCTGGCGCTTTAGGGGCGATGCTGTTTGCGGGCGCTGGAAGGCTGCCGAGGCCTTCAGCTTCCTCTCCGCTATCGTCTGGCTCGTCTCTGCTATTGTGGTATGTTTCTAGGGACAAGAATCAAATAAGGGAAATCAGGCTAACAAAACGTCTCTGGTAGGGCATCTGGTTCACTTACCGTGTGCGCGACCATGGTGTTGGAACGTAAGTAATTTGCACGCCACTGCCATTGCCATTTCCATTTTTTCAGGACCAATTCTAACAGATATTCAACAGCACACGCCGCCGCTGGGGTCGTCGCCGTGGAGCGCCCGCTGTCTAGACCGGGCCTGGCACTTTGGGCAATGATAAGTGCGAATCACCATATCCGAGCCAAGATTGCCTTGGCCGAGTAGGACTTACTCGCAGTCAACGTCCGAAATTTGCCCCTACACTACACTCCCGCGAATAATTTGATGCGCCCTGGTCTTTTCCGATATTCTCCTCTGCTTTCAAGTCGCATTATCCTCGTAATAATGAGGCCGATGAATAACGACTTACGTTGATACCCTTGGTGGATTCATGATTTGGTGCGTCTGGTGTTTTATTGATAGTCACTCTTTCGAATTTAAGAACTTAATATTTGTGCAATGACATCTGCGGGCTGTTTTATTTATACATTGATTATTGGGCTTATTCCGGGGGCGTCAGTGCTACCTCTCCATAGCTCCGTATGACGATTTAGGAAATATCTAAAGTTTGAAGACAACTTTTCCAATCGGTTTCGCCTCCCAGACATACTGGACAGCCTCCTCGGCTTGGTCAAAGGGGAAGACCTTGAGTTCATTTTTGGCCGTATTATTTAGTACCTTCACAGTGAAGACTACTCTGTCCTCGTTCCAGCGGCCCATGAATCGAGTCGTATTGCATGAATAGCCCTCGGCTAGCTAGACACGAATACCGTTGCGCCTAGTTTTTGTCTCCCATCCCGGTTAATGTCTACCGGTCAATCAATACTTGAAACCCTACGCCGGTGATACGGGCCAAAATAGACTGTCTTCCTGCTAGTGGGAAGATGTACCGTGTAAAAACCACTAATCAGCGGCCACTATAAACCTGATGACATTATGATTACTACCTAGCTGACGATTCCGCTTTTCAAACTTCTGCGTAGTCATGTATTTCCACAAAGTTTCGACATCCCCATCCTTAAAAGCATATCGTCTTCTCCTCCATCAGAAGTCTCCTTCATTCAAACCAAATCAGGAGTTTGGACCAGGTGTGTAATTGTCTGCAAAATCTTCACGTTGATCATACTCCGACCTGGGAAGCTCCTTGAGAAACTGGTCTGTAATGAGTTGCGTAGCAGAACTATTGGTCTTAAACTGCGTTCCCATTCCTGGCTGCTCAAACCACGGGGCAATGGGCCCGAGTGTGACTTTCAGCTCCTTGATTACCTCGTAGACATGATAGCTGTACGGGTAATTGCCATCACTGTTGTTCAAGTTGCGAGGAGGTAGCGCTCTCTCAATATACGGCGCACCCAACGGACTGAAGAAGTTCCCCCCTGGATTTCCAAAGCGATCAATCTTTCGGCCAACGGGAAGTGTCACTTCAGCCTCGACGGGCTGCCCATCGTCATTGATCACAAATCCCTCAGCGTCAGGATAATGGTAGGATCCGTTGGGCCAGGTCCATTTTGCAAGGAACTCGTACGGGCACAGATCGCCAAAACGGGCGTAGGTGGCGAGTTCAGTTGATAAGGGGAAATTCCGAGGAAGCTGGACAGGACCAAGGGTGTCGTTGCCGCAGACATATGATTCATTGGTAGAGATAATGCCCTTACAGGGGTCTGGGTAGCATCGCTCGGGATAGCTTGGTTCCTAGAGGGGAAAACGGAAGTTTGAAAGTTAGAACTGCGCAACGAATGGTCAAGGACCGTGCATGACTGGGTCCATTGCATATAATACCATTACGTCGCCCGCAGCAGAAGCTTGCCATGCCTGAGCAATGCCCACGGCACTGATGAAAAGAAGGGAACGAAGCACACCTTTCGAGTGCATGTTGATGCTGTAGATATATTTGCACCAGAGGTCTACCCCAAATTGAGCGAGGGGTGGGATGCTCGGCCTTTATGTGCACTTCATCTTCACTCCAGGGGATACATTATATTTGCGCGGGTATGTTGCTTTGACCCTATAAGTGTCAACACGCGGCATTCGACGGACAATCCTACTGTCCGCCTAGCACAATTTATGAGAAACCTTCGATTTCTGGTGAAATGGGCGCAGAAGATGAATGTGAGAATGCATGCACTACCACGCGGTCATTTATTGATTGGCGGTTGGTTTCTACTGCCAATCGACCTAGCATTCTTTGAAACGAAAAAGCTAGTTGAATACTAATTGGCATGGGAGGACTTTTGACACAGGCTAGATTCATGGCTAAGCTCAAGCAAGGGCTAGCCTTCTTGCATTCCTGGGCGTTGTTGCTGATGTGACCGTACCTGAGGCAGCTAAAGTGACTACAGACTTCTCGTGGTTCCTTCGAATTTCAAATTCATAGCGACAACATATCCTCCATATGTATCTGCTATTAATTACTAAGAAATACTGCGGGATATGAGAAATGAGAGTCGCGTGGAGCTAATCGAATTGACAATCAATGCATTGATGGCTGGTGAGTTTGCTCGATAAAGCTTCCGCGGAATGTGCCGCCGGGATTTTAGTGTTACAGTCGACTAAAAGATCGAATATTATTTTTAAATTCATTAGGTTGAACATCAGAGGAATACCATGGGAGTGTTATTCTCCTCACTAGATACAGCAAAGAGGACCTAAAGAACTTCCTATCTAGATCCTCGGACTTAATTATATTCCCGCTCTGTCCTTACCGAAAGTATTTTGTAAATATTTCGAGATTGTAAGTCGAAGGAGGGCAAGGAATCCGAGTACGATGAGCTTGGATAGCTACCAGCAACGAATGTAACGACCGTCTTGAGTCAATAGTTCCACTATCTGAATCCCACAAAATCCAGGTTTTCACCACATTGAAATACTTTTCTAATTATTACGACTTTACACGACTCCTTAATTACCCCATATCCGTAACGTCCTAGATAGTATTCTTGGAGTCCCCACCGCCGTTCTATCTACCTTCAAAGGCAATATGTTCCAGTGTTAGTCTGAGAGTAAAATCGACCAGTATCGGCGAGGTGGTAAAGAAAGCCTCTCAAACAATGTCCTCTTGGAGGGAGCTGAGTTTAATCGTTACTCGGATGATGCCGGTTGCCATAAGAGAGTAATGACCTTTGCCTAGGTGTTTTCCAGATTATCACTCTTTAGTAATTCTACAACTTCTAGCCATGTGAGGAAATGGTGAAGCAGAACGTTATCAAGCGGACACACCACTAGAAGTGTTAGCCCTAGATATCAACACCCCACCAAACCAACTTCAAGCCCCAGATGGGTACAAAGCACTATGTCAAGAATGCAACGGGGTATTCAAAGCGCCACCAAATTGTCCCATAATAAGTATTCCCATCTCGGAAACTGACAGGAGCTAAAACCATGTATACTGGCGAGATTATGGCATCCGCTTTCCTAAATAGATACACCAGAAAGGTTATTCTTATAGAAGTTTGTTCCCTAGCTCAATCCCTATCATACCCACGGGTGCTATCGAGGTAAAAAGCCCCTTTTCCTATAAGTAGGGAAGCTACAATACATACTTACTGGTAATTTAAAGGCCAGTCGATGCAGTAAGTGTTGGAGAACGCAGTCAGTAGAGCACGCCGATGATCATAAAACTGCAGATCTTTCGAAATACAACTTTCGCAAATGTATCAAAGTTAATTCGTCAAACCACCGGGTTTTTATATCAATCAGCCCGCTGGAGGGTGACTAACCTAGGATAGCTCCCCAGACTAGTTTGCGGGAATCAACTAGGTTTACCCTTACCGATTTGGCTTGTACCATTTCACACCTATTCAAGTGGATTATTGTGAGTTCAAACAAGGAGTCCCTTATGACCGATGAGACTGACTTTGCAATGTGCTATGCATATTCCGCGAATATGGAAACATGCTGCTCTTTTGCAGAAATCGCGAGTGTATTATCACGCATTTATCATTACTTTTTTGGCTAGGCAAAACGTTGCTATCATGACATATTCTTGATAATCATACGTAACAGTAGACGCAAAGAGCTTTTATGTGAACATATAGAGAACATACTAAATTGAGCGTCATCACTTGCAAAAGATTCCCTGGGTAGACCCGATTCCCGTAGTGAGACACATCCATGTGCGATCGTGAGAGTCCACCAAGACGGCAGCCCCGACTAATTTACTGCAGGGACCGCCGGTCGCAGTCTGCGTCCTAATATCAGCCGTGACACCACTGATGGGAGTGTCTTTGGCTGACTCGACTCGACACAGCCAATTAGGATGGCCTGGGACCTTGATGGGTTTCTGTTGAAATTTTGCATAGTTCAAAGCACCGAGAATGAACTTAGGGTCCCCAGGTTGCTGCTTCCCATCACAGATATGAAAGTGGATCTGCTCCTGTTTTCGTGTTTTTACTGAATTGATCACCAAAGCCTGTGTTCCTCGGTCGTAAAGTGTCTGTCCCCAGTCCCACGGCTCTTCAGAGGTGAGCTCTAGGATCCCGGGTGTCCGCTGTGTGGTTGACAGCAGTTCCTCGTTTAATCTGATCCACAGCCCGCTAGGACTCGGTTTGTATTTGCCGCTTTGTATGCCCTTTTGTACGCTGTTGCACACCGACTTGAACCAGAGGAAGCATGAATCGCAGCCCCAATTAGCTTCGGTACAGCCTTCATAGCAATGGGGCTTCTTTAGTTTGCTTGTCGAGGTGAGGGCGATACCATTGCAGTTTCCCAGATCACACTCTTGGCAAGTTGTTGAGCTTCCTTCGTCACAATTGCAATTTTTGAGGTCATTCGTTTGGATCCATTCTGAGTGACAGTGCTTGGCAGCCGCAGGGCCCTGTGCAGAGCAAGATCTCAAGGCCAAAGTGAGAACCAAGCATATTTTGATGTTGAATAAAATGTCAAATTTCATCTCGAAATTTATCCCAGTCCGCAGGACGATGGCATTGTATCGGTAGCCTAGAGCTGGATACTTTAGCAAGACATTTAAAGGATATTCGTCTTCGAACGATTTCTCTATAATCAAGTCGACTCCGTCATTTTGACGTCTATACGATATGAATGAAGGGTATTGGGCTTGGAATATCGCTTACGAGCACCGTTAATTCTCCTCACATCACCAGACTCACACAAGACTCTTGGGGTCCAGCCCGAGTACTAGCCCATGGTTCATGGTTCAAGAGCCAGTCCAGACTCGCCGCCAAGAGCCGTCGTCCGACTCACCAAGGGTGGACTTCGTATTGGCACGTGTATGTTCACGAGTGATGACACGCGGAACTTCCATGAAAAGATCCGATCTTATACACGCGATGCAAGAGGTCGATCGACCAGGCGGAGTGAGCCGGGGTACGGACGATAGCCGTTTTCGGCGTCGTTCAAGTCGCCAGTGGAACCCGGGGGCCGCGTCGCTGTAGTCTGGGGTCAACGACAGGACGAGAAGACGATGACTAAAAATCCTGGCTCGGTGCAAGCAAGGAAGGCGCACGGGGCAGCGGGCAAAGAGCGACGTCCACAGTTACACAGTTACGGGGGTAAAGCGCCCGTTCCCCGGCGCCAGAGGCTATCACTTTTGGCGTTGATTTCATAGGTTCCTATATCCTAGTTGTTAACCTTGCACTCATAAATGATAATTTTCTGGCTAGTCGGCGTGATGATGCCGTTTAAGAAGTCCACTATTAAGCTCAAGTATTACCTTAGTGCATTTAATCGCATATCTACCCGACCGTATCCAACACGAGGCATTTTCAAGGTTGCAAGGAAACCTCCTATGGCAACTTCGGGAATCGAGATATTTTCCAATAGAACTCAGCGCTGCCCATGGCATGCTAGGGCTGTGACCAGGTGTTAAAACAACGAGGGCATATTTGGGGCTCCATTCGCAGCCCACATGCCGTCTATTTCTAGAACGTCTTTGCCGACTTGCACAGGACACCCAAAGCAAGCTCTTGATACTATCCCGCCCAGAACCAGGGTCTACATCTACGTTGTATCCCGAACTGTCGATTGACCTGACTAAGGATGTTGTCTTACCCAACATCATGAAGCTGGCTGAAGTACTATATGATGAGTTCATGCTTCCTAAATGTAAGAAATGCAAGATCATGAAGCAGGTTCGAGACCGCTCGCATGGGTCTTTCCGATGGTGTGACTATTTCTGGACTAATTGGGAAATTCACACCCAAAGGACTTCGATATACGACTGCACACACTTACACCTTCTGTGAGTGATCTTCACAAGAGAGCGCCTAAAGATTCTACTCGAAGACTAGAGAAGGACGGAGTGATGTCTGAAATCTATATTGCAAATGAGCTACTAAGCACAGAGGCCGCTGAGGGTAAATGAGGTGGGAATCGCACTCCTCCAATCGAATAGCACTGAGAATATTATCTCGGATCTCTGAAAGCCATTGGTCAGGACAGAGGGAGGCCTTTTTAGTTTCAACCATCCCTTCGTGTTGCAGCTTTTCGAGTCCCACGACCAAACCATCGAATTGGAACAAGCGGATAGATGCGGTCAAGCGATTTCTGGCTTTGGATTGGCGATGGGGATGTTTCATGCTGATTTGTTTTGTCAACATCTTGGTCTTATTCGTATGTATGCCTCTTTTCGGATGCACCGTGTCATCTCAATCGTCTACTAACTAACTATAATAAAATACTTGTCGTTAACTTCATTCTTGTAACCATAATCCTTGTATAATCATCGATTTCAGTAGATGATGATCATGCCAACATTATATACAGTGGAATCAGATGAACCATGAACTAGTTCCCAGGACATCAATAGGCCGTGAAAAATAACCTTAGTCAAGTAGTGAACTTAATTTTGGACCGATTGCATAAACCTCATTTAGGGACCTGAATTAGTTAGATCCATCTAGTTAGATCAGGAGCTGGGGCTGAATCACAGGATATTCAATCTCAACTCATCTACGTGCTATTCTATTTCTAGACAGAAATACTGTTTAATTCGGTTCTCGATTTCATTTTCTGCAATATTCCAATCACCACTTATGTCGTTGATCACATCATCACGACCGATGACTAAGACTTTTGAAACGGGTCCATCCCAGGGGGTTCCATACTTGCATCTTGGCAAAATGGAGACCGTCCACGCTGGCGTGAGTCCTGGAATGGCAACTCCTTAGTTTTCCCCAGCATGCGAAAATGCATACACAAAGGCGGGTGAACGATGGGGACAAGGACATTGCTTCTCAATTACCAGAAGTACCCGCGAGCCCGACCTACGCCCTTGAGGACTTGAGTCCACCGCGCTACAAGGACGAAGAGGACTCCGACCGCGCCCGGCGAGCTCAGGCCCAAGCCCGAGTACGAGCCCGAGCCAGCGGCGAGTACGGCGATCTAGAGCTAGGCAGTGTACCGCTATTGCCGGCTGGGCATCCAGATGAAGACCGCGATTTGGATGACTCGGACTCGGACTTTTTCGACTATGAGGAGCAAGGTGCGCATTGGGACCACCCGCCGCTGTCCTGCACCCTTGCTGGCTTCACCACCTGGTTGCGTGGGCCGGTCCCGCCGCATGTTTACCATATCAAGCCTTGGTTTCCGCGATGGCAGGCCGCACCGTCGCGTCTGATTGAGCGGTGGGCTCCACGACGGGGCATGAAGATTGCATTAGTCGCTGGCGGTTTGATTATCTGGATTGTCGTGTTCTTTGCTTCACTGCAAGCTTCCGTTGCCGGTCAAGAAATTACAGGATATGGACGGCCAGTGAAGCTGTCGTGTCACCATCGTCTATGGTATGTTTGAACTCGGCTGTGGGACTGATCAGATCATGTCGAATCAGGGAACAGAATGGCTAAACATGCAATTAAAGGACCAATGCGACAGATTGCGGTCTGAACGGAGATCATTGTCTCCCATTTGATGAGCAGTCGTTTGCTTTCAGCTGTCCGGCAGGCTGCTCTACTGCTATTCTCCTAGAACCGTACGATATTGGTAACAGTTCGTTTAACTATCGACCTCTTGTTATTGGAGGGAAACCCTTCCGAATGGACGGTCACAACAGTGGGATATACCGCGGCGACTCTTCGATTTGTGCCTCAGCACTACATGCTGGGCTGATCAGCGATGCCAAAGGTGGCTGTGGCATTCTGCATCGTCGCGGAGAGCGGGACAACTTCCAGAACTACACCAAGAATGGTATCGAGAGTATATCTTTCAAGCCGTTGTTCCCAATGTCTTTCATGTTGACACGAGAGGTGTCTTCCCCAGGGTCCAGTGAAGCTAAGCTGGTGGAATGCTCCGATATCCGCTGGTCGCTATTTGCTTTCACACTGTGCGTTACGGTCATCTTTTCAATGACTGTTACTTCGGCACCGATTTTTTACAGTATCACGTTTTTCATAGTCTGGTTTCAAGTCGCCATGGCATCAGACCCACCAGGCTCGAGGAACTTCTACGGCTTGTTACAAGTCGGACTGGGCCGATTTCTTCCTGGCTCTTTCGTGGGCTTCGCCTTATACTACTTCTGTGTACGCAAGACCCTCGTCAATCTCGAGGCACATGCAGACAAGACTATCCTATGGCTGGGAGGCTGCTGGGTTGGTGCCTTGAACTCAGATACCTTCGACCGTATCCCCATATCCCGCCTCACACCTCATGATCTTCAACAACAGCCCGGCGCCATTACGGCCCTAATCATCATAATCGGTGTTCTCATCACAACCACCTTCATCCAGGCACATTGCTTCCGCTGGGAGGGTCGTCTGCTATCCACTCTACGCCTGTACGGTATCATGTTCGTCGGCATTATAGTGCTCGTCCTAGTACCTCACATGAACCTCCGCATCCACCATTACATCCTTGCCCTCCTCCTCATCCCAGGCACAACACTTCAAACCAGACCCAGCCTCCTATTCCAAGGCATATTGCTTGGTCTATTCATCAACGGTATCGCCCGCTGGGGCTTCGATTCTGTTCTTCAAACCCCCGCCTCCCTCCTCGAAGGTGGTCGTCTAGGCACTATTCCACCACCAATGAATCCACCGCATATCGAGGATCGAAGCCACCTCGTCTTCTCGTTCCCTGAGATTCCGCCACATGTCGATGGTATTAGCGTGATTGTCAACGACGTGCTACGGTATCAGGGGTTCAAGTCGAAGGATAGTGCCTCCGTGCCGGACTTTGCTTGGTCGCGCCGACGCAATAATCAAGAGGAGTACTTCCGGCTCGGGTATGTTCATTTGAATGCCTTGGGAGGTGTTTGGTATGAGGATTTCTCCGCGCCCTCAACGTGGGCTATTGATGGCAACTTTTACTATCCGGGATAGTTATAAGCGGTCGTCTTGGTAGTCATTATTCTTAGACTCTTTGTCTTTTCATTTTACTAGCCTGGTGGCCTTTGGCGTGTGTAGCATTTTCGAATATGGGTATTAGACTCGTGGAAGGTGTTGGGCTTCTTTTCGGAATTGATTCGTTCGTTCATAGAAAAAATAAAGTTCTAACAGCGCATACAAAACATTGTAAGAGCATTTCCAGAAACCGAAAGAGTACAAACTCCGATTCAATGGATGTAAAATAGCCGCGAATGTGGCGGACCGTATGCTCCAAGCCCAAGGAGTGTATCTAGCTAATATACAGACCGTATGATCTATGATCAAAAATAAAAACGTCAGACCCCCAAATGCAATAGACCGAACCGTTTGACCAGCAATTATATAAGAGTAATTAATCGTCCTTTCTGGCCTTGGCGGCCTTTTTATCCTTTTTGTTCCTCTTCTCCTTCTTCGTCTTCTTATCCTTGCTCTCATTGGAGTAGTCTTGCTTGCAGCTCACTTGCACGAGGCTTTGCTTGCCGCCATCTTCAATGACCAGAGCAGTCAGTTTGCCGCCCTTCACACAACCAGAGTCAAGACCCTTGGTATATGTCCGGATCTTAAGGCCTGTCTTGGCATCGTGACCGTAAATAACGGTCGTTGTTTGAGAGCGAGGGTCTGCATGTGAAGATTTGAGGCTCGAGTGAAGGATGGATTGGTGTTTATCAAACATCTAGAGGAACAGGTTAGTACAGAGGGATCTGGGTCAAAACCGAGCAGACAGCTCACCTTAGCCCAACTCATACCCTCGGTCTTTTCGCTGGGAACATGCGTGTCAAGGTCCATGGTTCGCATCGTCATCACGGTCGAGGGGTCCTGCTTTTCAAGCTCCACGCCCGGGACCAGACCGGCATGTACAACTACTACCTGGCCGATGCCCTGGACCGAGCCAACGTTCAAGATGACCGGGCAAGCCTCAAGCCACCGCGCTTGCTCATCGCTCAACGAGCGGGCCAGCGCGCGTTCCTTGGCTTCCTTCTCCGAGGGCTCGTGCAGCTTGACATTCTTCTCGTCCCCCGCCAGGAGTGTATTCATCGTAATCATCTCATGTCGGAGGAGCAGGATGCGGTCTTCGTGGTTGCCACGCACACACGAGGCTCCAAGCTCGCGAGCAAGATCCACAACTCCACCACTATCGGGCCCCTTGTTAATTATATCACCCGTGAGGATCAGATGGTCTCCATCTGTCACGGAGAATTCGATCTTTTTAAGCAATTGCTCCACTGAAGGAAGATAGGACAAGTTAGTATATTTGGTGCCCTCAAACAGGAACAAGAATGGAACCTACACTCCTCTTTACACCCATGCACATCCCCAACCACAACCAGACGCTTCTCACTCCTCGATCCCCTCGACTCACCCTCGATCCTGGCCACTGGCACCAATGAAGGATCCAAGGTACGGATGTGAGTTAAACCATCGAACCGAGGAAGCGAGTTACTCCCGAACCAGCCCCCGACCTCCGCTTTCGACGCAGGATCCAGCGCGTGTAATAAGGCACTGCGCTCCTCTAGGCGGGGGTATAAGATCATAGCCCACCCGGCCCAGCCGAGTAAGAACAGAACGAGGTAGACAAGCACGTAGCGGCGGAAGCGCGGGGCAGCGATGATAGATAGAGCGATCTCGACGCAGCCGGGGTGTTTATTGTTTTCGGGGGAGGAGGAGAGGGAGCGGTAGGCTGAACTAGATTGCCAGCCGTTGCGGACTGAGTCGATTAGGGGCCTTGAGAGACGGGTGATGCGGGAGGATGAGGATGGTTGGGTGGTCGCGTGATAATATGAGTCGCCGAGTTCATGGTCGGAGTCGTAGGAGGCCATATTGGAATGGCATTTATGATTGAAGGGCTTCTCAGGACATGGCAGTGGAGCAGGTAGGAGATTCGGGGAAGGAGACAAATAATCGGAGTTGTCAACAAGGCGCCCGTGATCAGCTAGGGCCAAGGCTGAGTCGAAGGGCTTGGCGGCCACGGAGTCGGAGTTGAGTACGAATACGGAGCTGCTAAATGCGATGAGAAGGTGGCTTGAGTTAAAACGTGTTTCTATTTATATACAACCCATGCTATGTTACCACTCTAGATCATCATGCTAGTCAATATGTATTTCAGTGATGCCGCTAATTGTTTTTCATTTCATCAACTATCATAGAAGCTATTGCACTTGGAAGTACTCTTCAACCTGCTTCTTCCACTCCTCAGTTTCCTTTTTCCGCAAGCTCACCCGCTTCAAGACCGTCTCGTCATAGACTTCCTCGACCTTCTTTCCTCCACGCAGGACCTCGCGTTCGTGACGTGTCGCCTCATCTTTGGTCATGCAGACCAACTCCGCCGCATCGAGTCTGAAGAGCTTCTGTCCGTCCTTCTCCCAGGTAAGATCCATCTCAAATCCTTGCGATGGCACCTCCCAAGGGATCAGCGTCAGCCGGTTCGGCAGACCAGTTACAACGCTCTTGCCTCTGAAAATCTCCTCCACCATGTATTGAATGTCATCCTTGCTGATGGGTAGACGGAGGCCTACGGGATCTTGACCACCGACTTGGCGGATTTGCTTCTCCATAAAGCCTGTTAGAGCAGCCAAGATGGTATCGTACAGCTTTTCACGGCCCTTGCCGGCGGTGTTATAGTCAATCGGGTAGCCGGACACGCTGCAGATGACATGGTTGGCCAAGGTGTAGCCAAAGACGGCCGGCATTGTGCCCAGTACTGGGAGAATGCGGACTCGGAAGTCTGGGAGGACACTCAGCTCTCCCACTTTGCCCTTGTTGAACTCATCCTGGTCAAGTGGGAGCAAGCTGGCCTTGCCCGGTGCGGTCCTTTCGGTTGAGAAGACAGTTGGGATACCAGTAGTGACTCCCAGCATCTTCAAGCGACGCCGCGTACTACGGCAGAGGGGATCGTCAGTGCTCGTAGATATATCCCCAACCACGACACGGGTCGGGTCTGACTTGCACCCAGCACCCATGGATGAGATCACGGGCAAAGAGTTCGTATGGCAGTAGTGCAGTAATTCCACCTTGGACGTAATGTTATCAATGCAATCCAATACATAGTCTGGCCGATGGCCCTCCCCTTCATGGGTCAGTGTCCAGGGACCGAGAAGATCGTCTGCAGCATCCTTGCCGAAGAGCTCATTGCGGCAATCGAACATCACCCATGGCGCGATCTGCTCCAAGCGCCTCCTAATGCAGTGAACCTTGGGAGTTCCAACATCGGCGAGTGTGGCGAGAGCATGACGGTTGAGCGAAGACAAGGTAACTTGGTCGAAATCGATCAGACGAATCTTGGATACACCGGAACGAGCCAGAGATGCAACGGCATGGGATCCAACACCACCGCAGCCGACAACAATAACGTAAGATCCTCGGAGCTTCGCCAGGCCTTCATCTGTGAGGAATACGCGGTTCCGAGCAAGTTGTTCTAGAATCAAATCTGGGTTGCATTGCGACTGGGTTAGTTTGACAATCACAAAAAAAGAGGTATAAGGAACTACACACCATCATCGTAGTCTCCCTGCTGCGCCCTACGAGCCAGAGCGGCACTGCGCTCGTCCTCTTTGCTCAAAGGAATACCATTGTCGGCAACGCCGTATTGTGTAAGCTTTACCCCGGTACGTTAGTCCTCTGCCCAAATGCATGCTCGGCAGCCCAAGCGTCGACCACGAAACCTAAGGTCGAGTGTTTCCAATGGTAAAGACTCACTTTAGTCGCCGGGTGCTCATCATCGAGCGACGGAATAGAAGCCTTCAAATCATAGACCGCCTCCTTCCTCTTATAAGCCTGGTATCCAAATATCGCACCCGCAACGGCGGCACCAGACAGCACCGCCGTAGTTGCAAGCTGGGAAGTTTGCGACCCGGCCTGCCGATGAAGCCAGGAAGACATGTTCCCGAACACTCCTTTCTCACTAATATTTCTTTCTCGAGCCTGAGCTTGCGCTTGCGCTTCCAATTGCTCGAGTTCTTCGCGAGTGCGCGGGCGGTAAGGAAGTCGAGCAGGTTCGGCGAATCTAGCATCCAGGTCGTCAGAATCGAATCCGTAGTCCAGGTCGGCCTCGTCGGAAGCTTGCCACCATTTGGAAGCTGGAGGGGCCATCTTTTAGGGAGAAATTAGAGCAACTTACCGTCACGAGTGCCGTTGGCGCTGTCGACCTCTTATAGGGAATGCGCATCTGCAAGCCATGCGTTCATCAGTGGAACCACGAAAGACGCTATCACGTGAGAGGCCGCGGTGCTCGAACGCCAAAACCGACGACACGTCGCCGCGTGGGGAGTTTCTTACATCTCGCGCTGTTAGCGCTGTTGGTATGTTCATGCAGGAGCTCTTCATGTGGGATAGTAATTGTGTTTAGAGGCTAATCATTTTGGCAGATCTGATAGCATCATTGTGTCTTTCAGTCTCAATGACGATATCCCTCACATAGAGCTTCTCACGACACGTCCGGGTCACTGGATCGGGTTGTGGACTTCATCCCTCGGCGGCCTGGCTGCATCTTGTGGAAGGAGACATTTCACCTGTTGTGGGTGACTGAGAAAAATGAACAGAGATCTGAGAGACCCTTGGCTAACGTTGTTCTTTCATACCAACCGCCGCTGTTATTTGTTTTCGATATGATATCCCGACGTGACGAGCTTGATCAGCCAGGTCTTCATGTACATACTAACAAATCTCGGAATAGATTCTCTTTTCGGTATTTCTTCTCTTCTTCTGTATCCAGGACGACCTTTTCTTTCGCCCGCCCAATGACGAAGACATTCTGTCGCACACTCCGAGGATCTGTATATGATATGCTCCGTCTGTACACCTACCAAGGCAACGGCGTTGAGCAAACCAGTGACGAGTGACGAAAAAAGGTAGTTTTCAATCCGAGGGTGTGAGCTTTCATACAAGTTATCGTGTCAATTATTCAGTTAACAGGCAGATTAAAGCAATAAACTACTTACTTCGATCGATCCCTCATCCTTGCTGATTTTTACTCTATCTGCTTTGCCCCCCGTTTAGGGATTTCCCCTTTTGCCCAGTGATGAACCCAAAGCCAATTCTGCAGGCAACCGACGCCCTCGGGTGGATGTTTACCAAACATCTTATGATCTGGTTGCCGGTGAATACACAATTGGGAGCTGTTCTGAGGGCCAGGTTTATCCGCTGTGCATGTGCTGAGTCTCAACTGGAGACTATACGTTCAAAATATAGAGACAAACTTGGCTTGTTGGGTCAGTAAGTGTCAAGAGTACGACCTGAGGATTCAGCATTAGTCCGGATCGTGGCATGCTAGCAGGTCTTTCCTCCGCGGACCCGGGCCCTCTGCAGAGCGGCTTGGGGACAGTAGCGCCTGATCATCTCCGATGCTGAATTTTCAGGTCGTACTCTTGGAACCCACCGACCCAGTAAGCAGTTGGATTTTCTTTTTTAAGTGCTATGAATACTCAGGCATACTCAAGACTCATAACAAAGCTCCTTCTGGGTTGACTTTCCAAGCCTGAGCCTGCGACTCCACTTGGCGGAGGGCCGTATAAAGCGAATGTAGCAAGGGAAGCGTTTTAAGATATGGACAAAAGAGTTGTGATTCATTCAGATATAAAACGCCAGCTAATGCAATATTTTGACCGTGGCGCGCTGCGAGTCCATATACAAATGGCCAATAAATACAAGATTCACTTAATTGCAAAAGAGATAGCCAAGGCCCCGTCCCACGGGCTCTCACTTCAAAAAGCGGCCCAAAGCACTACCAATGTTCTTCAGATCCAGCAGGAAAGTGTCATGACCGAATAGCGAGAGATCCTCGCCCAGCTCAATGTGCTCGACGGTGGTGTTTCCGCCTGCGCGGAGAGTCTCGGCAATTTCGCGCTGCTGCCAGGCAGGGAAGAGAATGTCGCTCGCGACGCCCATGACGAGGACTGGATGGTTTCTGAGAGGGGCTAGGCCCATGACGAGGTCGTGTGGGGGTCCCTCGGGTTCGGTCGGTGCTACTGACTGATTGGCGGGGGGCACTGAGGCAGTGACATCGGGTTGTTCTTCGTATGGCTTGTCAGGCAAGGTCAAGCTGCAAGCAGGGTCGGATACATCAGAAGAGACATCGCCCCGCGCAATGCGCGACTCGGCCTCTGCGCGACGGCGGCGGGTTTGAGTTTGGTGCTCATGGCCGAGATCGAAGAGATCCATAGCCTTGGAGACGTATAGCAAACTGTTGGGGTCGTATTCCAAGCAGAATTTCTCACCGGCATGGTCGAGATATGTCTCGATAAGGAAGTCTGGACACAGCGCAGGCTGCTTGCTAGGATCAGCACGACGACGACCAAATCGCAGTTCCCATTCGGGTCCACTGCGGTAAGTGACCGTCGCAATCTCGCGCGCCAATTTCATTCCCGAGTGCGGCGGGATCGAATCGTAGTAGAATCCGCGCGCCCACTTGGGATCCATCATCAGAACTTGGCGTTGCGTGTGCCGCATCGCAATACTGTATGGGTGACTGCGGGCACAGCCGCTGATACTAACGATCTTGCCCACGCGCTCGGGGAACAGCACACCCGCAGCCAAACTCTGCATACCGCCCATACTTGATCCGACGGATGCTGCCAGCTTCTGGATACCCAGACCATCCAGAAGACGGAACTGAGCACGCACCATGTCCTCCAGCGTCAATATCGGGAAGCGCGTCGCATACCGCTGTCCATCCGACGGGTCCACCGAGGAGGGTCCCGTACTGCCGTAGCAGCCACCCAGCACGTTCGTGCAAATCACAAAGTACTTATCCGTATCCAGAGGTAAACCGGGACCGATAAACTTCTCCCACCAACCAGGTTTCGGATTCGAGACCGTGCTGTGCGCATGGCTAGACGCCGACAACCCCGTATGCAAGAGGATCGCATTACTCTTATCCCCATTTAATTGACCCCACGTCTCATATGCAATCTCAAATTCCGGCAACACGCCACCCCAGTCCAGGAGCAGCGGGTCTTCACAGTGGAACCGTTCATGCTGGCCGGTCGTATACGAGGGTTCGGGTCCCGATTGCAGAGATCGAGCAGAAAGTAATTCTGACTTGGCATCCTGCGCATCAAGGCAGGGGAATGACATTGCCCGGTTTGTCGAGTCCTTGGATGTCGCCGTCGCCGCGGAGGACTTGCGCGGGGGCGCACTATGGAGTGCTCTCGCATGCGCCGATAACGGCCGACTTGCGCCGGAGAGGAAGGATGCTGGCTCTTGGGCTCGCCATTGTGTGGCCCGGAGCGCGCGTGAGGTAGAGCGGGCGATCCCCTGGAGCGAACGCATTGTGAGCTGTGAGAAGGGTAAAGAGACCCACAGGCAGTTGCAATTGTCAGCTATCGAGAACGGTCATATTATATTTCTTGATTACATATGGCGGAGAAGCTTATTGAATGCCTGAGGCTGCATTTGAGGCATGGCGTCATCTGGTCCTCTCCTGATTGGCGGTGGCACTACTCTTGCTATTCTTTCCCGCGGACCTTATTTTCTACATCTCTCTACTCCGCAAATGGTAATTCTAATCCGTCTCGTTCAACTTGAAAGCCAAAGTATAGTGAGTTATGGGTATGGATTTTATCAAAATGATGCTCTCTATTCAAATCATGCAAAAACGCCTCTCCATCCTCAGTGGTGTGTCTATAAACTCTCGCACGGGTATCAATTGGTCCAACGAACGGAAACAAATCAAGTAAAGCTCATAAAGCTCAAAACGCTAGGATGCAATGCAAATTCTCACGAAGGGAAGGAAACTGTCGGTTTGCGCCAGTTCTAGTGTACGGCGGCTCTGAGCCTGGCCAGCTTATTGTGAGCTGTCGGCAATGGAGGTGGTGTTGGTTGTGGTGGTAGTATTCGTAGAGTTCGATGAGACAGTACTGACGATTTCAAGTGCCGCCAAGATGATCGTATTGTTAGTAGATCGGATATCGACGCCACCGGCATACATGCACCGGTGACCATCACAGTTGGCATGGAAGACAATCTTGGTGCCATCATGCGACAGGGTCGCACCACCCGGGGCCCTGAGCCCAAAGTCATTGGTCTGTAACAATGGACGGTCGACGCGGGTATACGGACCCTTGACCGACTTTGCGTGGGCATACTTGACGTTGTACCCGAGCGAGGTAAAGCAATGTGACGAGAAAAAAAGATAGTAGGTGCCGTCATCTTGCCGAATAATATTGGGAGCTTCGATGAGCGGACCGTCGGTGTCGTTGATGTTGAGAATTATCTCGGGCTCGCCGACTGTGGTAATGCCGTCGCTTTCTAGCTCTTGGAGGATAAGGGGGACTGGGCGCAGTGGCTTGATGCTGTTGCCGCACCATCCACCACTGCCCACACTGTTTCCGTCGCCTTTATAGACCACGTAGAGCTTGCCGTCGGCATCTCTGAATGGCGAGGGATCAATGGCGCCGCCATACTTGTGAGGACAGGCCAGGGAATCATTGAGAGGGATATAGGGTCCCAGTGGATCTGTGCCGTTCGAGACCGCCGCGCCGATGCAGTGGTGCTTGTTGAAATTGTTGGTTTGACCTGCGTAGTAGAGAACGAATTTTCTATCATTCTGTTACGATTGTCAGATATTGGGGACTCATGGAAAATTTTCAGCATTGCTCAACAAGAACTTACCCGCTCAATCACATCCGGTGCCCAGTGATTTTGCGCGACCTCCCAGTCTCCGATCGTTGGCATCGCATCATAGCCCTCGTGAAGAGTCCAATTCACAAAGTCGGTCGAAGTCGCAACGGGAATATGAATCGACTGCGGGTCATGCTTGTGTGGGTTAGTTCCAAAGGCATACCAGGTGCCGTTATGGTTGAGAAGGCCCGGATCGGGGAAATTGTGAATTGCATAGACGGGCTTATTTTCCAGGACGCGGTAACTGGGATCCTCGTTCTTGGTAGAGTAGAGATGGTACACATCACCCGGGTCCTTATGTTTACGGGCTCTGATCAAGACAATTGGGAGGGTGATGACGAGAACCACGATCGCCACGAGTAAAAACCCGAGAGCGCTGAGGATGATAATCCGTCGTCTGGTGAAAGGTCGCGCAAAGATTCGTGAGATAAGTCCTTTCTTCTTCTCATTTTCTGTCCTTTCCACCGATTCGTTTTCAGATCTTGGCTCATTGCTTGAGAGCTGACTTCCGGAGATGGAGTGGACGGATGCTGTAAGCTTGGGGGCCTCGTCCTTGGAACGAGCAGATGCGAAATAATCTCGCATCTTGCTAGTTGATTGAAAGATATTCCGAGCGCAGTCACGGTCACAATGTCGGCGAAATCTAATTTTTCTGAGCCGAGGTGAGCTTCACCCTTTGTCGGGCAGGCAGTCGGTAAATCTGTAGAAACGGCCGCAAGTAGGCGCACGGCTGTGAGATGGACAAGGCTCAGAACGAGTCAATTGGGCGTAGTGCACGAGGTGTGCGAACAACAGTCCATCGTGCACCTGTATACTGCTTTATTGTAGATCCTGGGGGCCGAAATAATTCAAAACGAGGCCATGGGGGTGGGGTTTGCCATTTAGTTATACGGAGTCGGTCTACGGGGGGGCTACGGTGGGTGCGGCTAGTGCACGCGGGTCAGAAAAAGAGAGGTGAAACGGGGTCCGAAGAGCCCGCGAGCGATTGGCTGGCAGGCAGGCAACCAGGTTGTTCCAGCCGAGGAGACTTTTGGATGGAGAATCCCAAGGGAGGGGCCCTCTCAGATCATTCCGGCCCATCCATTCAAAAGTTTGATAAGAGGGGCCCTTTCGGTGTCTGGGCCGGCTTAAACACCAGATCACACAACCGGTGGCCGCGATGAGACAATGGTCCCTTTTTGGCCACATCCCAATGACCCCGGCAATCTCGTCATGAGCTGTATGCTGCATCGCAGCTAAGGGGCGATCCGGGGACCCTTTCAAATCCGGCCCCTCCGTCCTACAACAGTCTTTTCAGCCCGAGGAGGCTGTGGTCATCGAGTGAGAATTGAATCTCCCGAAGGCCAAGCTTTTAGAAGCGGCTAGCAAGGGACTGAGCGGGCCAATGGAGAGCGAGCCCACGGTCAGCCTGACCCCGTTGCTTTCTGGCCGGGGTTTAGCGGTGGGCCCCGATTCCTCCTGTTGATCTCCCCTTCTTTGACCGCTGGCGGTGCACTCGTTTGCCCTTACTTGAAGTCCTGAGAGACGACAATGACCCTCTTTCGGGGCTATCATGATCCGAGTGCTTTGCGGGGGAAGATAAAGCACCCCGGGCGTGGATGTGTGCCCACTCCCCGTCGGCTATACGAGCCAATCTCTCAGGTTTTCATCCTTGGTCTTGCGCGAGTAGCGTGGGGAGTCTTGTCAAGGTTTCACGCCTGGTGGGGGCTTCGACGGATGGGTAAGTCGGATCGGCCAGGCAGCGCGATTTGATCGCACAGTGTCTCAATCACATTCCATTGGTGCTTCCGTGGATCATGCTCGGAAGAAATAGTCCTGACACTGAATGTTAATTGACCTTTTTTGTGTAGAGCATTGGAGGTTGAACCTCTCAGCTGGAGGGAGGAAATGGGTTGTGATTGATGGACGGACTACGGAGTAAAAGGCGAGCACTTTCCACTGCCAAGCGCCAAGTTCCGCCGCCACCAAAAAAGGCCCGGGGCCATCCACGCCAAAGCGTGCACCCACGTGGGCCACATTCCCCCGCCGTAATAAAATAGAGTCTACACTTCAAGTGCCATATGGAGTCTTCCGTATGCCGACTAGAACTCATGCAAAACTCACCGTGGAGACCGTGCATAGAGAGATAGTGTTTTCGAGCACTCCGTACTAGCTTCCAATCTCTTCGGCCTGATTAAACCCAGCAACCCTACTTGGTCCGACAGGGTCTCGAATCTCTTTTTACATCATCCAAGTATCCTAGACAAGTACTACTTTTTTCTCCATCCAAGGCACGCGACAGGCAAAATGATGTTTTGTTCAGAACACTCTTATCACGGTGCCTCGAATTGGGTTGGTATAGTAATGGAGTACAAATGCTACAGTACTGGGACAGTGCATTTAACAGCATTGACATCTATAAGGCTGTCAGGTGTCACTAAATTAAGGTCTTCTCCGATGGTGAGCTGATCGAGAATCTTCAACGGCTAGAGTATCGCAATAATTTCGTCGGAGGCTCGATCTTCACCCGGTTAGATACTGTCCGAAAGCGCGCCAATTCTGTCAAGACAGAAAGGCTCCTGCCGGGTACACCCATTATTCTTTGAAAGATCCTTAAGATTATTGTTCTTTCCAAATCTGCCGGCTTTTTGTCGTGCCATTTAGAGGAACCCATGTGGAACCTTGCATTCGTCAACAATCGAGTAGATTTCTTCGAAGAGTGGAGGTTTTCGTAGGTCGGTAGCTTGATCACTGTATTTTGCGACCTAGAATTCATAGTAGGAGCATTGAATCGCTACGTGCACTCTACTTCAGGTTTAGCAGTCACGTTCCTTTGAATATGTAAGTGTCCTTGCAAAGAAACTGGGCGAAAGAGAGGGCCCGGGATGCGTTTAGAAAGGTCCGTCGGCTCCTTCGAGTCGATTGACCACAAATTCCTCAGAAAGAATCTCCTTGGCTTTGCCCGGGTCTGCTAGGTATGATCTACACCTTGGTAATAGAAGGGTTGAGACCTGTATCGATCGATTCATAATCGGAGCGAATGGGGTAGAGAGATCAGCCAACGGTCTTACGCATGTGCATGTGGAGCTTATTTGTCTTGGCAAGCTCTCAGCCATTGAAGGCTGAGAGCTTTCCTAGGAGCCTCTGATACCTGTCAACCGAGAAAAGCCTGTAATATGTGACTATATAGGCCACATAGTCACATCAGCCAGCGTCTCTAGTCTTACTCTACATGTGTGCCGAGTAGTTGCTTCGTGCGTCGGGGTTAATGGATTACCAAGACATTCAGCAACACCCATGCAAGTTAGGCCTCCTACGGGTGTCCTGAATAGTGTCAAGGGGATGAAACAGCTGAAGATATAAAGAGAACACAGCGGTGTTTTCCAAAACGATGCCTACGAAGTTACTGATCTGGTGGGGGAGTGGTTTCGGATCTCTTAGACAGCGATGAGCACATTCCGGTTCAAGGGGCAAGCTAATCAACACTGACGAAACAGCTGTCCGAAAAGTAGCTTAGATCTGCAGGAGGCGTCGGTCGATAGTTTCGCTTCGAGATGAAAAACCACCACAAATGTCACGTTAATAGACATTAATGCAGGCTAGCCCCTGCCTAGGCCATCAAATCAAGCATGCACATACTGTACATCTTGCACTCAAGTTCAAATGCAGCTAAGTGTTGAACCCCCCATTCGAGCAACACGTCGCATAGAATAACGAGATATGCGGGCGGTATATAAATTTTGAAGCGCGTCTACTATGCATGAGATAGTCAGAACAACTGGAAGAAATAGTTCAGAATGCGCTTGGTAGGGCCGAGGGGCATACTTCGGCGCAGCGATTGAGCACATCTTAGGCCACGTGAGTGGCTCCACCCAAACGGGTGTAGATGCGCCCGAACTGTCGCAGCATACGCAATCCTTTTCCTGTTCCAACATAAAGCTGCAGGCAGGTCCCGGATCAATCGCTGCCAGTCAGCGTGATCTGGATTCAATTCGTCTCCTTTTCAAATTACCACTTCTCAGAGGCAGGATCGGCCCGAGGCTCCATCCTGTGCCCGGTGCGCCTCCTATTTCTGTTTGCGGCACGACTGTGTACCTCCGCGATCTCCGACCGGCATCAAGGTCGCATTGTGAAATTACGGATTGGGTGTAGGCGACAGCCCTGCGAGATCGCAATGCCAGTTCTCCGATCGATCTGAGCTTATTTTCTTCTTCGACAAGCACGCGCGACTTTACCCAGACAGCCGATCACCTCCCGCATATCCTGATCGCCCTCCGAGCTTCAAGCGCATAACCTGACACGCACCCAAAAAGGCGTGATACCCTTGTCTCAGCAGCACGCGTGGCTGCGGAAAACATTTCCCAGGAGGCATTCCGAGTGATTGCGCCGCCGTCGCTACCCACCGCCCAACATGCCGGCGTTTCGCAGGTTCCTTCTCGCCACTATCTGCTTCATCGCTTTCATCTTTCTCATTCGCTCGAGTCGACCAGCCGAGGTCCCCAGTGCGCCTGGCTACCAACCCGTACAAGAGATATTCAGCGAGGAACAGGATAGGCTATTACATCCGAAGAAGAAGTCCGAAGCTCGGCAGCAGCAAGCACTCTCTTACGGGACTGCGCCACTACGCGAGCGCCTGCGATACCAATTTCCCTACGACCTTCGAAGCAGATTCCCCGCATACATTTGGCAAACGTGGAAGTATGCCCCATCCTCAGTATGGTTTGGAGACCATCTGCGTGCGTCCGAGGCAAGCTGGACAGATTTACACCCAGGGTTCACGCATGAGGTGATTTCGGATGACACGCAGAGGCATTTGATCCAGTACTTGTATGGATCCCTGCCAGACGTCTTTGAAGCCTACGATGCCTTGCCACTCGCGGTGATGAAGGCCGACTTCTTCCGCTATCTGGTTCTGCTCGCACGGGGTGGAATCTACAGTGATATCGACACTATGGCTCTCAAGCCCGCTCCGTACTGGCTGCCCGACGAACTTGATCGGTCCAAAGTGGGATTCATTGTCGGCATCGAGGCCGACCCAGACCGTCCTGACTGGCACGAGTGGTACTCGCGCCGTATCCAATTTTGCCAGTGGACTATCGTCTCGAAACCGGGCCACCCGATCCTGCGCGACATGGTTGCATACATCACGGAAGAGACACTCCGCATGAAGAAGGCTGGCATCCTCCAGGTGGGCAAGATGGATAAGACCGTGATGGAGTTTACGGGACCGGGTGCTTGGACGGATGCTATTTTCCGTTACTTCAACAACCCAGAGTACTTCCAAATTCTACCTGGGGAGAAAAATATAACGTACGAAGACTTCAGTGGTCAGGTTACCCATCGAAAAGTGGGAGATGCGGTGGTCTTGCCGATCACGAGCTTCAGCCCGGGTGTTGGGCAAATGGGTGCCGGGGACCCCGACCACCCAATGGCTTTTGTGAAGCATAACTTTGACGGTATGTTTACTCTTATTCCAAGCGATCTATCCCATGATTTGATGCTGACAAAATTATTACGTCCAGGCTCATGGAAGACAGATCCTTCCCTATGAGACAAGTCTTACTTCGAAGTACCCATCAAATCCAGACTCAAACTCTTTGCACGATTCGTGGTCTTGAGTTCCATTTTGCCCGTGTTTGAAACATATGGCACCAATCTTCCATTGTCTCCTCAATTCACCCAGGCAATTGATTCCCACCCTTACCTACTTCCCTAAGCCTGGCCTCTGCTCGCAGGTCATAGCAATCCTCACCATGCACACCGTCCTGCCTATGAACACTCGCACCGCACTTGGTTCCTGGGCGTCTTCGAGCTTTCCAACATTCTCTGACTGGGACTGGGATATCACTCAACCTATTGTCTGATTGGAAGGCCTAAACTCTGAAACCTCTGTTGCCCATCCCACAGAGATGACAGTCACCCTGTTTGCGACCCATGTTTGACGAACCCCAGTACATACGATTTCTATAATCTCTCTTCTTGTGATATACACTTTTTACCTGGAATTGTTAGATGATAGCAGCGCTAGCTTATTAAATGATAGACGGGCGAATGTTGCTCTCGTGGACTAGTCAGTCCACCATTCAAATGTGAAACATTGTTTGACGATTATTGTGTCCTGGACTTCTCGTGATATATCGAGTTGCAGCCGACCTTGAATACTGTGAACAAGGTCTAGCCAGACTTCTAGCGTCTGAAGCAGAACTCATCCCATCACGGTATACTAGTTGTCTCTGCCAGGGGAAGATTGTGCCCGAAAAGTGACATGCTTCATGCTATAAATCAAGATGAACACTATACTCATGACATAAGTATGTACTAGCTAATTCGCGATAATGATGAAGTTCAAGGCCACCAACCGCTATATGTACTAATTGCTTCAAAGTGAACCGCCACGTTGAGATACATTGTAAAGCGATGATTATAAATCGCAGTAATCAGACGTTTGCACCCTCCACTAATGTAGAGATGAGCTGGAAAGGATGTGCAATGAAGATAGGTGGGAGGTTAGGGGTGATTATGGGACGAGACGGGAAGGAAGTGAGCGTCAGCGTGAGATGAGCCCAGGGAAGGTGCTGGACTGAAGTTCAGGCGGACTTGTGGGCCTTGGTCGTGAGACCAGCTTGCTACTATGTGAGCGGGAGCAAAAAAATAAGTTGGCTGGGCCGCCTAAGTTGGATCCAACATGTTGGCAGAAGTTGGAACACAGGTTGCATATTTCCCATGTCTGTGTCGTGATGGCCTTCAAAATGAAGAGAGAAAGATAAAGCCCGGAAACAAACCGAGAAGATATGAATCCTCTCTGGTTCACCGAGAACCGTACGGTTGAAAGTACAGCCTCTCAGAAGTCACTGAAAAGAGGCTCATATTTCTTCTTCAAGTCATCGGTATACAAGTTCTGATTGCGGTTGTCGGAGTCCGGGTACTCCTCAAAATTTCCGGTGTCCGCCGGATGTGATACTCGGGGAATGATCGGGCCTTTGACGCGCCGGTAGAACAAATCATCCCAAGCCACATCTTGGAAGAATGGGTGAGACTTGACTCGAGTTGAGCCGCCGGAAATGTGGCCCAGACGTTCCGACGGATTGGTTTTGCAAAGCAGTGAGACAATGTTCTGCGCCGCTGGGGGCATATTAGGCGGGAAGCGCAGTCGTCCTTCGACAATTTGCTCATAAATACGCATGGGATTCTGATCCCAAAAGGGGGGCTGTCCGACAAGGAATTCGTAAATCAGAATACCGAGTGCCCACCAATCGACGGCAAGACCGTGACCGCTGTTATGGATGACTTCTGGAGCGAGGTATTCGGGAGTACCGCAGAGCGTATAAGTCTCGCGATTGTCGACCTGCTTTGCAAATCCAAAATCGACAAGCTTGATATGGCCGTCCGCGTCGAGGAGGATGTTCTCGGGTTTAAGATCGCGGTAGGCAACTCCCTGAACATCGTGCAAATACTCGATGGTCATTGTGATCTCCGCAGCGTAGAATCTCGAGGTCTCTTCGTTGAAGCGTCGCGCTCGTCGGAGATAAGTGAAGATCTCACCGCCAGGGCAAAAGTCCAACTGCGATCAGGTTAGCGATCCCGCAGGAACCCGAGACAAAGAAGTCAGGGAGGGAGTCCAGTGTAGCCATACCAACATATAGAGATTCTGCTCGTCCGAGAAGGATGCGATTAGGGATGTAATGAAAGGGTGTCCGATCACGGCTGCGAGGGTCTTGCGTTCATTGCGCACATGTTCAACCTGCTTTAGCTTGATCACTGTTCGACGATAAGTGGCGATGATTAGCCTTCGGCTGTATGCACGTCGGAGGTCCAAAGTCCAAGCATACCGTCGGCCTTGCGCAAGATCTTCAGCGCATACACTTTACTCTTGTCCGTCTCATCCTTCAGTCGCGTAAGCCATACTCGTGCGAAAGTACCTGCAGATCACAAAGAGAACTTGTCAGACTCGATAGGCTTACACGAGCACGCGCGCCAAAGCATTCTCACCAGTTCCTAGCGTCTTTATCAACACAAAGTCGTTCACATGTAAGCTTCTCGAGGAGATGCATAGTTGTTTATCGTCCCGGCGCTCGTTGATCAGGAAGGGATTCGTGGAACGTTGCGGAGGCCGACGGACGGGGTGGATGAGGTGCTTCTCCTTCTCGTGGATGTCGTTGGAGCGCATGGTCTGGCTTCTGGAAGCGGAAGAACTGCCCTGCACCTCAGTTGGTGCCGAATGTTCGACAGTTCCGGTCGCCATTGGTAAGGCAAAAGATCATGTCTCTCGCTGCGGCGTTTAGCAGGGGAAAAAAATGTGTATAGAGCGCCCACCCGGTTAGCGTGCCACCAATCGCATCGGCACCCCAACTCGATTCCGAGGGGTTTCAGATCGAAACAAGAAACATTTGCAAGTAAAGAGTCCCCAACGGAAGAATGGGGGGTTTAAGATGATTAGCGCGGGGCAGAGAGTTGCGAAGGGAAGGTCTGCCAGCTCTGACGTATCTTATGGGGGCGGGGCTGAACGGGCTGGACGGATTAGGGGGGATTACGGTGATAAATCGGAATCATCATTGGCCTACGCCGGATTTCATTCAACGAGAATCTATATGCGAACAAAGGCCCCTTATAATACACCCCAAAATATCAAAAAGGAATAAAGTTCCATGCGATTCAGATGACGGCTGGCCCGGATCTTGATCGACTCCTGTTCTTGAGACAATGACTGGTGCTGGCGCAGTTGGCGCGAACGTATCGGGGAGATCAGACGGGAAGGATTTGGGCTCAAAATAACGAGTAGATATGCGCCAGAATAGCGAGTGCATAAAGCAGAGGGAAAAAGATGGGAATCATGCTTTCAAGACTTCGAGTTCAGGATCAAGCCAACAATCAAGCTAGTCGTCGTGTTAGCCTCGGGATTCTGAGAGTCTCTGGATACCACCTCCTTCAATACTTACCCATACAGACCCAGAACTTCGCCGAAAATCAGAATCAGAATCATGCCGACGTAAACGCGTGACTGTTGCATGTATGCCCGAACACCCTAAGAATCGTATTAGAGCTGAGTATTCTTCCCCCGTCAAGGTTTCAGGAATTGGAATCCATACAGCATCACCAACAATGCCAATAGTGTAGCCAGCGGCGACACCGGAAAGGCCCACGGATAGACCTGCCGCAAGGTGCATAAATCCCCTGTTTCCCAAATAGTCAGCCGTCCCCGTTCGTGGCCACACACGAGCACCTCTCCCGGCTTTTCGAACATACTTGTACAAGCTCTGGCTCTGACCTGGGTTGACGTCTCCGGCAATAAGGACTGAGATGACGAGACCGTAGACTGCAATGATACCGGACATGACGACGGGGATCAGCGACTGTAAAAAGCAAGCCAATTAGCCGTTCTGTATGCCAGACTCATGAGAGAGTTACCGGGTGCGTTGGTTGCACCAGTTGCGCCGTTCTTCTCTCATCGTACCTTCATAATCAGGTCTGGTCTGAACGTTCCCACACCCGCAATACCGATACCCGACTTCGCGGTGCCATAAGCTGCTCCTCCGGCTGTGATGTTGTCAGTTGTCAGCTGTGCATGCTCGAGTGCCCCCAATACTATCCGTCTACGGTGTCGGTGACGTACCCCCGAAGATCATCTTCGAGAACAAAAGCTGTTAGTATACTTGATGCAAATCTCCGAAAGTACTGATCAACTCACTGCAGCTGCAATGCCGGCCTATTCAAAGATACTCGTTAGTCTGAACCATCTCTCGCGGGAGCTTTCCATCGGGCCACTCACGAAGGAGAAGAATGGGGCGAACTTGGGCGCCAGGTCACTGTCCGCCATGATGAGTGTTGTGCCGTAACTCAGGAATGGGGTTGCTGAAAAGAGATGAGAGCTCGTCGAGGCGAGACTGAAGACGGCGCGAGCAGCTGAAGGTGATTAACTGCCAGGTCCGCTGGTTTGGGTGTTGCAGGGAGGATCACTTGGCCCACCGTAGGCAGTTCCCGTGCTTCCCCCTCGGGGAGATGACAGTACCTTACCACGAGTTTGGAAGCTTCTGCAGTGGGCCCTGGCGGTACAGTACCGGTCCTGGTCACCAGATTACCGCAATACCGGGCAGCCCGTCACCTCGCCTCATCCTCGTTCCTCTCTCCTCCCCCCCTCAAGGCTAATCGTTGCATTTCAACATTCAACCACTCCCACCCCCACCACCACCTCCTCCACCTCGTCCTCCTCCTCCCTCCTCCCGTCTCCTCTCTCCTCCAATCACTCCCTCCTCTCGACGGCTTCCACTGGAGGAATTACCAGGGCATGAACTTGCAAGGAGCCCGGACTTTGCTGCGCTCACGGCTCCTGGCGCTCTTCGGTTACGACCTCTGAACCCGCCAACTTCCCCCCAGCTGTCCACCCGAGGGAAAGTGATGCCATATCGAGGACGACTTATTGCACAGAAATTGTTTTATTGCTTCTTTCCCTCGGATCCTTTGCTCCCCGCGGGGTTGCAACTTTCGCCCTTCCCGTCTCTTTCCATTGCCCACGACCGGATCTCGAACCGAACACTTGCGACGCCCTGAACGCTCTCTACGATCGATTCGGATACCCCCTCCTTTTTTTGCTTTCGTCCTTTTCTTGATCTTCGACAGAGAAGCCGTTCGATCTACCCTGACGACCATTATCTCTCTCGCCGATCGCGAGTTTTGTGAACATGGCAGACTTGGGGGGCCAGCGTAACCGGAATTACCGGCCTTATGGCAACGGCCCTGCCTCGTCCGTGCAACGAGATGCTGCGTACAACGATATTTTTGGAAGCGCGCCTCCCCCGGGCCGCGCTCAGACAATGAACTCGCAGACTCCGCAATTCTCACAGGGTCGCGCTCATACCATGTCGTCGCATGTGGCACACCCTCAATTCCAAAGGCCACCTCCTCACCCCACACGACAGCCAGTTGCAAATGGTTATGGACCCCCGCCGTCCGCGCCGCCCAATGGATACCCTCCGGCACCGCCGTCTGGACAGTACCAAGCCTATAACCCTGGGGCAGCAACCATGTCCTCGCAGCCGCCACCCGCACGACAGTACCCAGGGCCAGCGGGACGATTTCCCGTCTACCCCCGACCCCAACGCCTGGATTCTAAACCCGGTCCGCCGTCCCAGTACCCAGATCCCCGCGATCTTGGACGGCCAATGCCTCCTCCTGCCCTCAATTCCGATGCGACGCGATCACGGTCTATGGCCAAACTGAGTGGACCATCCTACCAGGCTGCCCCTATCCCGCCGACTCCGTTCAACCATACCTCGTCTGCCGCCGCTCGTCAACAGCCGTACTACGCCGGTGCTTCAACGATGACCCAACTTGGGCGGACAGTTCCCGAGAGACACCAAAATGAGCGAGCCATGTCCATGACCTCATATGTGTCGGATGCCAGTCATGCCCACATTATGAACAGCGGACGGTCCATCCCAGCTCGGCGGCCCCCATCAGGCCATGAACAATCGACACCACCTCCAAGATTCGACTCTATGCCAGCCAATGTAGCCGACGCATACGCTAGCAGACCTCGTCCTCCCAGCGACGCTTCGACCCGATCTCGCACAATGTCCATCGCATCGACTATTAACCCGGATCGAACGATGAGCGTGCAGAGTCAGGCCACACAGAGCTCGACCGGCCAAACCACTCTCGTTTCTAGGGACTCCCAACGTCGAGTTCCTGTGGTATACCCAGCTCTACTATCGCGGGTTGCCGATGTGTTTCGGGAGAAGATCTCGCTTGGTGAGCGACAGAAAAACGGCTTGTCATACCAGAACGCTTTCTCAGGCACTGATGCTGTGGACTTGATCGCGAACATCATAAGGACGAATGATCGCAACTTGGCTCTCCTTCTGGGCCGTGCATTGGATGCCCAGAAATTCTTCCATGATGTCACCTATGACCATCGCCTTCGAGATGCTCCCGGGGAGGTTTATCAGTTCAAGGAGACTCTGACCGAAGATAGGACCGTCGGTACAGAAGTCAACGGTGTGTTCACCCTCCTGACTGAATGTTATTCGCCCACCTGCACCCGAGACAGCCTCTGCTACTCCATTGCCTGTCCCCGGCGCTTAGAGCAACAGGCCCGGTTGAACCTGAAGCCCCAGCCAATTCTGAGAACTTCGGGATCCAAGGGTAGCCTACACATTGATGATGACGATGACAATGATAACCAGAAGCTGTGGATCAATATGGTTCCGAAGGAAGTCTCCGAGACTGTCGATGACCACGAGAAGAAGCGGCAGGAAATCATCTTCGAGATCATGTACACGGAACGGGATTTCGTCAAGGATCTGGAATACCTGCGAGATTTCTGGATGCGACCATTGCGCGCGGCTGGCACGAACACTCATTCTCCGATTCCCGAACATAGGCGGGAGAAGTTCATTCGGACCGTCTTTGGAAACTGCTTAGAGGTTTTGAAGGTCAACAGCGCCCTTTGCGAAGCTCTGAATGCTCGTCAAAAGGAAAGCCACGTTGTCAAGACGGTCGGTGATATTTTCCTTCAGCACGTGCCCCGCTTCGATCCTTTCATCAAGTACGGTGCCAACCAGCTCTACGGTAAATTCGAATTTGAGAAGGAGAAGGGGTCGAATCCGGGCTTTGCAAAATTTGTGGAGGACACCGAGCGTCTCAAGGAGTCCCGAAAGCTTGAACTGAATGGTTACCTTACCAAGCCTACCACTCGTCTTGCTCGATACCCGTTGCTTCTAGAGTCTGTTCTCAAAAATACGGCAGATGATAATCCTGACAAGGAGGATATCCCCAAAGCTGTGAAACTTATCAAGAGTTTCCTCTCGCGCGTCAATACTGAGAGTGGCAAGGCAGAGAACCACTTCAACTTGGTGCAGCTGAACAATTCATTGAAGTTCAACCCCGGTGACTACGTGGACTTGAAGCTCACCGAGGAGAACCGCCAAATGCTCACTAAAATGGCGTTCAAGAAGACCACCGGAGAAAGCTCGGAAGTAACTGCTTATCTTTTCGATCATGCAGTGCTTCTCGTTCGTATCAAGGTTGTGAACAAGCGAGAAGAATACCGTGTATACAAGAAGCCTATCCCTCTTGAGCTATTGGTCATTGCCCAAATGGACGAGGTTATTCCCCGCTTGGGAATTTCCAAACGGCCGTCGTCGAGCCTTTTGTCCAACAAAGTCATCCCCAACCCTCCCCCTACTAAAGACGGACAGCTACCCATTACATTCCGCCATCTTGGCAAAGGCGGCTACGAGCAGACTCTTTATGCAACATCTCCAACTCAGCGCCGGAAGTTCATCGAAATGGTCGAGGAGCAACAACGAAAGTTGTGGGAACGAAACAGCAACTTTTATAATAAGACGGTCTTGTCTGAGAACTTTTTCTCGGCCATTAACCGAGTCAATTGCTGTGTTCCAGTTGGTAAGTTGACCCCGCTGTGCACGGATTCGATTTTCTTTCATTCACTAACGTTGACGATTTTGTAGATGGAGGACGCAAATTGGTCTACGGAACTGACAGCGGCATCTACTTGTCAGAACGCTGGCCCAAGGACAAGAACGCAAAACCTAGGAAGGTTCTGGAGGCCAGCCAGGTCACTCAAATTGATACTCTGGAAGAATATCAATTGCTCTTGGTCTTGGCAAACAAGACCCTCCAGTCTTATCCCTTGGATGCCCTCGAGATAGGAGAGGGTCAAAACACCATGGCAAAGCGCCCGAAGAAGATTCAAGGCCATGCGAACTTCTTCAAGGCAGGAATTGGTCTTGGTCGTCACCTTGTATGCTCGGTCAAAACCTCCGCGTTGTCGAGTACTATTAAGGTCTACGAACCGATGGACAACCTGGCCAAGGGCAAGAAGAAGTCTGCTGTCAGTAAGATGTTCCAGAGCGGGCAGGATACGCTCAAGCCATTCAAGGAATACTACATTCCTGCAGAATCTTCTTCGATCCACTTCCTGCGGTCTACTCTGTGTGTTGGCTGCGCTCGCGGCTTTGAGGTCGTCAGTCTTGAAACAACTGAGACACAATCACTCTTGGACCAGGCTGATACATCTCTGGATTTCGTCGCCCGCAAGGAAAATGTCAAGCCGATCCACATCGAGCGCATGAACGGCGAGTTCCTGTTGAACTATAGTGACTTCTCGTTCTTCGTCAACCGCAACGGCTGGCGGGCTCGTCCAGACTGGAGGATCTCTTGGGAGGGTAATCCGGCCGCCTTTGCATTGTCCTACCCTTACATCCTGGCATTCGAACCCAACTTCGTCGAGATTCGCCATGTTGAGACAAGCGAGCTTATTCATATCATGACCGGCAAGAACATCCGTATGCTGCATTCTTCCACCCGCGAGATCATCTACGCCTATGAGGATGAGAATGGCGAGGATGTGGTTGCCAGCTTGGATTTCTGGAACAAGCCACAGCAGGTTTAGTCATTGTTGGCTATAAAAACCACATTTGCATGAGCGCTTCGGCATAACGCCTTCCTAGATTCCCCGGCTTTCTAGTCCATTGCTCCGGCATTACTTTTGCGCTATTCTTTCGCGGCTAGTCCACCGAGATATGAGGGCCTCTTCTGTTCTTGCTCAGCCTTCAGGCATTCTCGAGGCTGATTCGTGCCCAGCATCTTCTTTCCTATACCAGTATGACGTCTTAGACGTCCTCGGCTCTCACCCCTTCCTTCTGCCATCTTTACCATCTCCTCTTCTCCCTCCCTCCTCTCACTCAGAAGACTCAACCCCAAGGCTCTTTCTCATCCCCCGCTTCTCGTTTCTCTGTCCGACTGTGTGTACAATGGAGCGCAAAATACCACTTCTTGCGTATCTGCCTGACTGTTCTTTTGCTCGTCGCCCCGTTCGTCGTTGCATCTTTTCAAGTTGCCTTACTTTCTTCTTAAAAATTTTATTGGACTTTTATTATTTTCTTCCCCTCTCTCTTCTTTACCTTTACCCCTTATTGTTGTGTGCCTCCGCATGGCCTGCGAAGTGATGACCATGTCTTTGGACGTTTTAGCTTTTTTCCCCATTTCTCTGGTATTATTTACGTGTACTGTTTTCAAGGTATTTTCATACTTAAGAAATGGATGCCGTTGATATGATATACTTCGATCTTTTTCATCTGTAGTATTTTGTAGTATCTTGTGATATATCGTCCGTGGGTTGAACTCACCTCATGACGAAATATGTTGCTGGTCCATTCAGTCCTCCCGCTGAATATTAGAGGACACTACCTAGAGATAGAGACAGGACAGCTTAGGTTTTGATTAGGGTCCGACACCAGCAGCACGCTTTTGGCCGGGGCCGGGCCCGTGGGATCCATGTGGTGTCGGATAACAGAAAATACTTCTCTCGAGCCGGTGTAGACGTACTTCCAGGTGACGTTGATCCAAAATGTGATTGAAGACCCTTCGGTCAAGTGTGGAGCAGCAGAATTGATGGAACAGAGGCATAGAGCCAGCGCTGAGACAGCTACACCAGGCACTTGGTCCTCATAAATGGGCGGGAGAAAAGCGAATGACAGAATCCAAGTCTCTCTCTCAACTGAAAATCAATTACCATAGCTAGACGTGAAACGCGACGGCGTGTGAGCGAAAGCTGGGGTCTGCAATGAAGGAAATATACAACAGGACTCGCCACAGCTTCTTGGCAAGTGCTTGGCGATGTTTGTTCTCACTCACGGTGAATAGATACAAGGAAGGTCAAATTGAAGTACCTATTGCCGCGGAAAGGAATAATCATCTATCTATCTACATGTGCAGCTATGTATCTGTGTATAGTGACTCGGGATCTTTGCCTTCCTTCTCTAGCCCCAAAGAAACCAGAGAAAAGATCCCAAAACAGCAATTCCAATGACAGAAGAAACCACTCCCAGTTATGCGGGGCTCTTCCGGTGAATCAGGGGCGTTGCAGACAGATCTGGTTTCTCCTGAGATCAAGCATGGGAAAGGTCGACCCGCGGCGTAGAGCTTCGAACCCTTCCGGGAGAAGACATTATAGCCGCCGTGGTAAATGCGTTACGGCAGAAGGGATGAGTTGTGTTACCCTGAAACCCATCTAAATCCCTCGTAGTTTCGAATTTGTCATGGGGATATAGATTATGTCTTGCTTTGGGTCGAACACGACAGGGGATTTTGTCATTGCCGCCATGGCTGTTAATCTCGTATCCTAGTGTGTGGGCCAGGCGAGGACTATGGCGCGGGCCGCGTGATTGGCACTAAACGGTGATGAACGGGTAGAAAGTCCAGAAGGTCCTAGGGGAGCCAAAAGTCGATGGAACATTTCACCACGTAATCCCCAGACTGTGAGAGGTACCGAGGCTGCCATAGGCCCTTCTTGTAGAAGCTTAGAGCTGGGTGTGCAAGGTGACAGTTGCAATTGGAGTAGAAGTAGCCAATCATGTTTATCTCCTCTTATTGTAGCTTGGAAGTCCGACCAACTAGTGTCAGCTCACACAACAATCTTCTCCAGCTCGAACAATATCTGTTGACAATTAGTTATGCGAAGATTCAATATTCTAGTTCACCAGCTGACCTTTTCAATATAGCGGACTCCAACTAGTATACCATCGTCATCTTCGAACTCCCTTTCATCTCCGAATCTCCGATTATTTTTATCCAGACAGGTCAAACACGAGACCACAACGTCGCTGTATATCTGGCCCATCACCGCCGGCAAACGAGTGAGGGCCTGCCGGCCAAGTATATCCTTGATCGACGCAGCTGCCCTCTGTTGGTCCCTAGCTCCAATGTGTTGCTGAATGGGTAGCTCCGGGCTGGGAGTAATGGACTTTGGATCTTCAGAGTAGCATACAAATGAAGTCCAGAGACCAATCTCCAGCAGGCAGACTCCGACACTATAAATATCATGCTGCATTGTGTATTCCTCTTCTGGGTGGAGACCCTGGCGTTTAGGATGTCGGTATAGGTTCTTTTCCCATGCATTGTCGCCCGCCATGTAGGTCCGCGCTTCTGCCAGACGAAAACGCTCGAAACCGACCAGAGACATCTTTCCTAGGGTATCAGTGGGCTGTTGAAGGATGATAATGTTTTCGGGGGAGATGTTCTTGTGCACGATGCAGGACGAGTGGAGGAATACAGTTGACCGAGCAAGTGTCACGGCCAGTTTGACGCGCTCGTTCAAGGAATAGCTCGTGGGTGACGTTGAAAGAAGAGAACGAAGACTTTTAGGTCGTATATTCTGCGGGATAGAGAATATGATTTCAAACCCGGTGATCTTTTGAGTCGACGGGTCACGACATTTGACGGCACCTTGACAGGGAAGAAGGCCAAAAAGCTCCGGATCGACATTGGAGAGAACGCGCGCCAGATTTCGGACATCTTTTGTAGTCAGATCAATGTCAACTTGTTCCCTCGCTGGAATATAGTCAATGACGAGCCCACGGCCCGAGTTGCTGCCGGTGGATGCAGTAGAGAGTGCGATCAACTCCCGGTCCTTTATTTCATAATTGGCCGGGAGAAAGATGCTTGATGATACCACTGTGTCGTCCCTGGTGATATGGTGAGCGCGGCGTAGCTGCACTACGCTCGACACGACCCCGGTCTCGCTGGGATTTTCTTCAGCCAACTGCTGGTCAATCACCGGAACGGCGATGCGGGCTAAGAGAAACCAGGAGGGATCGAATGTCCTCTGCCACTTCTCCAGATCCGCAATGATGCCCTCCAGAGACGATTTTGCATACGCAGCATATTTGAGTCGTTTAGTATCCCCCATCTTGGCCACGATTCTGTCTGACCTGGACTTTTCCCGTTGTTCATTGGGTACTAGGCTATCCACCTTATTAAGTGCGTTTTGCAACTTCCCCTGGAGCACCTGTAGTACTAGAGTCTGGTGTATTTGAAGGTCATCCCCCAGTGATTCCCAGACGCGATGGAGGGCAGAGATTTGGTGCTCGATCTTGATCCAATGGCCTTGGATGCATAAGGTGGCTTCTCGCAACTCATGTTCGGCTCGTAGATAGGATTGACAGCGTTCGTAGAGGTCCTTTCCGATTCTTTTTCCTCCATAACAACAGTGGTCAGCATCCCTCCTTAATGAAAGCCCCTATTGCCCGCGGTTTGGTGACTTTCATAAGCCACAAGCCCGGAAGCTCACCGTAAACACAGCTCTGCCATCGAGGCGGCTGCGAATCCCAGTCCCACGGGTTCCATTTTGCGTCTTTAGGCCAGGCCGAGAGTCCAGCAATTGTCGGTCAGCAAAGGGTCACTCCTTCTTCGATGTCAAGGCATTCTTCTCCGCAGCTTGCCCGGTCACTCTGTTGATATATACCCCGCACCGGGGCGCTAGACAACTCATTCTCATTGGATCTCCGTCCATCCTGCTCAGCCGCATCTTGACCCTCCTATTCACGCCAGGATTTGAGTGATGATGAGCAGAGCTAACTTGCAATTTCTAAGCCTCCGGGCTAGTCATGCTTGATCCATCCCCGGAGCCTTCGCGTTTTCAGTCATGGACTTGTCCCAGCTGGCGGCCCTCCTCCAGGATCTCGGGGATAACGCAGAGCTGACAGAGCGGATCAAGAGTGTCATCAATCAATCCGAAGCCACTGATTTACTGCAGCACTTCCACCTGGATGCCGTCATTTCGGATGAATGCACGACCCATATCGAATACAAGGTGGGCCAAGGCCTGGTTCCCCGAAAGATTGAGAAGAGATGGTACCGAAGGGAGGAGCCCATCGGACGGGGCTCTTATGGACAAGTCTGGCTGGAGCGAGAGGGTAAAGCAAGCAATCAACGGGCCGTGAAGATCATGGAAAAGGTATTGATGACGCGCCACGGAATAGATTTCAAGAAGGAAATCTTGGCACTAGCCAAATTCTCGAAACCTCAATATCAGCAACAGGAGGTGCTGGTCAAGTTCCTTGGATGGTGCGAACAGCCGTCGAATCTGTTCCTTTATATGGAATACTTCGAGCTGGGGGACCTCGAGGGTCACATCACTGGGTCCATTACGGAGGATGATATCAAGGACATCAGCACCAACCTGCTCAATGGGCTCCGCATTATGCACCGTGAAGGCTTTGCTCATCGCGACCTCAAGCCGGGCAACATCTTTGTTGTCCAAAAGCCACCCGCGGCGAGGTGGTGGGTTAAGATTGGGGATTTCGGAATCTCGAAGCGCGTCAATCACGAGCTAACCGCCCTTTATACATCGATTGGGACGCCTCTGTACATGGCTCCCGAAATCACTGGTGACCTTGATACGGATGAACCGACATCCAAATACAACAACGCGGTGGATATGTGGTCGTTAGGGTGTGTCGTATACAAAGTCGCTACCCAAGCCGTACCGTTCCCAGCTCGGAGGGACCTGAGGAGGTTTTGTATCGGGGGACCCTTTCCTGAGCAACCTCTCCTGGACCGTATCACCGCGGACGGAACGGAATTTGTCAAACGTTTACTCGTCCCAGACCCACGAGACCGTCTATCCGCCGAGAGCGCCTTACAAACCTCGTGGCTCTCGCAGAGAAGACGAAAATCTGAAGACTCCATCCTGGTCCGAGCCCGAACTTCTTCCGATCCAAAGGAACCGGCTAGATCGACAGCAGATAATGACACGGATTTATCAGAAGCGACTGCGAGGATCTCAACTTCACTGCTAGCTGCCCAACCAGAGAACCCCGGAACTAGGGAAACCCGCGAATCTCGAAGGTCTTCGGCATACCAAATACAACAGCGCCTGGTTACATCAACCAATGGAATGCCCAGGCCGCCGAATGAGACCTCCCCACCCCCAGGTCATGTCCCTGATATCGTGGATCGCGATTCAGACCCCGCGGAAGCGACTATCAGACTCTCTGCTCCCGGGTCACGCAGGCCGGTTGAGCCTTCTCAGCCCCAGTCACCGCGATCACCACAGCCCGACAATCGAGTGGATCTTGTCCAGAAAGCTGTGACTGATACCCTGCTTGCGACTAAGCAGCTCCTGAACAAGCTAACGGAGTGGTCGAGGAAAGAAGCTACCGAAGGTGATGTCAGCGGAGCTTGGATGCGGTGTGGGTACAATTTCAACATGGCTTGTAGAAGATTCAATAGTGTCGGAATCGAAACCACGGACATTGCGTCCTTCACCCCCAGTCTTCGTACTGTTCTCGAGACTACCTTGGGTCAGGACGCGTCGCCACAGGCCCTCGACCTCTATCTACCACGGATCCGCGCGATTGTTATTGACATGCTGCACGGGATGAAGCAGAAACAATCGCTTCTTAGAGGGGAAGCGCAGGAGGTGCCGGCAGGAACCCGCGAGCCTCCTGTCACTACTGCCGAGGGCTCCCATCCGGTGTCGGCCGCACAAGCAACCGCCACGAAGACGCCAGAAGATTATCTCAAGAGGCCGCGTGATGATCGTGAAGTTGATCAGCTGTTTCTGAAACTGATAGAAAAGAGAGGCTGGAATAAGCTTCCCGCGCAGGCTCAACGGCAGATGCTTGCTTACACGGCCGAAAAGAAATGGACTCTCATCTATCAGGATCGAGTGACGGAGCTGCCAAGTAAAAAGTACAAGTCTGAATCTGGTCAGATACTCGACCGGTTAGACGAAGAGGGAAGGCCTGAGTGGTTCGTCAAGAAGATAAGAGACGGGACCGTGACAGCAAAGCAATTGGAAAGCCTACATGTGTCTTTACGGACACAACGACTCCGGTAGGCCAATCTCTCTACCACTGCAGGTTGACCTTATGAGGGCTAATAAGCGACTTAGCTGGGTGAATGCATTTGTGGAGTTGCACGGACTCCTTGCCTTGACAAATGTTCTGTCAAGCATCCATAACAAAAGCAGCTCACAATCCGCCACCGGATCGATTAGAGACACTGGAGACCTAGACAATGAGTTTAGTATCGTCAAGTGCGTCGAGTCGCTGATGAACACCAAATCCGGCGCGAACAATGCCCTGGCCCATCAACAGATCGTCATCTCCCTCACAAATTCACTTGTTTCCCCAGAATTGAACACCAGGAAGACTGTGACCGAAATTTTGACATTTCTAGGTCACTGGGGCGAACGGCAGGGCTATCAAAAGGTTCTCGACGCAATGGACATTGTCAAGGACCAGCATCACAAGGCCGGCCGTTTCGACTTTTGGATACCCGCGTTCGAAGTCGCGATTGATACCCATATGCAGGCGCGCGGTTCTGATCGCAAGCTCGACCGTAGCCAAGTGACTGAGACGTTGCTCCGGGAATATTGTTATTCAACTACTTGTTTGATCAACATGCTTGTGAGCGCATGTGATGATGACCTAAAGTTTCGATGCCACATTCGGGCCCAGCTCAACGCTTGTGGGATTCAACGTATCCTACCAAAGCTTGAACGTTTTGAGTATGGGGCCATTGATAGGCAGATCAAACGTTTCCGGGACGATGAGGCCATCGACTATGAAGATCTCCTGCATTGCGAGTAGAAAATACAGAGTTATCTACCTACAATAGCAGAGAGGTGATCGTGGTAGCCTATCCTACGCACTGGTTTCGAGATTTCATAAATCTTTCGGTAATTGGGTGCTTCTGTATGAAAATATATCGAACCTTGTTCCATCACAAATCAAGTCATGATTAGTTAATGCGGGGGAGGGGGGAAAAACTTTTTTAAAAAAAAAGTCCTGCATTGAACTAACTTGGCGGATGGCGCTTGTTGGAAGCGAGTTGATGTCGTAGGTCTTGCAAGGGAGGGCCAGCCCTGGTTATATAGATTGGGAAGATTGAGGTGGCAAGCGACAGGGTGCACAAGCACACACGCTAGGCCGTAAGGGGCAGTATGACAAGCGGTGGCAGGCGGGCGAAGGGCGTTCGTTGGGAGCCGTTTCGGTCATAATACTATGCTGTGTTACTAGGCTAGCAGAATTCCAGGACCCCCATGCCCGAGGGAAATCTAGAGGGCAACGGCCTCACCCATTATGTAAGGTAACTGTATACTAAAAGAACAAGAGGCCAAGATACTTTTTCTTCCTCGTTTACTATCGAGCTAGGAAGACAGCGAAAAAAAGGATAGACACGAGACTGGACCAAATCACAAAACAACAAAAGAGAAGAGGGAATCTTGCTGCGCTGCGGACTTTGGACAAGGTGCCAGGGAGGAAACGGAAACAAGAGAGGAGAAGCCGGAGAGGGATCGATCAAGATAGGAGGGAATGGAACGGGGGGAATAAGAAAACAGGATATGCAGGAAAATAGAAGCCCCCGAACAAATGGACGATTAAAACATTGGGAAAATGAAATGCGAAATAAAAGGACCGTTCTTATGCCTTCGTTCCCGGATCGAGGGACGAGATAAGAGCCATTAGGCGAAAGGTTGAGATGGGGTGGAGCAATTGACAGCCAGATGTCACATCACGATCAATTGGCATGCGCTCTTTTTCCCTCCTCCAACCGAAGCAAAATTGGAGAACTTCGGTGCTCGTCGTCGAATAGCCGGAAGGTTGCATTCTATGTTGGGAATCTTGTCCATCTCCGTAGAGACACCCGCGGAAGAAATAAAAAGAAAAAGAAGAAAAAAAAAAAAAATTAACGTGAATAAACAGTCAATATTATCCCCATAAACAGAAACCAACTTCGTGCCACGAAGTCCATGAGTTGGCACAAACGGTATCACATTGCGAACCGGCGCCCCGCTGAATGAGCCGCATCGACGACAGAGTAAATCTAAGCCTCCCCATTGGCAGGCTCGCTGACGACATTGTTCTGGCTGGCCTCGCGCGCCATGCGAGCCTCGATCTCTCTGAGCTGGCTCTCGCGGGCCAACAGCTCCTGTCGCTTCTCGGCAATCTCGCGCTGCACCTTGAGCTCGATCTCGCGGAGCTTCTCCTCCTCGCGGCGGAGCTGCTCCTCCTTGAGGCGGACGGACTGGGAGGCAAGGTCCTCGGGGTTCATAGAAGAGTCGATGCCACTATTTGATAGATTAGTATCGCGGATGATGAGAGGGGGAGATTTTCATCAAAACGACATACGAAGAAATTCCGTCCACGCTCTTGCTGAGCTTCTCAGTACGGTAGTTCTCGTAGAGGAAGTCGTGAGTGATTTCCTTCAGATCAGCCAAGTGGCTGTGGAGGAGGGCGCTGCGAATGGCCAGGAAGTCGGAGTGCCGGGGGTTCTCAACCTCGACCACACCCCATGGGTACTGTCGGGCGCGTACTTTCCGGTTATCAATCTCAACAAAGTCCTCGGAGCCAACGATGGCAAAAGGCATTAGTCCACGGAGCTCAGCGTTCTCCTCAACAGTGTCCTCATCGTCCTCCTCAATGTCGTAGGGGAAGTTGTAGACGGGGATGCGGTAGTGTTCAATGTCCTCCATGATCAACTTCTTGGACTCGGCCAATTCTGCGGGGGTGAGGGAGTCGGCCTTGCCGATGACGGGGATAACGTTGACACGGGGGGACAGGCGCTTCATCAATTCGATATCGAGTTCGCGGAGACCGTGGCCGGTAGGTGTGATGAAGTAGAGCAAAACATGCACACGGTTGTCCCTGAAACGGGGGTTACGCTTAATGCGCGACTCCTCTGCAAGAATATCATCGTATTGGCGCTCGAGGTAGCCAACAATCTCGCCGAAGCTGTGAGGGGGTGTTAGCGGGAGGGGAGGCTCGAGCATTGGGAGCGGTTGCGGGTTGCGGAGTGTCAACATGCCTCGCCTCGTTGTCAATCTGGTCACCGAATCCGGGGGTATCAACAATGGTTAGGGAGATGCGAGTGCCTTCTTCATCCAGCTCGAGCTCTGTTGTAATCCGGAAAGTCAGCATTGGTTCCCGCTGTCTGCGCGGCGGAGGAGTTCCAACTCACCGACAGTCACGGGCTTGATGCGAACGCCCTCCTCGATGTGGGCATGCTCTGCATCATCGGCCTCCTTGCCCTCCAGCACCTTCTTTCCGCAGAGAGTGTTGACGAAGGTTGTGCGACCTGATTTGAAAGATGGTTAGTTGGCAATTGGCCAGAACACCGGGGGGTTCTGTCGTCGAGCATACCAGTTCCGCTGGCACCGCACACCATCAAACAGAACTGAATTCCCTTCTTGACATTCTTCTTGCGGCGAATCTTCATCTACCCACAGGGGGGTCTAGAGTCAGCTCAGATGATCGTTTGTTTCCCTCTCGAAAAAGTATGGGGCAAGAGCTGGGGGAGAGGAATAAAAGGGGAAAACATACCGCGTTGAGAGCCGACGACATGGTGGGCTAGGTATGGAAAGGAAAGGGGACAAGATGCAGGAGGGAAGAAAGTGCTTTGCAGCAAGGGAATTCACAAAGAAGAGCGTGAGGATGAAACTCTCCTGAGGTTCGATCTGGACGGAGAAGTAGTAGTGGTTCAGTAGTAGTAGGGGGGGGATGTGAGGAAAGACAGTTCGTGTTTCCCCCTTTCCCTCCGCCGCGGGCCAATCACGGGACGCGCCTCTTCTCCAGCTTGGCTGGCGACCAGACCAGGTAGAAACTCCACAACGGGTCCAATGGCTCGTAAAAGGTTGATAGCTACAGACTGACTAACTGATGAGATATTTCCTGATCTTTCTATGATCTTGATATTTGCGATCTTCTCATTTTGGCTACAAAATTCTCTATTACTAGCACTCAGGGGCTACAAACATAGTGGGTCGCTCCTGACCACCCGGGGGATTATGTAATCCATGATTCAGGCACCCAGGCAGTTCAGCGTGGATCCCAGCCCAGAGCTTCTCCCGCGCCCGCATTTTCTTCTTGGTTAAGGCTGTTGCCACCCTCTTGAGTCTCCTGCGCGCACCTCCTGGGGTCTTGGATCTCGACCTCACAGGCTAAATCTTGCTCAGCCCTTTATGAGTGGGATCATCTTTCGGAAGATCTGTTGAGATGTTTTCGATCTGCGAAGATAAACACTAATAAGATGATTTTAAAGCTTAGTTCAAGACTCTGAACTTACCACGAAAGTCTACGATAGTATAGTGTGTAAGTTATTAGATCCTGGCTACTGTACTAACTTATTGAATACCATGTTAGTACGTCAGGCAGAAATCTAAGGCCACAAGGGGTGCGAGCGGGAAACTCAGAGAGTGGCAACAGCCTCGCCCTCTCTCTTCTTATCGCAGATCCACCCTTTGCGACATGCGGCATGATCTGCGCCACTCTCACAGCATAGCTCGACTTCTATCTTTCTTCATGTCGATAGTTGCTGATTGAATCACGCCACACAGCTTCTTTCACCTCGGAAGAACCGAACTGCATCCTGCAACCTCCCTCGCCCCCAGATCAATTCCCCGCTTCAAGCTTGGTGACCCACGTCATGGTCTGCAACCATGAACACCCGCCAAGTTATTGACGAGTCTATTGGGCCGTATTCGCTGTCTGCGGCCTTCAACAATGATAGTAGTTGCTTCTCAGTGGGTTTGAACTCCGGGTTTTGTGGTAAGCATTTGCGTGCGCAGATTGATGGGCCTATCAAGGAGCTTCAAACAAGGGGACCGAGGCTAAAAAGCGTTATTGTTCAGTGTTCAATGCCAATCCGTGCGACCTCAAGGTTTCTCGAGGTGAGCTCGATGACTCTTATATGTTGATGGAAGCTCTTTCAGCTAACGAATCCTTTTTGATCGCCAGATTTCAATGCAGGAATCGGCCTTGTTGAAATGCTCGGCCAGTCGAACTATCTCGCGATTGTCGGCGGAGGACGAAACCCCAAATTTCCCCAAAACAAAGTGCGCGCAACCCTCGCTTACCATTCAGATGTGGAATAAGCACTCACAAAATTCCCATTCAGCTTGTCATCTGGGATGACGCAAAGCAAAAAGCCGCCATGACCCTCGAATTCCGTACCTCCGTTCTCGGGGTTCGCCTTTCCAAATCCAGAATCGTGGTTGCGCTCTTGAATAGCATCCATGTATTCGCATTCTCAACACCCCCACAGAAGCTATCCGTATTCGAGACTTCGGATAACCCGCTGGGACTGGCCTGTCTGGGCCAGAAGCTGCTTGCTTTCCCAGGCCGGTCCCCGGGACAGGTGCAAGTCGTCGAGCTGGAGACGGGCAATATCAGCATCATACCGGCACATAGCTCTCCTCTGCGCGCCATGACATTGAGTCCTGATGGGGAAGTGCTTGCAACTGCCAGCGAAGCGGTAAGAAGCCGACTGGCGCTAATTGACTCTCTACACTACTAACATTCTCTAGGGAACATTGATTCGTGTGTTCTCTACAGGGAATTGTACGAAGCTGGCAGAACTGCGCCGAGGTGTAGACCATGCGGTGATATTTTCTCTTTCATTCTCTCCCTCCAATACACTGCTTGCAGTAACTTCCGACAAATCAACACTTCACATCTTCGATATACCCCACCCTCATCTCGCCCACCAGAGCCAGTCTCCCGCTTCAGTAACTGAGGAGGGGACGAATCAGAAATGGGGTATCCTCGGCAGACTGCCTCTGCTACCGCGAGTATTCTCTGATGTATATTCATTTGCTAGTGCGCATTTTGAGATTGGCGATGAGGCAACACCGGGGTCACCCTATGCGACACCGATGGGCACATCAATGGGGCGCCCTCCCAAAGGTGTCATTGGGTGGATGGATAATCGAACTCTTTTGGTGATTGGATCTGGCCAGGATGGACGTTGGGAGAAGTTCATTCTGCGGGATGGTGATGACGGAAAGCGGTATTGCATGCGCGACGGTTGGAAACGATATCTGGGGGGCTGAAAATGTCCAAGGATCCAATGCTGTGAATATATGCGATTACCCACACGTAGGCATAGAATCAAGGACGAAAGCCTTGAGGATTTGATACCACTGCTGGGCGGTGGCTTGGCCTGTCCGAGCTAGATACAGTGGACTGCGAGGATTGGACCAGTTCGTGTAGATATCACAAAGTTTTTTGTATATGGAGTCTCGTTCGTGATCGGTCATAAAACGAGCATAGACAGGGCGTATGAGAACTCTTCAGCGGCGACGATCATGTCGGTCTCGATCACTGCGATGTCTTCGTGCGCCTGGCGAGCGCGATCGCTCAGTTGAACGGTCTCTCCTAGGCCGTTCTCCCCTCTCTGCCAACCGATCCCTCCGAGGATATTCTTCCCGCTCTGGGGAGCGGTCCCTTCTCGACCTCTCCTCGCGATCTGCCGACCGCCGCCGCGATTTCTTCTCTCTGTCGGGGGACCGGTCATCACGGCGTCTGCGTTCCGTGGAACGAGAGCGATGGCGGCGATGGTGTCGATTGGATCGTTCTCTGCTATCTCCTCGTCTTCTGGAAGACTTTTTGCTGTTCTGATACTTGGCTAGCGCAAGTGCAACCTCTTCCTTCTTCTCTTCGATAAGGAACTCCTTCATTGGATCCTCCTCGTCGTGGTTCTGAATGAGCTCCTGGAGCTCCTTCTCCTCCTTCAGCATGGGTCGGCGCTCCTCTCTATCGGCATCGCTATGCTGTCTCCTGCGATCACGTCGACCATCGTCGCCATCCTTCTTGCTCTCAGTGATAGTCGCGTCACCCATCAGTCTTGCGACATTGTCTCCTTCTTCCTCATCGTCACGGCGCTTGTATCGGGTGTGATCCACACGCAACATCCTTCCTAGAACTGTTGCGCCTCCCAGGTTATCGACTGCAAGGTCTGTGCTGCGCTGGTCCTCATATTTCAGGAACGCAAAGCCTCGGCTCTTGCCCGTTTCCTTGTCGCGAAGCAGGTTGATATGGACCGGCTCTCCATACTGAGAAAATATCGTGACAATATCACCTTCAGAGAGATCTAGTGGAAGCCCGCCGATGTAAATATACGCGGTGTCGCGGTAGTCTGCATGCCATGACGCCTCGGGTGGTCTAGACAAAGCGCGACAGAGTTAGTTCCGGGGCCACAAGGAAAACCGTAAAGCATCATGACAAGCTGCAGCTTACACCGCACTTTCAAGCTCGCGCTTATTGAGCGCCTGAGTCTGGCGAATGGCGTTCATAGTGGGCCGTGGGGAGCGGAGGTGTAAGGTTGCGGGTTGGAAGAAAGAAAGCTGGAAAGAAAAGGGCTCCACCCGGAGCATCTGCGGAACCGTAAAATCGCCAATTGTTTACTCAACCCCAAGCCCCCCTGGTCCATCCTCCGTGACGTCGTCGGATGCAAGTCGGTCGCCCACGAGACATTATCCCAGGTAATAGCTGAAGAAGCTCCTGGTTCTTGCGGTCCAGGTCGAGCTGTGATTAAATCCACCCCCCACCCGCTTTCTACAAATTCCCCTGACCGCGCGCGATCGTTGGCTGTGACCTCTCCCCTCCACCACGACCTCCGATCCGACAATTCTTCGCGCCACAGCCCTCAGAAATCCTACACTTTGCCCAGGTGCTTGGAATGGTGCATGCCTTTTGAGGCATAGTGGCACTAGACCAGACGATGTCGTCCAGTCCGAATCGCGGATCCAAAGCGTCCGGTACCAACAGTCGGCCTACGAGCAAGGATGGTTCAAAGAAGAATATTTGGTCCTCGTTGCTAGATGGTGTCGCCAATGGAAAGCGCTTGCCGGAGAAAAACTTGTTGATTCTAGGTTAGTGAAAGACCCCTCGTTCTGGCCAACATTCCTGCTCGGCCCACGCCCGGCTTTTCTTTAGCGACTGATGATACTAATTTCTTGACCTTAGGGGGTACACCGGAAAGCCAGAGGGACTTCTTGGAGACTTTCTCGGCGGACACTTCGGCAGACCCTGGTTTGTTAAATGATAAAAGGAAAGGAAAGACGCCTCCAATCGCCAATCAGTTTGCCTTGGGATACACATATCGAGACGTACTTGATGCCGATCAAGAAGGTGCGGAGACTCTCTAGATGATATCATTTCATGTGCCGCCAATCCTGACATTCATAATTTATAGATACGCTGGCACGTGTGTCGGCTTACCTTCTGTCCGAACCCTCTCCGTCGTTCGCTCCTCTCCTCAAACCGCTTCTGACCCCTCAATCTGTTCCCGAAACGCTTGTCGTCATTCTCCTGGACTGGTCAGACCCATGGACGTGGATTCGGCGGCTACGAGAATGGGTGCGCCTTCTCCGCTCCGTGCTGGTATCGCTCGAGGATGATACCAAGATAGTGATGGAGGAGACCATGACAGAGTGGAGAGACCGCAAGCGAGGCATGGATGCTGGCTCTGCAGCAGCGGGAGGAATTTCAAACTCCGGAGGCCCTGTCACAATACCTTTGGGCCCTGGCGAGTGGGATGAGGGGTTGGGTATCCCGATGTGTGTCGTTTGTCAAGGAGTATGCATGCCCTATATCAAGACCGGAGGTGCCGCGAGCGTCGTCGCTAATTCTCTTTTACAGGCGGACAAGATCGAAAAGCTGGAGAAAGACCACGGCTGGCACGAAGAGCAATTCGATTTTATTCTCCAATTCCTGCGGACGATCTTGCTGAAGCGTGAGTTCCAGCTATTAGTATTTGTTCCAATGTTCACATCGTTCTAACTCTACAAATAGACGGCGCTTCGCTCATTTATACAACGCCTTTCCTCGCCAACTCTTTGCAGAGCCTGATCCACTCCTCCCTTGGTATACACTCTCTTTTGAAACGACAATCATTAAAACATAATGTTATCGACCGCGATAAGATCCTAGTCCCCGCCAACTGGGATTCTTGGGGAAAAATCCGAATTATTCGCGAAGGATTCGATATGGAAGGAGTATCAACTGCCTGGTCAATTGAAATCCAAGATGCACCTGAACCGCTCGAGCCATCCCAAGATGCTGGCCAACAGAGTGAGAACGCTGAGGACGGCACCAGTGCCGTATTGGTCTTTGAGCAAACTATTCAGGATCCCAGGCGCGACAACAGTATTGCTCATCCTGCTACTGCCAACGGAAACAAGATCGAAGTCGAGACCTCAGACATGCAGGGTTTCCTCGCCAAGCAAGTTGAGCTTCTAGAGCAACTTCGCGCCGATGACGACAAGGAACGATCTAGCCAGCCTACCCCACAGCTGGAAATGTCCCCCATGGAGGATGAGGGCAGAGTCAATGAGCACATCGGTCCTGTGCAATTCAATATGGGTGGCATCCAAGTTGATGCGGAGGACATGTTGAAGAAGCTAAAGGTAAGCCCAACCCTTTACATCGAACTCGAGTCAGTCCATTCTGTTACTAACCTCCCTCCCTCTAGGACCGAGAAGCCAGCCGTGCGCAAAAGAAAGAAGGCACGCCTACGAACCCAGGCGACGAGAAAGCTCACAACCAAGCATTGGCAAACTTCTTCGCCGGCCTCGTCAAGAAGCCCGGCGCCAGTCCTCGCGGAAGCCCGTCCGGTTGAGCTGCATTCCACCTTTCCCTCCTTGGGCTGTATTTTAGTGCCGTGGGCGTACATATGACAGAAGTCAGAGACTTGAGCATCGGCGACCCACCCTCTGATCTGCCGATGGCTTGTGCATAATTTTCCATTTTCCCTACTGTGACTTTCTTATGGCTTTTCGCGGGGTGTTAGATAATGATACCAATATGAATTGTCTTTGTGTTGTTGTGTATTGTATAGTTGTCTCTCTTCTACGGGCATGAGGTCCCAAAAGTGCTGGTCAGTCAGACTACACCAAAGTGCTATCAGAACTCGACGCACCGCAGCGAATGGGAGCAGGCAAACGACTCACTGACGAAGCCGGGCTCATAGCTAGCTCCTTTTAAGGCACCGAGCCCCCTTTTATAGGTAAGGCTGCTGCCACCCCATGTATCTCCCCTAGAGCCTTAGATCTCTACCTAATGGGCTCAGTCTTGCCAAGCCTTGCATAAGTACAAGTTGGATCAATCGGAAGGCCTTTTGAGGTATCCCCGGGCGGCCCACAAGATATCTCTCGATCTAAGTAGGTAGCTATCTTTCAAAGTGTGGCTACTAACATGATTTTGAAGTTTAGTCGAAATTCTCAAGTTACCATAAGACTCCACTATATAGTATTGTGTTTAGATGTTGGTGGCTATCAGCCCGGTAGAATACTATGTACAATTATGCCCTGTAAAATCTAATACCCCCAGGGGTACGAGCGGGAAACAGAGAATTTTAGTAGCCTCGCTCCTCCTTATCGCTATCAAGCTATTTTCCCGCGTCTCCCTCGTCTGGGGGTTGGCTACTCCGTTTCTGGGAGTCGGGCAATTGCCGCCACTCCATTGCGAAGCTTGTTATCCAGGCAAGGACTGGAGCAGCAAGCGCCACCCAGAACACTTTCCTCAAAGCAGAATTGTATGCATCCACGACGGCATTCATCAGCTTGAGAGGAACCACCGCCCTGAAGCCACTTGCGCCGGCCGCCACCACGGCTTCACTATCTACCCCCTGCACCTTGCTGAGATTTTGCAGAAGCCCATCAGTGAAGAGGTTCTGCCCAACGCTAGGGGCCAGCGCACCCCCCAGCATCTGGAAGAACATGACCATGACAAGGCCCGTTGGTATATCTGGCTTGTTGAGGACAACCTGCACAGCCAGGATCGGCATTTGGCTACAGATACCATAGCCAAGTCCAGACAGGACTTGAAACCCTATCCAATGTCCACGCGGACTGTCGACACGGACTAGTTGATATAGACCCCCTCCGGTAGCTAGCACCAGAGGACCTACCCACATAAATGGTACATAGTGCCCAAATCTCGATGCTATAGAGCCCGCGCAGAGAGTGCCGAGGCTGTTCGACACGATCAATGGGAGTAGATTGATCCCCGAGTCTCTGGCACTGGTGTCTTTGACCGACTGGAAGTATATGGGCCAAAAATAAGATTGCAGTACTATGGCCACCTGAACAAGCATCATGAAGCCGCATGATGCTGATACGGTACGAGATCGAAAAATGTGAAGAGGGATATTCGAGCTTGAATGATGTTAGCAAGCATACCGTGTGAGCAGGCTCTAGATAAGTAGGGACTGAAATAGCATGATAGAGAACCAACTTTTCTTTGTTTCGAAATTGCAAGCACACGAAGGTAATCAAGAGGAGACCGAATCCCATCATGCAGCCAAATACCTTGGCATTGGACCATTGGTAGACGATGCCACCCCACTGTAATGCCAAGTTCAAACACGATATTGCCCCGAGCAGCAGTGTAGCTCCTAGAAGGTCAAGTTGACGTAGCTTCTGGGCCCAGGGTAGGTCTCCCTTGACTGCAGGCGGGGGATTTTTTAAGGTGAACCAGACCAGAACAAGCCCAACAGCTCCGAAAGCTGAAACGTTTAGCTAGTGACATAGGGGTATGATTGAGGCCTCTTCTTTGACAGGTACTTACGAAGATTAATCCAGAAAATAAACCGCCACTTCAGGGCCTTGTTATCCGTTATCGAACCACCCACGAGTGGTCCAATAGCAGATCCAATGTTGTACATGCCCAGGACGATGGGCGACAGCATCGCCTGCTTTTTCAAAGACACGCAATACGAAAGAATGGTGGTCGTCCCACTCACCAAACCCGCAGCGCCGAGGCCAGAAACCGCTCGCCCTGTGATAAGTGCTATAGAATTCGGGGCGATTGCCGCGATGATGGAGCCTATTTCAAAGATGACCAGCGAGATACAGTACACCCACTTGATATTATAGAATGAGTAGAGGCGACCGCAGGTCGGTAAAAGGGCCATCTGCGCGATCAAGTAGGAAGTCCCATACCAGCCAATATCGTTAAGACTGTGGAAGTCGCTAGTGATACGAGGTATCGCCGTCGCTTGGCATGACAGTTAGAATCGATGCCCCTTCTGCCAGATCATGGGAAGCACAGACATAGAATTGTATTATCAATAGCCAGCACAAGGCAGATAGACATGAATGCCACGGACAAAGATGCGAGAGCCCATCCTTCCATATAGCCTGTTGTAGGCTGCTCTTCACTTCCCTCGGTATTAGTTACGCCCGTGGTTTTCCCAGAAGAATTTGTAGTCTCCTGTGCAATTTCCATCATGCCGTTTTAGAGATCGGTGGAGAGCAAGTATTGTAGGATATGAATGTGATGAACCGATGAATCCGAAATCTGGTAATTTGTATAAAAAGCCTGATTTCCGAGGGCCCTAGACAGCCAGCTAGGAGCGAGACCATTCCCCTCGCGATGGATTAATTTCCTGTGAAATGTGTCCGCTCAGGAGCCGGTGTTTCAGCAGGCTCACCTCTACATATACCAATAATAGAGTGATATACCGCCCCTTAGGACCCTTGCACGAGGCTCGCTGAAATTGGACTACAGACCCCAGTCCAGCGGGTCACGCGGTCCCCGAAAAGTCCGGGTTTAGGTACTCTTGCATGTAAACTGTAGAGCGCGACTATATATGGGCATTTAGCCTATTTTTCTCTTTATCCGGCATCCCTGTCGGGGGTTAGCTTCGGCATTCTAAGCTAACCAAAAGACCAATAGACAGAGGGAGGCTGCGCTTGTCTTTATTAGGGAGCTCAAAACTTGCCAACAGCACTTGGCTCTTAGCACTTGGCCCTCGCCATGGAAGCTGTCGTACTTTATACGGAGTGTTCTGTATAATGTGATCCAAACCCCGCAGAAGTGACACCCCGAAAAAAGTCCCAATATGTACGTATCAGTGTGCCTTGGCAATCCGTTGGCAGTCAGGGAGCTGGAAAAGAGTCAAAGAGTATGCAGGTGGCGACAGCAGCTAAGGGATGTATTATATCCTTAATTTTCTGGTTACAATACATTTTATTCTTCCCCGTCTAGTGTATTTTATACGGTTATAATTCGCACCGTGCCGGGCTGCATAACCAGGGCGGACTCAATCTGATCTAGCGAGAGCCTTGCTCAGCGGACATAATAGAAACTTTGAAGATATACGGCTGCAACTGACCAAATTAAGGTCCCTTCGGACAGCATAGCTTCAGGCGGGACTTTCTTTTAGATTTTGTTCCGTTGTGTGACATGCAGCACCTTGATGGAGTCATTAAGACTAACATGCTGGAATTCCCTTAGGTATGGCATCTACGAGACAAGACGTTATTGTTCCCAGCCTATATCACAGCATTGAATCTCCTGGGTCGTGTCACGCCGCCGAGAATGTCGGAAGATTCAGTTTGGGCAAATATCCAACAATGTGAGGCAACAAATGACGTATCTATGCAAGCAGAAGACTCTTTGAATGGTTACAAGAGGACAAGGGCGGAAATTGTAGAGAAGCGCGCATATATCCGAAGACCGGCCAATGGAGGGAGGCCGCTGTCAACAGTCTGTTCTTCGGAAAATGTTCAAATCTCTATATTCACATGCGGCATTTCGAACGATGGGCATCAACTTTATAGCCGTGGCTCTTAGATAGCCGTATCGCGCTTAACTTGCAGGTGTCATGTCAACAGAAGCTATCATAGATTCTTTGTGTAAATTATGAATGAAGAGTATTGGTTCAAGATGTCATTCTTTGATGAATTGAATATCGTCGTGAACAAGTAGATAATTATAAAATAATACACTTCTTTTGCGCTTGAACTCGGCATTAAGCCATCACCAGTTCTCCCACACGGCAGCGGGGATAACCTTCCTCATAATCTCCCAGTGCTCCAAGGCTCCCCGGTCCAGGAATTTCTTCATGCGACCGACTTGCTTCTCAATCAGAATGGGTCTTCCCTTGTGGGGAACCGCCGCAAAGACGGCCGGGTCAACTTCGTGCTTAGGGACGAGGTAGTTCTCGCGCGACTTGCTGCGCAGGAAATCGGAGGGAACGGGATCCCGGAACTGAACCGGGCTGTCAGTGGTCTTCTTGCAGAAGAAAACCATGTTGGTGAAGTCCTGGGTTTCATCACTCTTGTCGGCCAGCTGTTCACGGAAGATGCGACATGCGGGGAAGACGGCCTGGATGGTACGGGCAATGAGGCCAGTGGGGTAAAGCTTGAGATCTCCAGCATAATTCTGTATGCGGTTAGAAAATCTAAGTGTTGCAAAAGGGTATCGGGAATTGGGCTTACAATGGCAATGACACCATCATCTTTGAGCAGGGAGCTCAAGTCCGTCAAAAATTCATAAGTAAAAAGCTCCGCGGGCTCAGCGCCACCAGTGAAGACGTCGTGAATGACATAGTCGTACTGGGGAGATGAGGACTTTCGCGCACGCTTGACAAACTGGGTCGCATCCTCGATAGCAGCAACGTGGTTTGATGGGAGATTGAAGTACTTGGTGGCATACTTGTGTACCACAGGGTCAATCTCAACAACGGTAGTTTCGATGCCATGCTTCATAAAAGCCGCTGGGGTGGTACCAATTCCAAGGCCACTGTCACCCGTTAGTCACTCATGTCAAAAAGCATTACTTTCGGTAAGAGGGCATCAAGTCTTACATAACAAGTGCTTTGCTACCAGCATCAACACGAGGACCACCGTGGTCAGGTTCAACCAGTCGGACAGCCTCAAGCATAGCAAAGACCGCGTAAATGGGATCCTCGACCTCTGGATTATAGCCAGGTGAAGCCTTGGTCCACTGCCCACCAAGGAGACTGTGATCACACCGCATCACTCGGAAGCCATCCTGATGATTCTCGAGAACCGAGATATATCCAGTGTTGGACTCCTGGCGTGCCAGGAGGGAGTATCCCTCCTTCTGGAGAACCGAGTTCACGCCATTGATGCCTCCCAGGTGGACATCAGAGGTGACCGAGAAGAGCAAAGAGGGGATTGCCAGGACTAGCAGCTTGGATGGGATCACAGCAGCGTACAGCACACCAATGAGGAATTGCAAGCCAGCACGAGAGAAAACAATTGTGAAGCCAATTGCACGGGCCAGGAATGCTCGGGCAACATGCTCGCCAAAGGAGTAGACGATGTATGAGCCGAGTAGGGGCACATGTTCAACAACGAGGTCACCCTGCGACTCAAGATGCAAGGCGTACTGGATCTGCTTACCAGCGACAGCCACGGTCAACATGACCAAAGGATAGTAGCCAAACAGCTGTGTGATGACTGGGCCAGCCGGGTTTCCGAGCTTAGAACTCTGCTGCATGACAAAGTACTGGATGGTAGGCGTCCAGAAAGCCAAAATAGGAAGACTGATGGCGGCGAGGCGACCAAGGCGTCTTTTGATCTGATCCTTCAAGAACCAGCCAGCGCCGGCGGAAATGGTGAGGCCAAAGTTATGGAAAAGATGGGATGGCAGGGAACCGTAGACAGGGGAGAGCACCAGCACCATCACAGGAGAGTAGAGTGCAAGGATAAGAAGCAAGGAAATTCCAGAGACGAGCCGTCTGGCGTCGACCCGCCTAATGTGTTCACCAACGGCCATGGTGCCTAAGTGATCCGAACGTCTTGAGGGTAAGGTCCGTACGGATTAGTTATCAGCCAAAGAGGCACGTTCGTCTGAAAGGGGTATTAGCGAAGATCCGCTCTCAATCTTCGGTACGAAGAGTCTTGAGATTGCCAAAAGACAGTCTTCATCTAGATTCGAAGCGAATGATGGACGTACAAGCTCAGTTCGACAGCATATCAAGTTGAGGGAGGAAAAAAAAGGAATCGCGGAGTGGCAGAAATCAATGCTTTTGCCGCCAACTTCCGCGTTCCTAACTTCACCTCATCCCCACATCTTTGAAACGACCCCAAGATGCCACATTTCCCCATGAGTACGGGGGTCCAATCGAGCCAAGATGCATCCAGCGATGCCCAGCATGCCTCAATCAAAGTCAAGAACCGTCGGAAGCGGTACTTGGATCTGCATCCCGAGTACTTTACGGCGGATCTCGAGCTAGCCGGTCCGCTTGCTCTTTCCTTGCTACAAGCCTCCAAACTTGGTCTCTAGGGTTGCAGATTCCAGGTTGCAGGGCCGACAGCAGAGAACTGATTTCAAAGCTAACCGATGTGGAAATGATTATTCTAGATCCATTATTGTACGACCGCCTCATCCGCCGATTCCAAACCCCGCAAGAAAGAGAAGCACAAGGGCGCGCCAAGGGGTTCTCGGGGGTTCTGCAGACAGATTTGATGCGTTCTGAAGCGAAAATGGACGCCCTCGCACATCCGGATCCCAATGCTATGCTAAGCTATACCCGTGGTCCCAACGGGGAGATCCTAGCCGAGGATCGCGATGATATCCCGGCCAGCAAAGAGGAGGGCGAGAAGGCTTGGCAGTGGGAGATGGGCTTGCGATTCATGCGAGGCGACGACCCGGACTTTGATTACAAGACTGTCGATGAAAACGATGCATACGATGACTTGACGGAACAACAAGATGAATATTTTGAGGATGAGGAACCTGAATGGGTGGTTGGCGACGATCGAGGCGAAGATGCCCAGGCCAAGCTGCAAGGCGAGACCGGCATTCAGGATTTCTGAAGCGATATTACTGGCAGTAATGCTTTCATATAATTGAAATCGGCAGGCGCTCTTGCGCTTACTCGGTATGCTGCGAAGCCCAGCCCGTCTCGTCCCTGCGACCGGAGCCGGTTGTGAAGAGTGATGACCCTTACCGCATTTCAAGACCAGTCGAAACCCATCCCTATGTTTTGCAGGTGCGCCTTCTCAGATAACAACCGCTCCTCGTGCTTGGGTTTCTCCATTTTCCTCCTCATCGAGATTTCAGAGAGAGATCGAAACCTTGCCGGCAAGCCATCTCCCTAGAGCACGTCGTGGTGGCGAACAAGCATTCGCGACTCGGATACCATACTAGTTGGCTTTCAGGAGAGGTGGTCGCAAGTGCCTCACTTTCCCTTTGCTAACTATCAGCGTGAATTACTGTCGGCTTCGGAACTGAAGGTCAACGTGGATTCGTTCTTCATGTTGAGAAAGGCTTGAACGTCATCATGACATACAGCGAATGTTTAAAAGGCTATACTGTATATTTCTCAATGGCTGCCCCAAGGATCGTACGAGTGCTTTGTTCATATAGTATATACAATTCGAACAGCTTCGTGCTCTAGGTATCTGCAATGGCTTCTTTGCCTTTCGCCACTAGTTCGATAGCCTGCTCCTTGAGCTTGAATTTCTGGATCTTCCCGCTTGCAGTCTTGGGGAAGCTATCAGCTGGTCCCAGAAAGAAAACATACTTGGGTACTATTATGCGAGTTAGCAATCGTCTTGCCTGTTTCAACAAGTCATGACTTACCTAGGTGGCCGCTCAGCTTTTCTCGAACCCAATCCTGGATCTCTTCGGTGGTAGGAGGCTTGGCAGCTTGCTCTCGCGCGACCACGAAAGCAGTAACAACCTCGCCATATCGCTCATCTGGGACGCCGACAACAGAGACATCGGTCACATTCGGGTGTGCAAGTAGGCAATTCTCAATCTCCAATGGATGGATGTTCTCTCCACCACGGATAATCAAGTCCTTGATACGGCCAGTGATAGTCACATAACCGTCTGCTGACATGGACGCTTCATCACCGGTCTGGGAGAGCATGTTAGGCGGTTTTTGATGAAGGCTCTTCCAGTCGAACTTACATGCATCCAAACCTTTCCCGCATTGTCCGCAATCATCACTTCCGCTGTCCGTTCTGGATCATTCCAGTACTCTTTCATGAGTAGATACCCACTAATAGCTAACTCGCCCGGCGTATCAACGGGGAGAATTCGGGATTTGTCGACTGGATCTACAACCTTGGCCTCTACATGCGGCATAAGTCTTCCGACGGTATTGATCCTCTTGTCGATTGGATCATCGGTAGTCGTCATCGCCGAAACAGGGCTTGTCTCAGTCATGCCGTAGCAGATGGTCAATTCTGTGAGATTCAGAACCCTGTGCAGCTTCTTCATTAGCTCTGACGGGATGCTACTGCCAGCAGCGATACCCGTCCGCAAGTATTGAAAGCCGTCGCCTGAGATTTCTCCAGTCTCAATGAGATTTAATTCCTCCAGGAACATCGTAGGAACGCCATAGAGTGCAGTGCATTTCTCTTCTTGCACTGCCTTGAGCGCAGCGCGGGCATTGAAGGACTCGGATGGGAAGACAATCGAGGAGCCATGGGTTGCCGTTGCCATATATCCTAGAATGCAGCCAAAGCAATGGAACAACGGAGGGGGGCAACAAACGATATCATTCGCAGTCAGGAGCATGCGGTCGCCGATCTGTGATCCATTATTCAAGATAGATCGATGGCTCAGACAAGCTGCCTTCGGCATGGCAGTCGTGCCAGAAGTAAATTGGATGTTGACAATATCGTGCGGAGAGAGATCTTGTGGAGATAATGGGCGGCCATCAGCCGCCATCTGAGACATTATCGACGAGAAAGGTGTCAGGGATTTATATAAAGATGCATCAAATCGGCCCGCAGAGTTATTAACCAGAATTATCTGCTTCAGTGAGGGGACCGATTCTGATTCTAATTTTGAAGACGAGAGATCGCCGATCAGATGCTCCAGGAGCGGGAGATTGCTGCGAGGATCTTTGCGAGGGAGATTGGACTCGGCACTAATAATTAAATGGCTGGACTCGAGGTGACCCAGTGCGGATACTACTTGCGTAGCATTGAATGAGGGATTGAGGGGAACCTATCCAAGTGTCAGTCGTCGACACTGCCTTCTCAGGGTATGCGACTTACCAAAACAGCTCCGAGTTTGAACAAAGCATAGGTTGCCTATTATATGTCAATCTTTTTCCTCGGCTAGGATTGTAGTCGCACATACCACCGCATATTCCATCGAGTTTCCCAGCATGACTCCGACGCGATCCCCCTTCCTTACCCCAACGGACTGTAGGCCGCGGGCAAGGGCGTTGCTCCTAGCATCGAGAGAAGCATACGATACGCGATCATTCTGGTGTTTGGAGACGACACTAAACCGAGTCGGTTTTCATAGCTCCGACAAAAGATTGGTGAAGGACTTACGCAGTTCTATCACCATGTTCCGCCACGATCTTCGTGAAATGTTCGCCGACCGTCGATTCGAGCAAGGGCGGCTACAAGCGGATATATATTGTTAGTCTTTTATATTCTGCTGAACTCGTAAGAGACTTACACTGGACGGCCCTCGTGCATAGCTATCTGTTAGCAAGCTCCTTCGAGGAACAATCTGGAACGGCCTTCTTCCAAGGCGTGGGAAGCCAGGGGCACCACGACTGCCTCGAGCGCGAATAGCCGCAACGATCCCTCCGCAAGGGTGCATGATAGTATCTGAGTCCCAATTTGCGTTCAACGAAGCTTCATGACTCTTGACTTAGTATAGTATGATACTGAAGCAATAGGGTCACGTTTGAAATGTTGTAGTTCAGCAATCAGTAAAGTTCTAGCAACATGCAATGTCACCTCAGCTCCGAGGGCATGTGGAAGCTTCCCCGCACAAACCGCACTGCGGGGTCGGGCGGATCCGAGGTTCCTGCAGACCTGCAAGGAATACGTTGACCATGAGCAGTGAGTCTAATAAGAATGGAAGTATAATACTGACAGAGATCATTATGACTTTTTTTTTTTTGGAGTGTTCTGTAGTGCGTTAGATATGAGGGTATTCGAAGCAAGCTAACTATACACAGCAGCTACCCTCCTTCCATCCAGTATATTGGCTAATGGGCCTTTTTTGCCATTTGCGCCATGTCTGAATCATTCAGAAAGGCCTTCTGCGAGCTAGAGTCTGTTTTTTGCTGGAACGAGGTCATGAAGGTTACCTCTGCTAACTGGCGCAGTATCGAAGTCTATGTCCGGTCTCGGATGTTGACTGGCTCTTCCCTGCCTCAATCTGAACTTGCTAACATTTGCAACCTAGTCAGCTCTCAGCTAGGTAAATTTTAGTGAGGAAGATATTCGCCAGTTAGTCCTAGGTGTCGAAAGATTTTCTGAAGCGCCCTATTCACAAAGGTAGGACACAGATAAACATCGGATCGACGGTGTATAGAGCTCCGAGTCATAGGCGGAATATTCCTCTTTTAAGTGCACACTCGGTAGGACTCTATGCGACCTGTGTCTGCCAGGAGGCTTGTATATAATATGAGAATGGCGGGAGTGAATCAACGTACGTTATGTTGATATCTCTATTAGTAAAATTCTTCTATGTTAGGAGAGCCTTGTGGGTTAAAAAAAGCTTAGTAGAATTGACTGATTGTGAGTAAAATCCAATGTACTATGCAGAATATCGCTGATAGATGAAGACATACCGGGAGGAAACCAAGAGGCATATTATGTTGACTTGGGAGGAGGGTTACAACATTTTTGGCTTCCACAATGACAATGCCTCGAAATCCAATAATTTTGGCCGTAGTTGACGGTAAGCTCATCGAATATGGTAATGTCCCGTGTCACCCGAAGGATGGTTGTGGCTCTACCACCGATTACTATCGGCACAAATTCACAATTAGAGTCGCAGTGGTGATTGAGGTATCGAGTCCAATTTCCAAGGAAAGCAGATGTTGTAGTGCCCACTGGTTCTGGATCAGGGTCTTCTAGACACCACGATCCTAAGAAACCCACCTGCCACAGGCTATAGACATCGTCAGTACATTTCCCACCTTTTGGAATAAACTCACCCACATACTCCGCAAGGATATCGCCAACCTTTAGGTTAGTTAACGCTCGAACGCCGGTTCCCTTGATGGGGTACTCTTTTAGTTCGACTAAATCATCAGTCATACTCCTGAGAACACACTGACAGTTTTCATGCGAGCCACAGCTGAAGCAGGCCACCCACTCAGAATTACTACATCGACAAACCTCCGGACAATGGCATCTTGGGCAACCAGGGAAGCCACCCAGATTGTGACATGTACAACCCCTCTGGCAGACACAGGTTGCACAAGGTCCTACCGAGTGTGCACGTAAAAGAGGAATATTACGCCTATGACTCGGCGCTCTATACACCGTCGATCCGATGTTGATCTGTGCCCTACCTTTGTGAATAGGGCGCTTCAGAAAATCTCTCGACACCTGGACCGTATGGTGAGCATGCTCTGTGCCAATGTTTACCTTGGAGTTAATTGCCTGGCAAATGCCCGGAAGATTCAGATCGAGGTAGGGAAGGAGGGATGCCTGCCAGTCGATGTTGCGGGTTCGGACAAAAACTTCGATACTGCGCCGGTTAGCAGAGATCACCTTCATGACCTCGTTCCAACAAAAAACAGACTCTAGCTCGCAGAAGGCCTTTCTGAATGATTCAGACATGGCGCAAATGGTAAAGAAGGCCCACCCGTGCTCGAAGAGGAAGAACAAACACCGATCGATGTCTGCAGATGATCCAGTCATCAATTGGAAGATGTAAACATATTTGTAAGATACTGCAAGGTCCAAGAAGGTCCCGACGGCCTCCGAGTGATTTCTATAAGCCTGTCTTTCTCCTTGGGATGGCGTTCCTGTGATCACTTGTTGCAGTTTCCATAGGCTATCGAGCTCCCAGTACATAGCAGTGATGATCTGGCGACCTATATCCAATGCTTCCTGTGCAAAGGCTGGTTTCTCACCATTTTTGGCAATAGATCGTGCACCAGCTGGGACAATGGATGATTCTTGTGTGGACATGATGATAGTAGTGAAGAGGATAGTAGTGAAGAGGATAGTAGTGAAGAGGATAGTAGTGAAGAGGATAGTAGTGAAGAGGATAGTAGTGAAGAGGATAGTAGTGAAGAGGATAGTAGTGAAGAGGATGGTAGTGGAGAAGTGTCTGATGTCGCAACTGAGGAGCAAGAGCTTTTATGGGACAGTGGGCTACTTTATACCTATCTTCTGAGAAACATTATAGTAAGGCCCACTTTGAGTCTTCCTGCTGAAGACAGACGTATTCTTTGTACTGAAAGAAGCATGGCAACATTAACAGATAAGACAATCCAAGACAAAACAAGCAACAAAGAAGAAGAGACAAAGTTGATTCAAACAAGAACAAAGTCTTCAAAGGCATCCTCTAAGTCGTTGCTACATTATGTTGCTTTTACCTCAGTATTCGCCCTAATCGCCTTGTTTTGATGGGCATTATTGTTAGGTCGTTTTGGTCTCGCTTGACAAGGATTGAGAGAACAAGGCTCTATGTCAAATGTTGAGCTCGTTCGTTCTGAACAAAGCAAAGAGATACAATCATATCAACCATCTTTGACTAGGGGATACTAATAGCATACGCTATCCAGATCACAATGGACCTGAAAGCTGTTGTAAAGTAGAACCCCCATCTAGATGACTGAGGGGAAGACTGGAGGCGGGAAGGGGAAAAGCGGAACGGCGCTTGGCGTCATGTGGTGGGGAACAGCTCCCGATGCGACAGGCAACTCGTCCGCTACTGGCCGTCCACAAGCTTCTTGCGATGCTCGTTTAGTGACACAGTTCAACTCCGTTTCTCTGGCCAGGGAAACACATCCAGTAATAATGGCCACCGAATCGCCCGAGGATGCGATCGCGAACTTCGTCAGCTTCACCAGCACGACGCGCGAGCAAGCTATCAGCTTCCTCAAGGTTCGCTCTATTCTCACTTTGTCCTCACTTCTTGCTTTCCGGCTCGAGCTCATTTTACCATACTATTGAATAGGCAAATAACCTCGATTCGCAAAAGGCTATCAACGCCTACTTCGAAGATCCAACGGGGTCCCAACTAAAGGTGAATCGAACAGCATCGCCCGAGTTGGAGTATTGGGGACAAGAAGCTAACTGGATATTCATTCGCTAGACAAGTGGTCTGTACAGTGAGAGCAATACTTCGTGTACGGAAACTGCCCCCCATTCCGTTTTCATCAGTCACTGATGCAGTCTTTTCCAGCGTTCACATATGGCCAGCAAGACAACCTGCCCCGAATACCTGCCACGGCTCCTCCCTCTCGCCCCCCATCCCGAGTGAATATTCATGAACAACCCGAAACTGCCGGATTCGAGACTACTTCAGTCACAGCTGCCCAGGGCTCTGCAGGTGAGAAATGCACCCATCTCGATAGACGTGGTCAGAAGATGCTGATCTTTGGCGGCACAAAGGCAACGCGCCTCCTGCACAGGGACTCACTCTGGCCGAGCGTGAGGAGCAAGAGCTTCAACAGGCAGTCGCAATGTCTTTGAATCAAGGAACCGGACAGCAGGAGTCTGGTGTCACCAAGACCATGACCACGATCAACGATCAACAACAAGCCCACTTTGGGAAAGCTATGCGCGAACATTACGAGGAAGCGGATTGGGGGATGACTCTTTTCAATGAAACTTCTCAGGAAGTCGTCCTTAGCCCCGACCCAGAAGATCGCAAAAGAGTTGAGGGCGAGCCGGCATTCATTCGCCCCACGAATGACAACCTCTACCTGGGAGGATTCCTCACAATTCTCCACGAGATTCCTTTGGCGCGCGAAGCCCTCTTGCTACGGAATAAGCTGCTATCTGACTACGGACAGGAACCGCAATGGTGGAGTGGACAGCCCGTCAATCTTCCGAAGATCGTGACTGTCCATGCGCAACAGGGTGGAGACAATGACTGGGACGACGTCATACACGAATCACAGCGGCTTATGGCATTTTTGGACTCCACAAAGCGCTCATTTGGCAGCAGCGATGCCCTCGCCAACCTCAGAGACATAACCTCATTCTCTTCCGACTCGGAAGAAGTCGTCACGCGGTTCCTGGAGACCTGGCATGCTGCAGCAATCCGGGCTGCTCCCGATAGCCCTCTGACAACAGCATTCATGTCGCACGCCTACAAGCGATCTCCCTTTGATGAAGGGGATGAGACTATCTCGAAAGAACTCTTTGTATTTGAGCCAGTCGTCGAGCAAGAACATGGCCAGACCCTCTATGATCTACTGGACACTGCGATCTGGAGTGATAGGCCCGGAGAGGAACTTGATGATGTCTGGCTGGAACACGTGGGTGAGGTGATTACGATGAAGCTCGACTCGTACAATAACGGAAAGTCTGTGAACGTCAAGGCGCCCGCCATCTTCTACCCCGACCGATACATGAGCAGCTGTCGAGAGCTTGCGCGTGAGCTTCGCACTAAACGACTGCGCGTCCAAGAAGAGATCCTGGAATTGGAGGCACTCATGGCCCGTTATACCACACCTCTAAACGTGCAAGGCAACCTGACGATCAAGCACCTTCTTGAGAAAGCCGCAGCCGCGGTGAACGTGGCCTTGCCGAAAAATCCCGCGAAAGAAACACAGTCAATGGAAACCGAAATAACCATCGAAATAACGACCGACAAAGCCGATCAAATTTCGACAGAGCTCTTGGCGATATCTGATAGGATCGACTCTAAGGTTAAAGGTATTGTGCGCATCACCCGAGCGGTCAAGGGTACATCTGCTAATCATTGAGGGATAGACCTGGATGCGAGGAAACAAAGCGCTATGGAAACGTTGCGCGGCTACTCTAAACAGCTCACGGAGGCACCGGACGCTCCCGGTGAGCCTCCTCTCCGCAAATACACCTTGCGGGGTGTGTGCACGGAGCCTCATGTTACCTATGTTCTAAAGCGGGCTGACGCAAATGGGTCTGGCGATTTGATGGATCTTGATGGTGACCAGGCCACTGGAGATCAATGGTGGAGAATCAGCTATTCCACCGAAGATGGCAAGACCCGCCAGGCTGCCAAAAGAGAAGCACAAGGCAACAATGTGGCCAGCCAAGACGGCGATATCATCGGTTACACGGCCCGCAAAGTGCGCGAGATTGAAGTTCTCCGAGCCGCTCGCGAAGAGTGGAGATCAGTTTTGCTTGTCTATGCAAGTGACGCTGCCGTCAATGCCCCAGTTGAACCTGCGCCTACTCAACTTCAGGTATGACATTGGTTTCTTCCCATTAACTACAAATTCCAGGTGATCGGAGGGCTTACCACAAACTAGAGCTTCGTGAGTAAGGATAATGAGGCTTTCGCGGCCGAGTGTGAACAGGGCGCCGCCAACCCATCAGAAGAAAATGGTCAGCATCCAGCCCAGCTAAACGATGCCGACTATCAACAACAGCAGGCTCCACCGCGACCCGCCCAGCAGGTAAACGTCTTTGACTATCAGGTTTCGAATTTTGGTAATGACAGTGATTGCGAACAGGAAATGCAGGAGAGGAAAGGGTCAGTTCTCCTAGGTACGAGTCGGGGGACTAACGATGCGGGCATCTCTCACGCCCTGGATGATGATACGGAGTGGCACGTGGACGGTGACACTGAAATGGCTGAGCACGTTGAGCCTGCCTCCAATGGCTCCTGAACTAGGAGGGCTCGTATGAGCGATGATTGAATGAATGACATGCGGAGATCACGGGACTTGAATTGTACATATAAGATAGCCAATGCCCATACCGAGGAGCAGAGTAATATACTAGCTCGGTTTCAAGGAAGCATGAATAGTCTAACACAGTAGTGAGATAATCTTGATAATCTTGATAATCTTGTTACTCTTGTAAAGCTTTTATGTTGCTTCTAGGAACATCCCCACGTTTGCCATGTTTGCACCTCCCGAGAGCTCTTGATCAACACAACAGCCTACGATTACAAGCAAGCCACGCCTGCAAACTCGCTTTGTCTACGAATATCTCACGTCGCATACCATGTCCCTCGAAAACGAAGCAGTCGCCAGTGCGACCATCGAGCTCCTCGAGGCTCGTCTAAACCGTCTCTCTTACCTCCTGACTGGCGGCACCGACTGGACGGGCGTCCCATCAACACCAGAGAAACCCGCCTCGCTCGACGAAACAGTATCACGTCGACTTGCTCGTTTAGAGCGGGAATTGGAGAAATTAAGCCGAAATGTACCCGCTGTACGCGATGTGATTCAATTGCGTATGTATCGCCGCCTACCTTGAACCCGTTTATGCCGCCTCTTCCTCCATCTACGCCCGAAACTCCCCCTCAAAGCAACACCTCTAACTACACCCATAAGTCCCATACTAACCACCCTTCAACCTCTCCCAGATGACCGCTTCCCAGACCTCTTCAACCCCCCAACCCCACACTCCATCCCCGAAGACCTCACCCCACGAACCCTTTCTTCAATCGTCCTCTCCTACGCAACCGCCTTTCCCGAAACCGCCTCACGCCTCACATCCCTCAACGACCTACCCATCCCAGACGCAACTTCCTCCGCTTCTCTAATTGCGCTGCAACCGCAGATGGACCGGCTCGCGCAGAAACAGGCCGAGCAGGCGGCTGTCGTGTCGGAACTGCGGGTGCGCACGGCGCGCGTGTTGCAGCGGTGGTATGAGGTTGGAGTCGTGGGGAGTGGGGAGTGTTGGGCTGAGTGGGAGGGGAGGGTGGAGGGGGTTGAAAGGGAGATCAGGAGGAGGGAGGTTATTAAGGAGAAGAGGGAGAATGAGATTTGAGCGTTGAGATTTGATATTTGGGTGTGCAGTGCTGAGCATTTGTGTTTACTTTGAGCCTGATTCGATGTATGAGGATTGTATAGTTGATGGCTGGCATGCTTGTTTTATGATATCCGCGGGGCTAGGGGTTTTAGGCGCTTGGGACTTGTATTAATCCGTCATATTGTGACAAAATAATAGATGATTATGGACACCGGAATTCGAGTCGTCATCACCGATTCGCTCTCTTACGTGCAAGATCAAGGCTGTTCGACAGCAAATAGACCATGGTCCCTCGTCGCGCAGCATTCCTCATTCTTCATACTATGATGCCAACTGGAATGTGTCCATTCGATGCGAGCACCTTCCCCGGATTCCACGTTGTGAATCCTGGCCATGGGGGCCGACAGGGATGTGGGATTTCTAGGCATGGGGACAGGGAGAACCCTGCAAAAGAGAAAAAAAAATAGAGGCACGTCCAAGCCAAGGCAGATAGAAAAGACCGAAATCTGGACACTGTATCCTATATAGTCAGTTGTTCTTCCATATAATTGGCGTATGCAATCGTGGCAGAGATGCAGAAGGGATACTGTAATTTTTGAAGCATTACGTTGCAACGGGTGTGTCAATCCCTACAGCAGACTGCAGGATCGTTTCGGACTGGGTGTGTTCCAGTTTCGCTTGTGGTGAGATGATAAGCCACAGCGAGATACAAAAGCCGAGAGTAAGGGGAGTGTGCCAGAACTATCTGCGTCGAACATGCAAGTTTATGTCAGGATGATACGCGATCGGATCGAGTTCAGAAGTGGGGCGTGGAGATAGGTCGAACGGCTTTTTGTATTCATTTTGATGTTCGTTTCATTTTCAGCAGGCGATAAGTTTCGATAACTCATTGATTGACCCCTTGAGAACATGATTTAATTCTGATCGTACGCAGATTTGTTATAACCCTACAGATGTTAGGATGGGTAGGATCTGTGGTTCAGCCAAGGCCCCTGGACGCCATCCATTCCCGTGGATCCCTCTGCAGGCGACATGTACTGGTATGTTGTGTTAGTAGACAAGATTTATCTATCGCATTCTGGATAGATATAGATACACCCACGGTAGAATTATAGCATGTACTTCCACATCATCAGGTCGTTCATCATGCTGGCAATCGAACAGCCCGCGTCAGCAGCAACGAAAAAAAGCGGAGCCTCGGGCATCGGTTACTGCAAGATTTTAGCACCGGTATTTATAGATCAGTCAGGGGCAAAAGACGGTTTTTTGTCGAGCTCGTGTATGTATGCTGGAATACGGACATATGCATGACTAGATATTTGGTGGAAAACGTGGTGATCGATGCGATGAAAGTTTGAATATTTCATACATTCAGGTCGATTTCGATGACATACATTGATTTATCGTTAGTGCGATGAGACTAATATCTGATGTGTACTCCGGAGTGGAACTGGGGGTGGTTTAATCAAACCAAGCATGTTTTAGAACGGTAATATTTCAAGCCTATGTATTATACTCCTACTGTGACTGTCTGCACTGGGGTACTGGTAGGTACTGTATGTATTATGCTCGAGATCGTACACAGTTGTACTCCGGACAGGGGCGGATATGACTATCGAGTCCATAACACACGACCTAGGAAGATGCATGTACTCCACTCCGTACATAGCCCTAGTCAGTCCTGATCTGATTTTTCTTCCCGGAATGAAGTCACCCACACATCTCCAGCTTCTAATCACAATTGTTATCAGACCGAGTGGAGCGGGTCAATTTCCCAGATTCCACCGAGTCCACCGATTCCACCGATTCCACCGTGGTCTCGACGCCAGGGGGCAGGGCCTGTGTGTTTTGGGGCCAAACTCCACTTTTTTCTCTTCGTTCCTGTCGAACGGGACTTGCAGGACTGACGAAGTTTCGGCCCTGTCGTGGTCAAAAGGCCCAAGGCCCAAAAAGAGTCGTTGAACGTGCCTGGCCTAGCCCTCCTTTTCCCGCCTTCCCTTCCTTTCCCCCTTCTCGCTCTCTGCTTATTCCCTCCTCCAACCACTCAGTCACTCGTTCGATCCTACCCTTCTACCTTCCTTTCTCCAGCCTGGTGCTGTCTGTCTTCCAATCTCTCTATCTCTCTCTCTATTACGCTCTCTCTTCAAAGGGAGCCTTTTTTTCCGTGTTCGACACTCTCACCCAAGATTTCCCCCCCGCGGTCTCCAGTGCAAACCCACGTCTTTGTCTCAAGGTACGAAACCATCGCCCGGTTCTTAGCGCCCACAAGGCCCTTCTCGAATTCATCTATCCTCCACCCCCGTCGCGTCTATTCCGATCCCCCCTCCCTCTCCTTTTTGAAGTTGTCGCCTATCGCCTGTCGCCTTATTGTCGGATTGGACCCCACGCGACCGGCGCGATTGTTCTTGACTGCCTTGGACTGGGGACTAGACTCTGACAGCGCGCCTTTTAGTCTTCTCGACCAAATCACGTCGCACTTTCCCTGCTTCACGGTCAACTTCCTTGAGGACATTCCTCTCAGTGTTCGACGTCACACAAGCTTTCTATATACCGCTATACGTCGATTGCCTCCTTCCACATCGTCGTTGTTCTTAACGTGAAATAACACTGTCCGGCACCATCGAGTCTCTTATTGATTCCGTATCCATTCATTGCCTACCGATTCTTGCGACAGACTCTACTCGTCTTCAACCAATTTTCGATCCCGAAATCCATCACCTCTACTTTTCACAATGGCCAACTTCCGCCCAAGCAACATTCTTGGCGACCCATTCGCGCTCGCGACCCTGTCCATCTCCATCCTCGCATGGCTGATCGCTTTCATCTCTTCCATCATTGCGGATCTCCAGACTGACTACCCCAATTACTCCTGGTGGGCGAACTGTTACATGTTTTGCCTGATCGTGGGCATTACCGTGGCTTTTGGTACCGATACTTGCAATGTCTACGGTGTTGCGGTATGTTCTGGACCCCGAGCAGACAAGGATGTGGATTGTGATACTGATTGATTGTGTAGATTGTGGGATACCTTGCCTGTGGCCTCGTCTTGACTTCGCTCAGCGCCAACAACACGGTCTACGGTAACCAGGGTGCCCTGCAGGCTGCGGGTGCTGGTTTCATTCTGCTTTCGATGGTGATTGTGAGTATACATGGTTGTCAAATTATCAACACTGTCCCTTGCTAATTTGTCGACCAGATCATCTGGATCTTCTACTTTGGTTCCGCTCCCCAAGCGTCACACCGCGGATTCATCGACTCCTTTGCCCTCAACAAGGAGCAGCCCGGTTCCTACCGCGGTAGCCGCCCCATGTCCAGCGCCTTCGGTGCTCGCCCCGAGACCATGGCCACTAGCAACACCCCCCAGATGTACACCTCCGCCCAATTGAGCGGTTTCGAGACCTCCTCCCCCGTATCCGGCTACCCCGGCGGTGCTCCTGGCGCCGAGCGCAACTCTTCCCAGCCTCCTCGCTTCGGAGGTTCCAGCCCAGCACCCGGTGCTGCTAACGCCAGCGGTGCTGGCGCTCAGGAGGGTTCCGAGGTGCCCCAACCGACCGAGTACCCTTACCGCGCGAAGGCCATCTACTCGTACGACGCAAACCCCGAAGATGCCAACGAAATCAGCTTCAGCAAGCACGAGATCCTGGAGGTATCCGATGTCAGTGGCCGATGGTGGCAGGCTCGGAAATCAAGCGGAGAGACCGGTATCGCACCTTCGAACTATCTGATCCTGTTGTGATCGTTCTATGGTGTGATGTCCCGTTTCGTTTCCTTTTTGAATTTTCAGCCTTCTTACCCTTTGTTTTCCATCGTGTCGCAAAATCTGTACCCCCATTTTGATACCCTTCGGATCTTCCCTCGACGTGTGTGTATTTTTTGGTTCCCTCCTAACGTGATGTCTTGATGGCCTCCCTTTTTATCCCCTTCCTCTGTACGCAAGTCTGACCCCACCATTTTCCCTCTCTGTTTGACTTTTTTTTGGCACGCATATTCTACCGTCTGGCTTGGTTTCTCGTGTCGGGTGATTTCCACGCAACTACTTCTCTATGTCTTTCCGTGCGCTAGGGCTCCGGTGCTTGTGTTTCTTTTTTTCCTTTTTAACATCCAAGTCATGTCTGGAGAAATGAGCCTGCGATCGGGCCTTGGCTCTCTGATGCCAATAATATCTTTGGCATGATAAAGTCGCGGGATTGTTGGATATGCATAGTTTCCTCACGAACCACATAGGTCGAGGTCAACCCGCATGATGATATAACAAGACATGTCAATGCTGGCCCAAATGCAATCTGATACTTCCATTCATGATTCTTCCAACGTCTCGTAAAAGCTACGATGCTGTTGTTCCATAGTCGATCTACCGTAGATGCGGGATTGTGCCTAGACGAATTGGCCTGACACCTTGAGGATACAAGCTAAACATTCATTGCAATATCAATCTCAATCAACCAGTATCTACCTGCCTCTCGAACTTCTAGTATCTCGTGCATGCCGTTGAGCCTTCTAGTAGTGTAAACCTCCGCCTCGACCTTCCTCCACTTTCGAACGGGCCTCGCCTCGCCACGTGGCCGGCAGCATCTTGCAGCATCCGCAAACAAGCACTTCCGTAGTACCCTCATTATCATCTCCAGCACTAGAAACCAATCCGATAATCAGATAATAAGGTGGCTGAATTCATCCGACGGATCTCGTATGTAAAATGAGCTTTTTAAAATGAGGGTCTTCGACTTTGATAATCTGTAATCTCTTTCCCCCTCTAATTTACACACTTAGTGGGAAGCCCAGAACCCCACCCGCACCTCAAGCCTAGACCCACCAACTGCAATGGAGATTGATTGGTGCAAAATGGGCCGAGTAAAAATGTGAAGATACAACGGAAAATCCCCGAAATGGTGGTCTTCCAGGGTAGTTGACGGTTCTACGGGAGGTGGGCAGTTACTTGGTCAAAATGCCATACGGCTTATCTAGTATGCTATAGCTCTAGTAGAGTATACGATTGAGATATTGAATGTCTCCCCCCCCGCCCACGCTACACGTCTTGGCTTACCTGACTCGACACTTCTCCAGATATTGACCTATCTGGTGCTAGCCCGGCTGCCAGGGTGGACCGGGAAAAACGGGTTCGCCGTGCGAGCTTGATCTTTGGGGAGTGATCTCATTGACGGGCGCTACGTCCGCCCGAAGGAGTCTCTGCTTAGCTGCTTGGTCAGTTCGATGATAGGTCCTTTGGAAGTCCCATTCGGTCCCCTTTGGGAGGAGGGTTGATCGGTGCGAACTACTGTAGTCGGGGTAGCTACTACTGATTCGGTTGGTGGCGCTGGAGTCGGATTCGATCCGTTCATCACCGCTAGATTATTCTTGGTTCTTGGGTTTTATTTTACTCCCCATCTCTCGCTGTTTCGTTCCTCTTCCAATTTGCTTATTTATTTGGTTGATGCTTGGAGCTTTGTGGTCGGTGGCAAAGAGGTGTGCCGTTAGAAAGTATCGCTACCTCGACCTAGCCTGAAGCTTTGCTAGCATTGTCAATCTATCGCCCTCGAGCTGATAGGGATTGCGCCGCGCGCAGTCTTTTTGATAACCGACCTTTGCCCTTGACATCAGTGCGGGAAAGGCATAAGTCTTTTTAGGTGGATTTGCCTCTCCCGGTGGAGCTGGCACCCGAATCAAAGCGAACATCTTCCCTCCCATACAACTGAGCCAGCTCCTCGACCTTCCAGCGGCAATAGCTTCGTTTTGTTTTTTCGCAGATGATATCACCGCTCTCGCCATGTCGGACGGAAACGTGACGGTAGCCTCCAACGTTCTCGGCACCATTGGTACAGTGCTTTGGTGCATCCAGTTGATTCCTCAGATCTGGTATAATTACCGCCGCAAAAAAACCGATGGATTCCCAGCGGCGATGATGCTATTATGGGCTAGTTGTACGTTTGATGATGGCAATCACTTTGGGTTCGAGGCAAATGTGCTCATCGATAGTATATAGGCTCCGTCCCGATGGGGGCTTATCTTATCCTGCAGGTAGGTCCTATTCATCCACGAGCCGGTGGACTCCGGAAAGGAATGATGTCTTGAAGGAGAGACACATGTACTGACTGTAAGACAGCAAGTCAATATTCCACTGCAAGTACAACCGCAGATTTTCGGGTTCTTCTCCCTAGTCGGTTGGGGCCAGATCCTATACTATAATCAGTACGTGAAACTTGATGGGAACGCATTCGAGAACCTCCATATTGACGGATGTTCTTCAAACAGTAATTTTGGCCGCACGAAAACAATCTTGCTTTGTACTGCCATCATCCTATTGTTTGGTGGTCTCGAAGCCCTTCTCATCCTAACCTTGCGGGTAAATTCTCTTTCCCTTTGGACTCTCGCTATGGGAATACTTGAGTGACACTTTCAACAGATTCCATATAACAAGGGCGTGACATGGCCCGATCTTGTGGTGGGAATCGTTGCAGCAATCCTGATCAGTGCGGGTCTGATTCCACCCTACTTTGAGTTGTGGAAGAGGGATGGCCGTGTTATTGGCTTCAGTAAGTTGGACTTTAACATATTCATCATGAGATAATGTAAATAAGTCTGACATGCACTAGATTGGGTCTTTCTTGCCATCGACACGCTCGGCGGGCTCTTTTCTCTGTTTGCCTTGGGTATGTCTTCCTTTTTCCAGAGCCGTCAAAGAAGATCGGAAAAGCTAATGAATGTCTAGCCGCCCAAGGAACATTCGACATTCTGGGAGGGATAATGTATATTCTGGTGTAAGTAAAGGTCTTTACTTTCTAACAGTTGCATTGCAATTTTAACGCGTCCACAACAGTGTCGTCCTCGAGTCGGGCATCTACCTGAGCCATATCATATGGCGGTTTCGGTACCGCCAACTTCGCAGGGAGGCAAAAGAAAGTGGAAGGAGTATAGATGACCTACTGGGCTTGACGAGCAATGACACAGAAGAAATCACAGACACTCAGACCCCTGCTGTTGATCAAAGTCGAGATGTGGAGAAACAAGGAGTTTGAAGGGTGGAAGGGAAGATACTTGACTGCCATGTCAAAAGCTTTGGCTGTATCAAGATCTCGCCATGGGCCATAATTCATTTTTTTATCTCGAAAATAGAAACTCCGTGTTCCCTTCGCTCCGTGTAAACCATTTGGAATTGCTTGGTGAATTTTCTTCATCGGTGGGTTGTCATTTGGTGACATTGGTCCAGAATGACAAGAAGGGATCATGGGCGAAGGAAGACTGAGATTCAAGTCCACCTCTAATGAATCTTCTCAATAGTCTATGCGTGCGTCAGTGGACTGGCATATGGACATATGCTGGAAAGGACCTCTATCGTATGACCGTGTCGCTTAGCACAAGCCGACCTGAGGATGCTACACTTCAATCCAGGTATTGATTGACCAAGTGTACCCAAACCGAGTAATATTCGCTAATAGATTTTATTGTCAGGAAAGTCTTTCACCAAGTGAAAGAATTAGCCAGTGATGGCAATGATGATACGATCCTGGACCCTGGCCCCTCCCCCAGTCATACCCGACTCCATCGGGTCCATGCAGCGTTGATGTTTCGGCCTTAGCGCGTCAGATCCTCAGAGCTCTCTTCGCCCGTTTACCGGGAGATCAGCACTCTGCTGGTAATCCCGTCTATCGATGACGACCCTCATACCCTCATCATCCTTTTGAATTTTAACACCTCTCTTCAATTCCAAGCTGACTGAGGTACAGGGCAAGTGCTGTATCACCCGTGGCTTCAGCTCCACCCCTGCCTATAGAAGCCGGATGGAGCTGTTATTTGCCTGACGGAAGCTAGGCCGAAACTCCAGACCCAGTCCTGGACAGCGTCCCCCTCCCCCGTCCTGTCCCTTTCTCCCCCCAAGCACCATCCTTCTCACCCCCTCAAAGACCATGTCTCAAGCTCTGTGAGACTCTCGGCAGCAGTCACAATGCCAGAGAGACGCTTGTCGCGTCTGCTCAGGGCCAAGCTGCTGCGACGATCATCGACACCGGCCGTTCCAAAAACGGGCGACGGGGCGGACCCGCGTGTCCACCCAAATTCAACCTCTCGTTCCTCTTGCGCTCCGCATCTCTTCGACTCCGCCAGCGAGAAGTCCCCGTATAGCGTCGTCTCTTCGGCTGCTGATCACTCATCAGAAGACATCGGCCATAGCCCTGGATCGGATATCGACGAGGGTCACAAGCACAAGCACGGGCGCCCGGCTGATCCCCAGCCATCCACTCGTTCATCGCAACCAACGGATCCGTTCCAGCATCGCCACGCATCAGAACGGCCATCCGATACCCCGCTGCCACCCGAACCAAATTTCTCTCCTTTGCATACTCCCATCTCCGAAGAGTCTCCCTCCCCCTTCGAGAGCCCCTTGCCGACTCCGCAGCAATCCGACGATACCTCCTACTCCGCGCCAGTGAAGGCTCGTGGGCCAACTCCAGCGGAGTATCAATTAACACCAACCCTCGACACCGTCGTCGAAAAGACCGCCGACGACCGCAGGCCTTCGTCAACCGCCGTCCCTCCCTCGTGGGGCAAGCGCCCTAGTATTGCCATTCGTCGGCAGTCTCTTCTGCCCGCGTCTCAACAGCATTTGATCGGTGCATTGTTGGAACAAAGTCTCTTCTCATCCTCGGGTGACCAAGGCAGCAGTCGCGTTCCCGTAGCTGCTGCCGAGATGGTCCAACGCCGAATCTGGGTCAAAAGGCCCGGTGGCTCGGCCACCCTGGTGCCGTGCTTGGAAGATGCGGTCGTGGATGAATTGCGGGACCAGGTGATCATGAAATATGCCAACTCGTTGGGTCGAACGTTCGATTCACCAGATATCGTCATCCGGATCTCTGCTCGAGAAGGCTCAAATCGGCAACAAACGCCAGAGCGACTGTTGAGCCCGGAGGAGGTTGTAGCATCCGTTCTCGATTCATACTATCCGGGAGGACAGACAGTTGAAGAGGCTTTATTGATCGAAGCGCCAACACGCCGAACTCCGAAACCGTCACCACGTCATCCAGTATATCTCCACCATCACTCGGAACCGGGTGAGCATGGCGACTATTTCCCGCTCATGCCCGTCAATCCGAAGGGCCATACACCTCCCGCTCATCCCGCGAGTGCAGGCGCAACTAACGCCCCTTCTATTTCCATCCTTACAACTGGTGTCGCGCCAGCGCTGCCCTCGCCTGGGACTCGTGCGGCAAGGCATCATCGTCGGCCACCTCTCACACGGCACACGACCAATTCACCGACAATCCTCGGTCAACCCCCCACTATAACAGGTAAGAGAATTCAGGTCGCTGAACAGGGTTGCAATCCGTGAACTAACCGTGTCAAGATAACGGCGTTTCTCCTCATACACAACCGCCTTCTATCGTACCAACACAGCCCACGCCACCTGCCCCGGTCGCCGAGTCTCCGCAGGCAAAATCACATACTCCCCCAGCGCCCGTGGCTTCTCCACGCACTCTTCGAAAGTCCAAGGGTGCTGCGTCCCCCGGCGCAGTATTCGGTGGTCTAATCGAGGGTACCGTGCCTCCGATCAACGTCCTCATTGTCGAAGATAACATTATCAACCAAAAGCTTCTAGAGGCGTTTATGAAGAGGTTGAGCGTACGATGGAAGTGCGCGGCCAATGGCGAGGAAGCAGTGCGGAAATGGAGACAGGGCGGGTTCCACTTGGTTTTGATGGATATCCAGTTGCCAGTGATGAACGGACTGGACGCGACCAAGGAGATTCGCCGTCTTGAGCGACTTAACGGGATTGGTGTCTTCCCCAAAACAGCTTCGGGACGTTCCAGTGCTTCGAGTGCTGCCTCGTTAGAGAAACGACCAGGCCTGCAGCGGTCTGTGAGTGAGGACGACACCCTGTCAGATCTATCTCTGTTCCGAAGTCCAGTGATCATCGTCGCCTTGACTGCTAGCAGTTTGCAAAGTGATCGTCATGAGGCACTGGCTGCTGGGTGTAACGACTTCTTGACCAAGGTAAACAAACTTTTTCACTCACTTTGTTGATTCTTTACTGATACGTTCTTTCCTCAATAGCCTGTCGGATTCCCATGGTTGTCCCAAAAAGTCACAGAATGGGGCTGCATGCAAGCCCTGATTGATTTCGATGGCTGGCGCAAGTGGCGTGGATTCCAGGATTCTCCTCGATCTGCGTCTCCCGGTTTTGACAGTGCGGCTAGCCCCATGCAGACAGGCAATCAGAATGAGATTGGATCAAAAATGGCCCCAGGGTCTCCATCACTGTCTCGGACGGGCACGAAGACCAAGGCCGCCCGCCCGAAGCGGCCTCATTTACCCGACGCCGACGAGATCATGCGTGAAGACTCATGGGGTAGTGGGAGTGGTGACACTGCTGACTCGCCCACGAGCCCCGAGACAACCCCTGGAGTAGATGCTGATATAGAACCACCGGGTGATTCGGTGGATTTTGCGCCAAATGCAAAGTGAGGTATATCATGAAAGCCCAAATTGGGTGATCTAAGGTCATATGCTTGTGCAGGCACATGTTCATTTCAGTCGCACTTTTCTCACAACCTTTTTCCTTTTCCATACGTCTCGACTACCTGTCCTTTCCAATGGATACCCCTGTATAGTCACGATTGTTTCTTTTGTGTTTTGGTCTTGTTCTTCTTTCTTTGTTCGACTGGAACATCTTCCACTTTTCGTTTTGGTAGGACTTGTTTATCTTATGTCCTTTGGCACCAGGCACTTCACTTTGGAGTGCCTTTTCGTTGCATACACTTGATCTTTCATTTCTAACTTGTTCTTGTTTTCTGCCACTTTAATGATGCATGCATAAACGGATTGAACATACTCAGGTATACGAACGAGCGATTTCATGTCCTTTTGGATTTCCGTCCCATGTCTTTGGGCCACTAATTTCTACTCTATTTACCATTGATCTTGCTGGTTGCGAGGAGAGGAGCAGCGTCGTCGTTATCCCCCGTGTATACGTGCTACTGCTTTAATCGGGATTTTCCAAATAAACGATTTTGAAGGTCATTATGGGTCAGTAACTCAAAGGTCTTGCCAGAAACCCAAGTAGCAAGGAATACATGTTGTATTCCCAGGGTCTTCTCATCCAGGCATTCTTCATCTCAGATCTCAATAACAAGCTTTGTGCAGCTGACCCCGGCCATCAACTCATCCAATGCCTTGTTAGCAGACTCTAAGCCTCCTTCAATGATCTTGATCTTCGGACTCGCCATCAACCGCTTAGCTGCAAGACTCTCTTGCAACCAAGTTCCAAAGATCCAATTCAACCTCTCCTCTCGCCCCTCGGGGTCATCCGGTGCACTCACAAAAGCACTCTCAACATTCTCTGGAACATTCAAGCTCTGGTCCACAATTGGTGCAATTGCGAGCTTGCCTTGGTCACCGACGGCCAGCTTGCTGATAGTATCAGCAGAGACCTGCTGCACACCGGTAGCATGATAAGCAACTCGAATGGTGATACCATCTTCCTTCGCAGCATCCAGAATCTTGGAAGTAACGTTTTCCGCCTTGTGATCAAAGACACGGGCTGCACCCAGCGTCTTCAGGTATTCATGATGCTGCGGACTTGCCGTGGCGAAAACGGTATAACCCATATTCTTCGCACCTTGCACAGCAAGGGCCCCCATACTGCTCGAAGCACCCCACACGAGCACGCCTTTCTTCTCGGACGGCGAGATAGGCTCTCGCGAAATCCCGGCCCAAAGCCACCCATTCCACGACGTAAGCGCCGCCATTGGAAAAACACAGCCCTCCACAAACGAAAAGGAGTCCGGCAAAACAGCAATAGTATCTTCGCTCACAAGGACGTATTTCTGTAGAGCCCCGTGATCGGGACTACCCTTGTGGTAGAACGAGCTTGCAAGGGCAGTAACTCGTGTGCCGGTTGTCGGGGTGCTGGGACTGAGGTCACTGCCCGTTTCAACGATGATACCTGCGACATCTGAGCCTATGACGGCCGGGTATTCTTCGATGAAGATTCCCATGTCTCTTTGGTAGCAGTCCACGGGGTTGAATGCGATGGCGTGGACTTCGATTAGGAGTTGCTTTGGGCCGCATGTTGGGGTGGTGCGCTCGACGATGGTTAGAGGGCCACCCTTTTGGGGAACGACGGCGGCGAGATGTTTGCCGGATGGAGTTGACATGGTGACTGATATGTTGGGTAATCTTCAAGATGAGACTGGGAGATCGTGATTGTTGGTTCTGAGTTCTTTCTGCTGACCATCGTGCTCGTTTTATACTTTTGTAAATCATGACCAGGCTACGTGGGAACGTGTATACCTCCGGACTTAAAACATGATACTTCCATATCATCAGGTTAGGCGCCATGTCGCGCACTATCGGGGATTGCATATCCCCGCCGGCCATGAGTAGCCATGCGTTTAAAAGTGTGTTATTATACGTCACTTTCAATATTAAAGTGGAGTCTTGGATGTTGGCATACAAGGAACAAGATGCACTTTACTGGGTATGAAATCAAACCTATGGAAAGCGCAAGTAATCATTGAAAAGCGCAAATTTCATTGGCAAGTCCGTTTCGTATAGTTGCAGGAGAAGAGTTGAGGTGATACTGCAATACGAGATGGGGTTAGCGTGGATTGGCTCGGCGGTGGTGGCTGACTCCGATTCCCGACTCTCGAACGAAACCCGAGTCTTACGTGACCATGATAATGCTTCGTGTGCCAGCTTATATACTCCTTGTATACCGCGAGTTATCGTTCTTAAATTGGTGTGAGTTATCCTGGTTGCAACCAGATCATAGGGCAGTCGAGCACTCGTTGATTGACCGATAATACCTATCGCTGCATTAGTCCGTATAGTAGCACTGTCCTGCACTTTTCTTCAGGGATTGTGAACACTGATGCATTCATTCAAAGGCATCCACTGATTGATTATGGGAATGGCTAATAGACTTAGGCCCTGTCCGTGACTTAAGGGCCTAATGATTACACAGTGTACTCCGGACTGCCTCCTCTACGCTACAGGAAACCTCGTTTATGGGGCCAATAGCCCTTAAGGGGTCCTTCCGAGCTAAGATGGCCAAGGATCGGGGTCTTTGGGGGCCGGAGACTTTGGGGTCTAATGCCCAATCAATGATGATTGCGACCAGTCCTTCATTAAAGGCGTGCAGATCATCGCAGCATCGCCCCCAAATGTACCCTAGCACGCGTCCGCTCACAATCGGCACGGTTTAGCCCCCACAAAATGGAACCTCCAATGGCCTACCATGAGTCGTCCATTCGACCACACGGTCCTTTTCAACTTAGCCTGTGTCTCACAGGCTGATCCGATCTCGTACTAGTCAAACCTCATTTGCTCACAGCTAATGCATCATTCCCTTGGCAGGCTCTCGGCGCTGTCAGCGGCAGTGGCTGTCCGTGAGGAGTGCCAAGTGGTATGACAACGTCCCCCCTAATAATACTTGAGCTGAGGAAAACTTATTGTCGACTGATCTTCAATTGATCTTGTCACGATGTTATGATTCCTCTGCCCGTTTACCTTGTCGTGTCTCTCCCTTGGTGATATTCACCATGTCGGACACTCGAACATGCTACTACCCCGATGGCTCGGAGGCAAAGAATAGCGTACCCTGCACGGCCAAGGACACCACTGCGTGTTGCGGAGTGAACAACGTCTGCCTCTCGAATGGCTATTGTCTCGACGTAAATCAACCCTTTTCTTTATCTCGTGGGGGCTGTACAGCTCAAAAATGGGGGCAGGGATGCCCGGGTCGTTGTCGTAAGTCACCCACCTCCATATCTGTCACCTGTTTATTCTACTACTACCGGTATATTGACACCTAAATCAGGGACTGTGAACAGCGATGGAGGGTCCGCAATCGTGAATTTGAAAACCGCCAATGGCACTTCTACGTATTGCTGCGGCACGGTCGTTGCCAGTGGAGGTGATACCATTTGCCGGGATGACACGGACAGCTTCCAGCTGGCCGATGCCCAAATTCTCACCGGGCGCGCTGCTCTCGCAAATCTCGTGCCGCCAGATTCGGCATCCAATTCCTCCTCGAACTCGTCAATTACCGTCCCGACGTCCAATAACTCACATGACACTACCATCGGGGTGGGAGTGGGTGTTCCGTTAGGAGTCATTGCCCTCGGGTCACTGCTCTGGGCAATATGGGAGAGGAGAAGAGCAAATAAACTGAGCCGAGTGATGATGTCCTCTTCTGTTCCAGTCCAAGAAGGACTCGTTCGTTCGCAACAATCGTATGTCATGTCTGAAAGCTCTGTCCCCACGGAGCTCGAGAGTCACAGGCAAATACCGGAGTTGATGGCCAGAGAACAGATGTAGGTAGCACAAAGATTCCCCTTGTATACTGTCTGACTTGATTCATTTTTTCTGAATTGCACATGTGTTCTAATCAGAATGGTTCCTATAGGCAAAAAGCCCCTTCCAAATAATCATATGATCGCATTAATGTTCTCCAGTACCATCATCCTACAACAGTCATTGACATTCTTGATGTTTTTTTTCCCAATAATTTCTCCAAAATTGTGCAATGTTTTAATTTGAATTGGTGATAGAAACCGCCTTCAGCTGACATTTCAACAGCTTGGCCTCCCCCCCCCTCTCTTTGCGCCTTTTAATAAAACACCTCTCGAGAATTGCAGAGGATACATACCACCTTATGTTGGCCATGAGAATCTAGTTCCTTGCAGATGGCCTAGAATCACCAGGCTTGGCCCTTGTGGCGAATGGGACGGCTTCTTCGGATTCGTGGGTTGTTGCACTTGGAATTTTATGCACGGCATTTCAAAGAATGGAATGCGAAAATGGTCACGACGGGAAGCCGAAGTTCCGAAAGACTGAAGACATGGGGACGGTAAGATTGTCCTTCCAAACTAAATCTATATATCGCGGTTTATCCTATCCATTGCAATGGCGGTTAATTACTTGTTCAGGCTTTTTGGGTGTTGGATTCGAGTAGATCGCATTGATCAATCGCTCTTCAATTGGTGGAGGTGCCGATCCTCATTCTTAAATCTCCGATTCTGCCAATGTCACGCTTCTTTGGCCTTCGTGGCACTCGTCTCAATGTCGCGACTATTATCGGGGTGTTGATGCCGGGCATCCTAACCGTCGGGTACAATGCAGCATCACTCGGTGGCGTGTTGAGCCTGGGAAGTTTTGAGCGCCAATTTCGCGAAATTGATGTCGCAGATGCTCCCAATAAGAACCTTGCATCTACCATCCAAGGAACTGTGGTGGCTGTCTACGCGATTGGAGGTTTCATCGGTACATTCGCGTGTATATGGTTGGGAGACATGCTCGGACGCCGGCGGGTGATCATGGCAGGGGCCGTTGTTCAGGTCATTGGTGCAGTGCTCAATGCCAGTGCTTATTCCCTCGCTCAGCTCGTGGTCTGCCGCATCATCATTGGTGTGGGAACGGGCGCCCTTCTGGCCACGATTCCTCTTTGGCAATCTGAAATCTCACCTGCCAGCAAGCGTGGTGCCCATGTTGCCACCAAGGGTGTCTTCAGTGGTCTTGGGTGTGCCATGGCGTTGTTCCTGGACTTTGGACTCTCTTTCAATGATGGAAGCATGGCCTGGCGCTTACCTGCTGCATTCCCCGTTCTCCTTTCCGTGACAGTCTTTGGATTTATTATCTTTCTCCCCGAGTCGCCTCGCTGGCTTATCCGTAAGGGGAGAATTTCCGAGGCGAAGGAGACTTTGGCTTCATTGGAGAACAAGGCGCTTGATGATAAAGATATCGAAACGCGCATTGAGGAGATGCAGGCATCCCTCTGTCTAGCTGGGAACCAAAAGACTTTGGCACAGCTATTCTCCATGGGTCCTCAACGAACATCTCATCGAGCTTTCCTCGCCATGGCGGGTATGACGTTCCTTCAACTGACTGGAGCCACGGTGACGACATTCTATAGTATGTCCTTCCATTTGAACACCATTGGTCACAATAACAAGTGAAAGAAGCTAACCCGCACATCTTTCAGCCACCGCAATATTCGAGAACAATCTTCAACTCAACGAATCCACCTCCAGACTTTTAGCAGCCGTTTATCAACTCATGGGCCCCATCGGCGGCATCTTCTGCGTCCTCACCATCGAAGGTCTAGGCCGTCGAACGCTTTTAATGGGCAGTGCAACTGGAAACGCGATATGTCTAGCCCTCATCGCAAGCCTGGGCTCCCAGACCGGAAATATCATGGCCGCCCATGGAGCCGTCTTCTTCATCTTCCTTTTCCATTTCAGCTACATCATCGGGTTTGGTGGCATTCCATATCTCTACGCCTCTGAAATCGCACCCATGAACCTCCGAGCGACCATCAGCAGTATCAGCATTAGTATATCGTGGGCAATCAGCATCTTAGTCGCCAACGTCACCCCAATCGCCTTCAACTCAATGGGTCAGCGATACTTTCTGATCTTTGCAGGGTTCAATGCGGCTATGGTTCCTGCAATCTTTTATCTGTTCCCTGAAACTTCCGGGCGCAGTCTCGAAGAGATTGATGAGATCTTTGCCCTGTCTCAGAGCCTTTTGGATGCTGTTTCCACTGCTAAGAATCTACCGCCCCGCCAAGCTCATGATCTACCGCCGCCTGAGAAAGTACTGGTTGCGGATTTGAAGACTCTTGATAGCCCTCTTGAAAGTCCAGTCTGATGCGGAGATATCACGGGGAATCCGACATGATCCGATTGCAATGGTTCAGGGCCATGTTTGACTTTTAGTCCCTTAGTTAGCCATGGACCTGAGTTGATAGATGAATAGATCTCTTCCCCTTTGATTAAATGTGGCTTCTAAAATAGCTTTCTCTATCCGTAGAGTGAGCTTGGTCATAATCCTTCTCTCGCAAAGAGCCAATGGTCTTACTTACTGATAGTGGCTTTCTTGATTGACAAAATGTAAGCATCATCTGCCTTACGGACCCTGTTCTAACTCGCCGTTGTAAAGTGATTTAACCTAATGTGTGGTCTAGTTGAGTTATGGCTCATAGCGGGCTGTCTTTCAAAAGGTCAGGCTATAAATTATGATCAAGGCCACAGATTAGGAAAACTGAGCAGGTTACCAAAAGTCGCGATTTGAGCTCTTCGTTTTTTTTTTTTTTGAACAGGCCGCTTACATCATGATGCAACGAATTCTACCTCACGATTTGCATTCTATGTGCCTCTCTAGTAGTCTCT